ACAGCTTGTTTCATTGTCTGTCTTGGTCTAAGCATTAGGCATAGGCCAACAAGGTTAAACTGGCCACTTCTGCCAATTATGCGTGGTGTGCCATCTTGGCTTTACTTGCTTTCTCAAACTATTTTAAGCTCTTTCAGAATGGTTCCTACTCCTAGCTGGAAACACCAATGACTTAGACATTTGCAGGAGATTTTACAGGGTGAATGCCAGTTGCTCATATAGGGAGCTTTCATAAGAAGACCTGTAACAGTGTTGCAAGAATAAAGCACAACAAAAATGCCTGTGTTCCATTTGATTCCCCCCTCACGTTAATAGGGTTGGATCCATCTCTAGGGAAAAAAGATCTGCCACACTATAAAGCATAATAAACTCTCCTCCTCACTTTGTGCCTTGGCTGGTGTGAGCTTTAGGGCTTTGAAAGTGCCAAACAACTCCCTTCCAAATACCTTGTTACTGTATGTGAAGATACCTACTGTACATACCTGTATAATTATTTAAACTCATGAATAAATTGAATGCAGGTTTTGGACCAAAATTATGAGTTTTATATGGCCCATGAATAAGTGAAGGGTAAAATGTAAGGGCATTTCTAACAGCTAGTAAACTGGGATTCCTGAGAGTTGGAAGTCCAAAACAGGCTTTTGAAGATGTACCTTATTTACAAAGTGCTGTATTAACAATGGGAGGAATCTTCGTCTTATGCCATTTTATATAAAGGACACAATTTTGCTTCTCCATTGTATATAATAGGACTTGAGGCTTCACCAGGGCTGGAGATAGGATCGTGGAACCAAACCCCAGCACATACCAAGGTGCCACACTATTTGTTTTAGATCAAATATGGGCAAACTTCTGTCCTCCAGTCTTTTGGACTTCCAACTCCCAGGAATCCCAGTTAGTTTACTAGCTGTTAGAAGCTGAAGTTTGCCCATGCCTGTTTTAGATTGTACTACTAGAGATGCAGCAAGCCATTAGGCCATTGGCAGCTTGAGCAAAAAGCCAGGCATTGGAGAAAGAGACTAATTGGGCCCAGCAGACATCTGTCTTCCCTCATCTCTGCTGCAAGACCCTGGAAAAAGGGGCTGCCACTAGCATAGTCAACTAGCAAGCATCTAGCCACTGGGTATTAGTCTTGTTATTTCTATGTTACCGAAATAAAGCAGCATGACAAAATCCAGAAATATGAGAATTGATGTTTGTGTAATGGAAGATTAAATGCACTGCAGTCGACCTACTGCATGAGCCAGTGGGGAGGGAAATCTGAGCTGCTTTCTTTCTCTCCCAGTGCCCTGAACAGGTCGTTGGAGGCATCTATGGTGTGTTGAATCGAAAACGTGGCCATGTTTTTGAAGAGTCTCAAGTAGCTGGAACCCCAATGTTTGTGGTCAAAGCATACCTGCCTGTCAATGAGTCTTTTGGTAAGAGATCTGGATTGACTTCATGTTCCTCTGTTCCTTACTGGAGTGTCACCTTCTCTATTTCTTTCTCTCTCTCTCTCTAACCTAACATTAATTCTCATCTTTTTACTTAAGATGATTTCTCGGGTCCCTGGACACAATCTAGAAATTGTTTACAATTTTGGGGTGAACTAATATGGCTAATAAGGACCGCTTTCTTGTTTTGTTATACCTCACATATATTTTGAGCACTGTTAAAATTGCTTACGACAATCGAAGATAACGTTTTGCCACAGACATTCTGCTAGGCAGGTGGTTGGTTCACTTCCACTCTTCCTTCCCTTCAGTTTTTAGTGAAAGAACAATAGGGCTTTAAGGTAGCATATATACTCAAGTATAAGCTGAGTTTTCCAGCCCATTTTTAGGCTCAAAAAGCCCCCCCCCCCCCCGGCCTTATACTCAAGTCAAGGTTATTTATTATTTCACTTTATTTTTATTACATTTATTATTTTATTTTTTATCATCTTTATTATTTTACTCTATTGTTATTATTACGTTTACATTATTTTAGTGTATCATTACATTTATTATTATACTCTATTATTTCTGTTATGTTTCCATTATTTTACTATATTATTATTAATTTTATTACACTTATTACTCTATTTAATATTATTGGAAGGATAAGTATGCACATTTTCATTGAAGAAGTTAGAATAATGGTTTAATCAGAGTTGGGACAGTCTTATCTTAAATTAGTTTTATGTAAATATTCAAAAACATTTAACCTACTGATGCCTCAACTGATGTAATTTTATTGGTATCTATTTTGATTTTTGAAATTTGCCAGAAGCTGCTGCATTTCCCACCCTTGGCTTATATTCGAGTCAAACCGTTTACCCAGTTTTTGGTGGTAAAATTAGGTGCCTCAGCTTATATTTGGGTCGGTTTATATTCGAGTATATACAGAAGTTACAAATTGGCAGCCAATAGTCAAATGGCCTGCCTTTCAGTATCATTCGAGAATAGGAATGGCCTCTGATAAGTTTCGGGCTTTGATTTCAGTAGATCCTAGCACTTTGTTTTTAAAGCTATTAATTGCAGGGTTTCATTGAAGTCTACAACAATTTCCCTTTTCATAGATTAGAATATGGATTTATAAATTCTTTTAAGTGAGCAGTTTCCCCACCTTGCACTATGAAATTCAAGTGTTTGTTACAGCCGCTTTAAAATAAGTAGAATCTGAACTAATTCCCTCAAAATAGAACAGGGGTAAAGAAGCTGGCCCACCAGATGCTTCAGAACTCTTGCTCATACTGATTATCTCAGTTTAATTAATTTACATTTCATCTCAAGAGGGAAAATGAGTGAGAGGGGAGAGTTGAAAGTGAGAAGCTTATAGCAATATTACTATAATAGAGAAATAAAAGACACCAGGACTAGAGGAATACTATTGAAGTGGCTGTTTTGGGTTCTTTTGGATGTAGCAGGGACCAATGAACGGTGTAGTTGGATCACAGTTTAAAAGCTGCAAATTGGGAAGAGGCGCAAGAAATTCCAATAAATTATATAGGCTAATTGGAAGGTGGAATTTCACAGTTTTTAAAAAAGTAACATGTACATCATTGAATGCTGTTCACATAAACATTGCTGAGTGGCAGAACAAGCTTGGATATCTCACTGGCCTTAACTGCATGTTGTGTTCTAGCTCCTGTCAAGTGATTCCTTTCTCTTCTGCACTAGGCTTCACTGCTGACTTGAGATCCAATACCGGCGGTCAGGCTTTCCCACAGTGCGTTTTTGATCACTGGCAGGTTTTGCCCGGAGACCCTTACGATCCCAATTCGCGTCCATGCCAAGTTGTAGCTGAAACACGCAAACGCAAAGGCTTAAAGGAAAGCATTTCACCTCTGGACAACTTCCTAGACAAATTGTAACTACAGCCTCATTGAGACGGGGGCATCTATTACAGCACCCATCTACATCGTGGAATTGGATTGCTTCACCAAGCCAGGAAAGCAGCAGGAAACTGAATATACAAGGCTGAAAAAAGGAAACCACAAACCAGCATCTAGCAATTATGTCATGTTCACATAGTGAGAAATAAAAAAAAGTATGTGTTGTTGAACGGCTTTATCTGGTGGGATTCCATCTGTTTAAGCAGCTAGCTTTACTTGATGACTTTGGTAGCATCCAGTACATGAAATCAAGTTCAGTTTTTGGAAACACGGCAGCTTTAGAACATATTCATTTGCCCAATATATACAACCGTTTTAACACACAAGTATGCCATTTGCAAAATGCCCTTTCAGATTGAACTCTAAATTTTTAGTATTAAATTCTGTCATCTACAAAAAAAAATTCCCAAAAGTGTACATTTCAGCTGTATGAGATCACCTAATACAGCAAATCCTCTGGATTAGGATGGTGATTAAATAAGGAAAGGGGAAACCATACTGGTAGTACATTTAGGGCTGACACTTTAAAAACTTGCCTGTTATAGCAAAAGATCAATACTACTATGAAGTTGCATTTTGGTACATAGAGACACAATTGCAAAAAGTATACCAGTTGCTACAATTTTCAAGTGGAGAGAACTTTCCCATAATGGTACCTATGACAGCAAGGAATATGGGGTAATCAACTTTTAAAATCCTTGCTGTACAAATTGAAATATTTGTAGATCTATGAGATCTAGCTATCTTTGACAGAGAGCTCTGGTGCAGTAACAAGCTGTCAGTCCCAGAGTTCATAGCATTGATCCTTGGCAGCTAAAGTATCAAACTGCTAAAACTCTGCAGTGTGGCTACATGCCCTGAGTGCCCTTTCCCAAAATCCTCAGGTGTCATCCAAGGAAATAAATGTGGGTTTTTCTTTCAACAACATCCTTCCCCTGACAAGTGACTTGATCAGTGTAGAGCAGCCATGGTAATCAAAATCATTCATTTGCCTCTTCATCTACATTTATTTTCCAAGCTAAATACTCCCAAGGGTGAGATCCTGCCTCATCTATATAGTCACGTATGCATTTCTCCCATGTAACCTACAAGGAGAAAAGTTCAATCTTCCTAGCAGCAGATTTTTCAAGTGATATTAGTTGTGCAATTGTGAGAACTGTATCAAACCTTATAAATGGACGCAGGAGTTTGTAGACACAAAATGCGGCATACATACAAGGTAACTCGGCAGAAGAATGAGACAAAACTAAAGTTTGAAAATCTGGACATTTTACAGAACATTTCCTACATCCAAGGAGAATGAATGGGCAGTACATTTCCTGGAGAACTAGTTAGAAGGCTTTGCATTCACATTTCTATAAAACATAGGTTGCATGGCTGAGTTTTGCATAGCATTCTTCTTCTCCACAACTCCCCAAAATCTAGCATTTTTTTTGCACTTGAAATTGAACAGTTCCAAAGCAGCATGAACCTCCAAGAGTTTATCGGGATGGGGGAGACCAGGATAAAGTTTTGCAACTGTTAATTCACAAAGCTTGAACCTCAACCGAAAATTTATTTGAAGCATCAAAGGTCAAAAAATCAGATGTATGTGATTTCTTATTCTTGTCCTTGCATCTGGAACTAACCAAAGCTTCTGCCACTCCAGACTTAAGTGCATTTATTTTTTTATTAAAAACGGTTTTTACATTATTGCTAAATGTAACAAAATTAAAGTTCGCATATGGAATCCATCCTGAAGTCCACAGAGCACAACCCACGTCAGTTCTCTTCATTACAAGCCTGAGGAGCTGACTTGTTTCAAAATAAAATCTCATTTTTCCTAAGCAGAAAAAAAAACAAATATATACACATAGATGCATATACACCATCCTTCCAGTCACTTTTCTTCTTCTTCCAGTGAGTCAATCCACACTAGAGGAAACAAAACCCAAAGCTGCGTTTTCCCTTCAATAAATACTCCAAAAAATATGTAAGTCTTAAGGTATGGATGGTCCGGGAATTGAACGCATGCAGAAGGGTGTCTCAGTGCCATTCCAGACTAGCAAATCTTTCCAGTTTTTATTTAGTCCAAGGAGATGATGTCGGGAATGGAGCTCCCACTGCTGGTGATGACTGCTGTCTCGCTCCGGCCGGAGGAGCTAACGCGAGTGCTGCTCTCCTGGTGGCTGGTGGTGGAGGTGATGATGTTGCCAGGGGTGGTGCTTGTGGGCAACGTGGAGGTGAGACTATCCAAAAACATAGGAGCACAGTACTGCTTGAAACAAACAATGGGGCAGATGAGGAAAAGAGACTAGGCGCACAAGGGAAAAGCAAAGCAAAAGCAGCATGGAAACCCTCAAAAAACTTCAAAGACAAAGCTTGGAGAAACTGCTACTCTGGATTCCCTATTTGGAGAGAACAGTACTACACTATAGCAGAAAAAAGGAAATGCCCAGATACAGGATGAGTGATGCCTGTCTTGAAAACAGTCCATGTGAAAGGGATCTAGGAATCTTAGATGGCCTTGTACAAGCTGAATGTGACTGTGATGCGAGAGCTAGAAAGGCCAAGGCCATTCTTGGCTGCATCAATACGAGTAAAGTTCATAGATCAGTGGTTCCCAACCTTTTTTTGACAGGGACCACTTGACCAAGGACCACTTTGACCAGGGACCATTCTCCAACATTAGTACCAAAATTAGTTTTTGGTCAACTTTAGGGTTGGTTTGGTTATTTGGGGTGTTGATTCAGACCACACCAGCTCTAGTTTCTGATACAGAACACATGCCATCCAGTAGTCGCCATCTGCTCGCCCACAGAAAACCATATTTAATAATCTAGAGCTGATGTGGAAGTAGTGATCTTTCATGGCTAGTCAGCCTCTCCCCTCCCGACATCCCCGTTGTCTCGGCACTATAAGAGGGTTTTGCAAAACCACTCGCTTTCGCGGCATTGTTTCGAGGCAATGGTGTAGCAATGGTGAGGCCGCGGACCTTATTTTTGTTCTTGTGGACCAATGGTGGTCCACAGACCACAGGTTGGTAACCACTGGTCTAGATCAAAGAAAGTCATAGTCCCTCACAACTCTATTCTGCTTTGGTCAGCCCTCATTTGGAGCCCCCAGTGGCACAGTGGGTTAAACCCCTGTGCCAGCAGGACTGAAGACCGACAGGTCGCAGGTTCGAATCCGGGGAGAGGCGGATGAGCTCCCTCTATCAGCTCCAGCTCCTCATGTGGGGACATGAGAGAGGCCACCCACAAGAATGATAAAACATCAAATCATTCGGGTGTCCCCTGGGCAACGTCCTTGCAGACGGCCAATTCTCTCACACCAGAAGCGACTTGCAGTTTCTCAGGTCACTCCTGACATGGAAAAAAAAGGCCCTCATTTGGAATACAATGTCAAGTTCTGGGCACCACAATTCAAGAAGCATATTGAGAAGCTAGAATTGTGTACAGAGAAGAGAGACCAAAATGGCCAAAGGTCTGGAAGCCAAGATTTGTGAAGAGCATCTTAGGGAGCTGGGTATGTTTAGCCTGCAGAAGACAGGACTGAAAGGGGACCTGATGGTCATGTTTAAATATTTGACAGCCACTAGGCTGTTACAAATTGTGGGAGTTGCAATCCAAAACAGCTGGAGGGCCAAAGTTTGCTCGTGCCTAGTATATAGTGTAAGCATTCCTACATTACAAAAACATCTCTAGTGTTTCAGCTTTGAAGCGTATCGACTGAGCATGGGCATTAAAAGCTTTTGCTACAGTTTTAACAGGAGAGCGTTGGAGTGACATCATGGTAAGGCAGAAAAGATGGGTTTTACTGCTGCACAAAATCTAATCAGCTGGAAGTTCTTTCTTCACTATATTGAACTTATTCTAGTTCAGTTCATATTCTAAAGGATCTTATATCATACATAGTTGAGACACTTACCTGTGGATCAACTGGGATTAAAGAAAGAAAATCCAAACCTGGGAAGAAGACAAATATAGGTTGCCTTTAGAGAACAGATGCAGATTGTACATCATTAAATCCAGTGTACTACAGAATTAGTGCCAATCTGCAGCAAAAAAGCAGGTTCAACTACCCACAATCACAAGCTTTACTTAAAGGTAAAGGTAAAGGGTTTCCCCTGTCTGACTCTGGGAGGTGGTGCTCATCTCCATTTCTAAGCTGAAGAGCTGGTGTTGTCCGTAGACCCCTCCAAGGTCATGTGGACAGCGTGACTGCATAGAGCGCCATTACTTTCCCGCAGAAGCGGTGCCTATTGATCTACTCATATTTGCATGTTTTCAAACTGCTAGGTTGGCAGAAGCTGGGGCTAACAGCAGGACCTCACCCCGCTCTCCGGATTCAAACTGCAAACCTTTTAGTCAGCAAGTTCAGCAGCTCAGCGGTTTAACCCACTGCGCTACCAGGAAGACACAAAGTGTTAAACATGGGGAAATAATACATGGAGATACAAAATGGATAGACAGAACCACCTAAGATGATTAAGGCCAATATTCTCTAGTAACTAAGTAACTTCTCTGGGCCCAACCCCTCCTGCAACCCTGACAGAAATGTCATTCAAGGTCTGTGTCCCACTGCAATGGCTGGAAGAATGGATCACCTTCTCCCTATGCACCAGATAGGGATTGTGGCGATACTGTCACTATTATGACTAAGAAGCTGAGTATTTGGGCAATTCTCTCAAGAAAGGGGAACACGCTGACCTACCAGGCAAGTCCGATGAAATACTTGACATTGGTGGATGATGGAATGGAACAGGGTAATCTGTTAATGAGGGTGGAATCGCAGAAGGATCCACTGTGCTCACTCCGGGGACTCGGACCGTAGATGGCTGATACATGAGCACCCTGTTTGAAAGAACAGGAAACATCAGAAACAAGCCAATTTTCCCCTTTCCTGACCAACAGCCACACTGGTTGAGGCTAATGAAAGCAACGGAAGGGCACAGGCTTCCCTAATCTAAAGCCAGCCTGAGGAAACAATGTGAATCACAGTAAAATAAACAAAATACAAGGGATAAGAAACTTAGCTTCAGTTTAGAAACAACACCAGAGCTATGTTTACCAATATGCCATGTTTTAAGAAAAGACAACATCAAGTGCACAGTGAAATAACCAGGTTCTCCAAATAATTATCTATACATGTCTCACCACTGTTACTATTTGCATCTTCTACATCACAACAAACATTCCATCCGATCTTATCAATAACCTATTCATAGTGACTTGATAAAGCATGTGTCTGTATAATTTATTAAACAATAGACAATAAGAAAACTATTCACAGTTCTTGTTCAATTGTATGCAGTTAAAATACAGTTAGATCACACATTCTCTGAAGTCAAACCCAGGACCTCCTGCAAAGTGCATTGAAAAATTGCTATTTTTTTACACGAGATACATCTCATAGCAGCCATAGCAGAGCACCCAATGGAGACTCCACCTCAGACATCGGAAGAGCTGCAAGACTGAGAACAAGCCATGAGAGTCAAGACAAAGATCCACCCAGAGGAAAAGTGTTCTTGCCATACATCAAGGGAACCACTGACCGCATAGGGAAGCTGATGAGGAAACACAACATACAAACTATTTATTTATTTATTTACCTTACTTATATACCGCTGTTCTCAGCCCGAAGGAGACTCACAGCGGTTCACAACAAATACGAACAGCAAAAATTCAGTGCTACAGTATAAAAACAGTTAACAACCTAACACATTACACAATTAATAAACAGTTACTACAATACCCATTCACTGTCGTCTCATCATCAAAAACATGTTCCAGATTCGTCATCCATTGTTCCATTCCAGTGTTCATTAACCAATCATTGCACTAATTATTCGAACGCCTGCTCAAACAGCCAGGTCTTCACTTTTTTGCGGAATACCATTAGAGATGGTGCTAGTCTAATGTCCGTAGGAAGGGCGTTCCACAGCCGAGGAGCCACCACCGAGAAGGCCCTATCTCTCGTCCCCGCCAGCCGTGCTTTGAGAAGCAGGCGGGATCGAGAGCAGGCCCTCCCCGGAAGATCTCAAAGTCCTGGTGGGTTCATAGGCAGAGATGCGGACGGATAGGTAGCTTGGGACCCACCAAGAAAATCCAACAAATGCTACGTTCAGCAAAGGACAAGAGCGATCCTCTCACTTCTGCAGGGGTCTACCGTGTACCATGCAGCTGTGGACAAGTCTACATAGGGACCACCCAGACACGAATCAAGGAACATGAAAGGCACTGCAGACTACTTCAACCAGAGAAATCAGCCATGGCAGAGCACCTGATGAACCAACCTGGACACAGCATTTTATTTGAGAACACAGAAATGCTGGACCACTCTCACAACCACCATGTCAGACTACACAGAGAAGCCATTGAAATCCACAAGCATGTGAACAATTTCAACAGAAAGGAGGAAACCATGAAAACGAACAAAATCTGGCTACCAGTATTAAATAAAATTCTAAAATCAGGACAGTAAATAAAGAGCAATATTCAAAAAACAAGGGAATTCCAGGTAAGAATTAATCAGAGCCAGCTGACACCTCCCAACAAAGGATTCCCCTAGGCAGCAATTGGCCAGGCTTTGAGGCTGAAAAGCCATTAAATGCTAACCAATGTGGCCCATTGCGATATTCACACTTGCCTCAAAACAGACAAGAGGAGGGTGACTAAAATGATCAAGGATCTGGAAAACAAGCCCTATGAGGAGCGGCTTCAAGAGCTGGGCATGTTTAGACTGAAGAAGAGAAGGCTGAGAGGAGAAATAATGAGGGCCATGTATAACTATGTGAGGGGAAGTCATAGGGAGAAGGGAGCAAGCTTGTTTTCTGCTGCCATGGAGACTAGGATGCAGAACAATGGCTTCAACCTACAGGAAAGGAGATTCCACCTGAACATTAGGAAGAACTTCCTGACTGTGAGAGCCGTTCAGCAGTGGAACTCTCTGCCCCGGAGTGTGATGGATTTAATATGGACCAAATTACCTTCCTTCACTTACTTCTTACTTTGAGTTTATGTCAACTCCCTTGGAATTCTGAAAACTCAATCCAAAGAATCAAAGGTCAGAAGTTTGCACTCACCAGCCAAGACAGAAAACATGATTCATTGAAAACCAGCATACCCTTTGGTTGGACTTGCTTGTGTATCAGACATGTATATACATTTCCTTTTGGAAGGCGCATCTTCCTCTTCGTCAGAGGAACTCTCAACCGTGAGGTCAATGACATCCACTTTCTTCTTGCTGACTTCACTGAGAGGCGTGGAGCAGGGTTTGCTGACCACACTGGAACCTGAAAGGAGCACAGGTAGCAAAGCAGACATCTATAGCAAGTCACATTATGGAAAGACTAACCGGTACTTCACAATTAATTATATCTACTTAACTAATCTCTATTGGTTTTTATAATGATTTGCCAATTGCTACTTTTTTCAAAACTATGTTTTGCTTTTCTTTCCACAGAAGCATTGCTGCCAAACAGTGACTGAACATAATTACTGTCCTATATTTGTCTAAGAAAAGATAATCTTATAATTGAGAAGACTGTTGTTTCCTGCTATCATCTCCTAACAGGAGAGTAAAGATCCAGAAAACAAGCTGTGGACACAAATCATCCTTTGTTGTGTATCAGGGGGAAAAGTTAAGGGGGAGATCAATAGAATGTTATATTTACAAATAGTAATAGTTAATAGAAATGTACTACATGCAAGGGTAACAGTAGTGAAGAATATACAAAAAGAAAAATTGGTTGACAAATTAAGAGCGTGTGCACAAATGGTTTTAGTGAGGGGTTGGAAAGATAAAACAAAATGGACACTGATGAATTGGTATAACTATATAGTTAATATGTTAAATGTGGAAATAACAAATTGCAAATGGAATAATATAGATAAAATTGAAAAGGTTACAATAACAAATAGGATGTGGGAACCAGTTAGGAATTATTTAGAGAATGTGCTAAGATGTGAAGTAGAAAAATTAAGACTGAGACTGATATTTCAAATGTAACTTCTGTGTTTAATTGGCTTTTTTCCCACTCCCACCCTCTCCTCCTTGTACATGCAACTTATACATCAAACAACAATAAAAGGGGAGGGGGATTTAATCGAGTCCCTTCTGTTGCTTACAACCTACTATGTTTCCCTTCTTCGTCTTTCATCAAGCTTGTCCCTAATAAGAATATTGGAATATGAAGACAATATGGGAGATGCTCCCTCATGTAACCCTTCAGTCAAGTCTTTTGTCATTGAAAGAATTCTGCCACCAGGTGGACAGAATGGAGAGCATCATAGAACTGAAGTACAGGCTGGAGTGATGAAGGAAGGGTGAGAAGTCAGCCATAGCAGAGCATCTGATGATCCAACCTGGACACAGCATATTATTTGAGAATACAGAAATGCTGGACCACTCACAACCACCATGTCAGACTACACAGAGAAGCCATTGAAATCCAGCAAGCATGTGGACAATTTCAACAGAAAGGAGGAAACCATGAAAATGAACAAAATCTGGCTACCAGTATTAACTAACTCTAAAATTACAACAGCAAAACAACAAAGAGGAAACAATCAGGGACAGCTAATCACCTCAAAAAATAGACCATGTCAGACAACCGCCAGGCCATCAAATGCTAATCAATATGGTCAGTTGAAACATTCACACCTAGCTCCAACAGACAAGAGTTCTTTCCCCCACTCCGGTCATTCCACAGATATATAAACCCTTTTTCCTAGTTCCAACAGACCTCACTACCTCTGAGAATGCTTGCCATAGATGCAGGCGAAACGTCAGGAGAAAATGCCTCTAGACCATGGCCATATGGCCCGAAAAAACCTACTACAAGACAAACACAAAAGCATCAAACACAAGAAAATGACATTAATGGGGCTTCAGTAAACTCTGAGCAAGATGTAAAACATACTCTTGTGGAGGCTTCTTTCAGGGAAGTAGAAGTATCGGAAAGCTCTCTTCCTTTGGAAGATGAGGGAATATAAGCCAGCCTGGGTGCTCTCTCATACAAATACAGTGTTTCATGTCCCAAAGCGACTCATGTCACTTACTTTCTACTTTGCTGCACTGTGGGCTAACCACCTTCAAAGGCTCCTTCTTTGGCCTCATTGGACACCAGGAACCATCCTCCTGAAATTTGATCTCGTCTACATCTGAACATTCATTGAGAATTTCCATAAAGAGCCTGGAAGAAACAATATGAAATATTATCCGTTTGTTTCCACAAACAGTTCTGATAGTGCCTTTACTTTTAACTCACCCTCCCTTCATTCTAATACCTATTACAACTGTCAACTATTGCTTACTAGTCTGTATTACATGCATTCCACCTCCTGGCATTGTGGGGTTGGGAACAGAATATTTTTACCAAAGTAAAAACCTCGTGTTAGTTTTCTGGAGGGAAAGGGATCTCATAAAAAGATTCTTTTGTCAACAAATTTTGTTAAAACATGTTTTGTACTTTCTATTTGGATTTCAATGGACACTATGAATATTATTTAGAAATTATGTTATTGTTACCATGATTGGAGCAACACACTTGATACTACCTGATTCAATTCAATAAGCCCTATATAAATTCAACATAAATCCCGATTACATGGCAATACACTGAATCAGCCTGTGGAACTATTTCTCAGCATCCATAATGTATGTGGTTCTATACTTCATACATTAACTGCATGTCATATTACAATCATATCAAAACGGCCACTGATTTCAGCATGGAACAAAGTTTCAAGCCAAATCTACAGCTTTACGCCAAGAGTATTACAATGATAGTTTAATGCAAGGGTCCTCAAACTAAGGCCCGAGGGCTGAATACGGCCTTCCAAGGTCATTTTCCCGGCCCTCGCTCAGGGTCAGCCTAAGTCTGAAACAACTTGAAAGCACACAACAACAACAACAATCCTATTTCATCAGCCAAAAGCAGGCCCACACTTCCCATTGAAATATGAGTAAGTTTATATTTGTAAAACTGTTCTTCATTTCAATTACTGTATTGTTTTTAAGTATTTTTTTGCACTATAAATAAGATATGTGTAGGGTGCATAGGAATTCATTCATGTTTTTTTCGAATTATAATCCGGCCCTCCAACAGTTTGAGGGACTGTGACCTGGCCCTCTGTTTAAAAAGTTTGAGGACCCCTGATTTAATGTATAGAAATGTATAGGGCCCAACTTAAAGATATTTTACAAATTTAACTCTGGTCCTGAACAATCCCTTTATAGCTTTAGGTATGTTAATATATACAAATTTAGCTTTCACATTAAATAGTTGCTACATGTCTGCTAAATACAGGCAGTCCCCAAGTCACAAACATCTGACTTACAAATGACTCATAGTTAAGAACAGGGATGAGACAACAGGGAGTGAGATAAATCTACCCGTTGGAAGGGAAATTCACTCCTGAAAGACTTATCATGGGGAATAGATGTCTCCACTGAAGCTTTATCCGCAATCTTTGTTTCCACAACAAAGGTTGCGGACAGAAAGTGAGGGGAAAACTTCTAAATAGAAGCACAGACAGCAAAACAAACACCACAGGGGTGCAGAACCTATCCTGTTTGCAACTTGGGGGCTGCCTGTATAGCAACTGTCCATACCTAAAAGTAAAAGCAGTGCCGCCTTCTTTTCTTACCCATCTAAGATGAGACTCTCATAGGCAGCTTTCTTATCACACACAGGACATATCCAGGTGGGCTTCTTCTCATTCATTTGCAAGTAGAGAGCTGCATCAAAACACTGCAGATGAGTGCAAGTACCAGCACGGCAGGGAATGGTCAGCCTCATTTTCCCCAGCTGGTAATCAGGGAAGGAGAAGAAAGGAATTAAATTTAAAAAAACTTTATTTATATTCCGCCATATCTTCCCTGGATGACTCAGAGCGCATTCCAACAAACAAAAAGGCAAACAGTCAATGCCTCAATAACAAACAAATATAAAAACCCAAGATAACCCCACATAAAGAGCAACTTAAGCTTAACAACTATAATTTAAATAAAACATAATCAATTGAAAATTATAACTAACATAGAACTTAAGCATAAAACATCCAAATTAATACATCAAAACAACACAAAGTTTTACAAATGTGTGCACACATTGTATGGTCAAAGTTAAATGGGCTAATGTGATCTAACAAGGCTTGAGTACATTTATACTATCCAATCAGCACTTTGGTAGTAGTTGCTCTTCATCTAATCCTCCTCCTCTACATATGCGTATGAGCAAAGGAAGGTTTGTAGCTGTGTTTTAAAAAGGAGACAGGAGAGGGCCAGCTTTATTTCTTTAGAGAGGGAGTTCCAGAGGAAGTTGTCTACCCGATTTTACGCATAAAATGTATCTATTAGGGAACTATCTGGAATTTTTACAGAAGCTTTTCACAATATATGTGTCATAAAAGCCTAGAGTTTTGAAAATTGAGCGTCTTGTCAATCCCTTCGTAATTTTTCAGACAGGTTTCAATTCTCGGCAAAAGGACCACATTCCATATGAATATCAACTATAGCTCCTTTATACATAATGACTGACATGTTTGCTTATTTAAGCCACATCATTTATAAGTAAATCAAAACAAAAGATTTTTCTTTAAAGTTCAATTCATGCCTTTTTCTAGTTTAACTTACAGGACACATCAGTGATACTCGTAGACTGGTGGTAGCAATTTCACTGTCTGGGTCAGCCGTGAGTTTTTCTTTAACTGTTTTTATAAGGAAAACAAAATATGAGTTAGAATTACTGGCTTCAACAATACTGTAATTTCATGGTCTATTTATTGTATTCATTTATAAATGCAAAACAAACAAACAAGAAACTGAACATAAAACCAAGTTTTGCATTAAAATGCTAATTTTCTGAGAAGCCGGATGTTGCCAGAGCTTGAGGGGAAAATAGTTTTAGAAACTGCATTGGTGTCCTTGGTTAACAGTGGTGTATTATAAAATACATTTTTTAAATTAGTAGTATTTTCAACTTTTGTGTCATTAGGTTTTTAGTTGTATTTTTATTCTAACCCCGTGTTGGGGAAAAGATGAAGTTGCAACTATCAGAACTTTCAATAACTTTATATTTTTAAATTTTAAAATCAATAAATTTATATTCCCATCGTTTCTCCAAGAGGCTTCCATGCACGGATGACCACTCAAAGATCTACAATTACAGGTAAGCAATCTGTCTTTGTGCATACACAGCTACAGAGGATTCTGGACTTGTTCTAGATATCCAGGAGGTTAGTAAGCTAGCAAGCTAGCTACCATAGTTGCACTATCTCACGACTAATGACTGCCATTCATAGTGTTTATGCATTCCATCACTTTGTGCCTTCCTCTAGGAAAAAAAAAAAACAGCAGCTAGACTTGACAATATGATGTAAGCTAGATGTCTGGTTATTTACGTGTTTTGAACTTCTGGTCTACATGCTGCAATCCTTCAGATTTTGGAAACCAGAAACAGACTTTCAGGGATGGACTCAAAAAACCGACTCTTAACAAAAACTGATCTTAAAAGATGAAAAATACAAGCATCACTCACTTAATGCCCGGGAATGATCGGGGTTTCGAATTCCTTTCATTTTTAGCCTTTGCAGTAGCATTGCTGAAGTAAGTTGGCGAACAAGGTACACAGACATGGAGTAATTCTGCAAAAGGAGGGTGGGGAGAAAAATGTGACAAAATTGTCACAAAAATGTTTGTCATAGAATTGTCACAGAGGAAGGGTGGGGAGAAAAATGTGATGCCAATTGTCACAGAAACTCAAGAGAAGTCTGTCAGCAGTCACCAATAAGATATCAGCATATTAATCAATAAAGTATTTCAGGAATGAATTACCAATGCATGATATTTGATGCAATTCTGCATTCTTTTATATGAAAGCATTTGGTATCATACAAAGAATTTACCTTTCCAATTTCAGATGCCCAGGAAATGGAAATCTGATTTGGCACTGCAGAGGATAGCCTGACTAGAGATGTAATATTCAAGGGACGTCCAGGTCTCTTTTGCTCAATCCCATTTTTGGGTGGAGGAGCATATCCCTGAAAAATACAGGAACATTATTTTTCAGTTTTTCCCCTTGAGGATTGTTGGAATAAAACTGACTAAATCACAGAATCATAGCATTGGAAGAGACCACAAGAACCATCTAGACCAAGGGTTCTCAACCTGTGAGTCCCCAGCTGTTTAGGCCTACAACTCCCAGAAATCCCAGCCAGTTTACCAAATTGTTAGGATTTCTGGAAGTTGAAGGCCAAAATATCTGGGGACCCACAGGTTGAGAACCACTGATCTAGACCAACCCTCAGCCATACAGGAAAATACAATTAAAATCTGTTGTCAATGTGCTTAAAGCTTTATTTACTCCAAAGGCAATTGACCATGCTCAATGGAGCTTATTCCAAAGTATGAATCCAAAAGTTCACCTAATAGCGCACTCCTATATAGTCTCACTCATAAGTAGTTCCCACCAAATTCTCTGGGACTTATTGTGTAACTTCAATAACTTGGCAACTTTGGGGGATAATTAAAAGCCATATAGTTTTATAAGGAGGTGTTTTTGCAAGACATCAGCCAGCACTGAGCAACATTCTAATGGCCCAAATTTCCTGAGACACACGTCCTCACCCATGTAGACAAGCTTGCTCTCCATAGCTTCCTGAGACATACAAGGACATTCCCTTAATAATGATGCCCCCACGTTGGAAGAAAATCATTTTCTATTGTGTTCTGATAACATTAATAACCATTTTCCATTCTGATAACATTAATAACCATACCCATTCACATTAAAGTAGAAAAACATTTACTGCCTAAGTGAACCCAAAAAAAGAAACAGTATGATCCAGAGCAGGCAACACAAATCAACTGCCAGGAGTGGCATTTCGCCCTCTCTTTGGAGAAGGAGGAACAGCTAACCTACTCTAAACTACCTTCACCTACTGCTGGGAACTATTATTGTATAGATATGAATTTTGGCCGAGTGGGATTATTAACAAAAGACCCTCCTCATAAATGCACAGCAGAGTAACTTATCAGCAGCGGTGTGACTCAGCACCAGTAGAACAAAGTGATAAAAAGAACAAAAACACACAAACCAATATTAAATCTTCATTAGGCTTTTCTTTATAGCAAAATAATATGGCCGCACTATTTACAAGAACAAGGTTTCCATGACACAAAGTTCAACCCTCAAATTAGAGCATCACACATGAGGCATTCTCATACCAAGGATTGCCTCACACTCTGGCTTCTCTCACAGACTAAGGCCTACCTCACACTGTGAGACTGAGACCTTTCTCTCACTGAGGCAAACTAACACAGAGGCCTATTAAGCTACAGGCACACCTGCTTATATAGAACTGCAGCTTTTGCTGAGTCATTGCATCCATTTAACCCATTCAGTGCTTGACTCACATTTTTGTAATTAAAAATACCTAGCTAATTTTTAATATTTCTGACAAGTATTGTGAATCTCTTTCCTCTAAATCAGAAAAGAAAACTGGAACAAGACAGTCCAAGTATGAAAGACAAGACGATGCAGTATCATGCAGCTTATTATAGTGAATACATAGAATTCCAAGATTCCAAACATTATGGTAATCCAGTTCCAAGATCTTTATAACTTTCAGTAATCTACTTCCTTTACTGAATCACAGGGGCATTAAATGCAAGGGTATATGGAAGAGGACACTGCATTATATTGGGCTACTAATGTGAGGATTTCAAGAAGCTCAATTTCAAGTACAAACAATATTAAAAACTTGCAACACCTTACCGGCAAAGGAAATAGTTTTCCATTTACTTTTATGCACAAGCTACTGGGATAATTGTCTTCCTGAGAACAGCTTGTTTCTGCCAGACATAACCTGTGTATGGAAAAGAATTGTGTTAAAAGGACACATGATCATAACTTGGAACATACTTCAATAAAAAGATAAATGTTATAATACACTAACATAAAAAGGCTGAAGTCACCTTAGCTGAACTTGAACAGTGTAATCCCTTCGGCCTCCTGGCAAGAAGTCCCTGTTAGAATGAAAGCGGGAAAGTTATAAAATGACTTTCTAGGTTTTTTTTATTTGTAGCCCTAAAAAGTATAGTATCTATAATTATACTGCCCTCACTAGGATCTGATGCATATATTAGACAAGACATCACATCTAACCATTTCCCACAGACACAGTAAGTGAAAAATATGTGTACATACAACTAGACTTCACAGTTGCAGAGATAAACTTGTAGGCAAGCTGATCAACATGCTCTGATGAATGATGTATCAAAGAAAGAAAAAACAATTCAGCAGTGTTTCCCTGAGAACTAGTTAAACTAAAGTCCAATTCTTGCATCTATTGCAATGGCAGACTGCAGTTTAAACATCACAGTCTACCATTCACAAGACTCTTATAAATGATAGACAATGCACCTTTCAAAATTTGAAAAGGACTCTTATTTCTGAAAAAGCTGTGATCTTTTAATCTATCCCTGTAAATAAACTCATGCTACAAGACTGTTAACAGCAAAATAAGAGACTATTTCCTTAGATGGTGCAAAATTTCTACCAGGCATTCGTTAAAAAAACAGACTCAAAGTACACTATTTTCTCCCAAATTTCCACTCCCTTATAATTCAGTCAAATAAAAGTTAGCCAAATCAGATATGAGAAAGTTCATGCCAAACAATCCATTAGTACCTGGAAATGCAGATTTCTCTGACTTGTTGGGGCGTTAAAGCAAAGATAAAGAACTTCTCTTGAAATCTTTGAATACTGCTCTGTACTGAAAAGACAGAGGGAAACATCTTTTAGTTGTGATAAACCACTGACAAAGTTCACAGACTGCAAAAGGCTGTAAAGAAACAGAAATGAATCTAAAGTATTCTTGGTTTTAGCAGAGACTGAAATGGCCATAACACTAACCAAGATATAAATGCGACACTTTCAAGCATTTGGCAAATATTAAAAGTATGAAGTTCATGCCTACATTTTACATGTCTTTAAAAATTAACCTAACATTGATATGCCTTGCTTTGATGCTGACCCCAATAAAGACATTGCTGCTTATTGATTTGGGGTTTCATTGTATCTGAAAGACTGTTATAACTCAATTTGAGCTTGCTAGAGTTTTGCCATCCTCAGAAAAGAACTTTCTCTTGGTTTCACCAGGCACATTTGGTAGGAACAGCTTTACGGTCATAACTAAAGGCTGTTGTGGTGTCTTGTCAGCTCACTATAGGCAGTATTAACTGATGAAAGTGGACCCTGACTACAGGTGAAAATTGAGTTGAGCTACTCACAAAAACTGGGTGAATTTCAGCATCATGTTAAGGAAGGGTTGCCAGGGAACTCTGGCTATCAGGACAAAAACACATTGTTCCCGACTGTCCCTGCTTGGAGTGGAAGCATTAAAACAAGCATGGATCTTTCATATATTTGCTAATTTTTCTGTCCAAACAACCATGGAGCTCTCACATATTTGCTTATTTTTCTGTCTCTTTCCCAATAAGATTCAGAAGAGGGCCATATCTGCCATTAGGCAGAGTGAGGCAGATGAATCAAAGCTTCCCAACTACTCTTCTTAAGGCTGCTGGTCTTTCTTTGCTTTGAGAGCTGTCCCCTTGCCAGTGCTGAAGTAAGATTCTACTTTCAATGCAGTCAAAACACCTGGGGACTCACAGGTTGAGAACCACTGTTTTAGTTAGATCTAACAAATGAATTTAGTGTTTTCTCTACATTGTGTTTTTTTATTACCTTCAGTCCTTCCATGTGCTGCCCACTATGTGTCAAGGTTATTCAAGTGCTCACAATCAAACTTTATTTTTGAAACGGAGCGTTCCCATACATGTTTTGCATACAGCTGTGAATGATTGCTTCAGATATTAGTCACTGTGCATGTAAGAATTTAGTTTTGTTTCTAAAGAGTGCATATTTAAAAGATTATCAGCTTAAGCAGCAGAGACATGCATGCCGCTTGGTCCAAATTATATTGTGCTATGCCCAGAAGTTCGAAAACATGCAAATGTGAGTAGATCAATAGGTACCGCTCCGGCAGGAAAGTAACGGTGCTCCATGCAGTCATGGAGCCGGCTCTTCGGCTTAGAAATGGAGATGAGCACCAGACCCCAGAGTCAGACATGACTGGACTTAATGTCAGGGGACAACCTTTACCTTTACCTATGCCCAGAAGAGATTTTAGCAAGGATAAGAACACAACCAACTGTTACATTGTCACATTTTAACACTTACCTAGGCTTGTAGGTTTAATGAGAACATCAAGTACATCATAGAAGGGAAGACTTTTCAATTGAACATCTGGATGCACCGGTGGGACTGGAGGTGATGGTTGCTGCATCTCAAAGCACGGTTTTGTATCTTGAAGTAAAACTGAACTAAGTGGCGAGGAAGGAGATTGAGGGGTGACTGAAGTAGATGGTATTGGATGAAGACCAGCCACAGCCAAATCAGATTCCACAGGAGATGAGCTACTGTCCAGACCGAAGACTGAGGATTTTATAGCAGACAAGTCAGAAAGTCCTTCTATTGTCCTGGGATACCGGCGCCTGTACAGTTCTCGAATCTTTATCTGAACAGCTGGGCTACAGCCACTCTTCAGCAAGTGCAATGCCCTCATCAGGAGGTCATGTTTGCGCCCGCTTTTATTGCGTCCAGCAAAGCCCAATAGCACTTGTAACTCAGAGACCCGAAAACTTGACACCATATTCTAAGAGAAAATATAGCACATAAAAAACACAGACACAATACTTTGAGTAGATATCACTAAGCATCACATGTATGAAAATGTAATATAAAACAGATAAAGTCTTTCTTAAGAGCTCTTCCCCCTCCCTACTATTTCATGTACATTGTACAGTAAGTATTTCAAATACCCGTTTAGGGGAGGGACCACCTCCAACTCCTGCTCAGCAAGCAGACTAGAAAATATTATGAAACTTTCAGTTATTTATAACCTCCCTCACATTTGACAGTTTTATTTAGCTAAATTGATGAATCTCAAACAGGAGCTCAGGTGGTAAAACAGAAACTGCAACTGAACTTTAAAGGTATTAACATCAGGATGCTGAGAACACCAAATGCATTTTCTGGACAACTGTCTCCCCTCCAATCAAGCAAATGTACATAGTCACTACATGTGAAGTAGTAGTTATTTGTGGTAAGAGCAGTTATTCAGGATGGCAACTAAAAACAGTAACAGCATAATTCTAATAGAGTTAATTTTTTAAGAATACAAATATACTGAAAGACCGAAGCAGCGCTGACTACAGTATTCTTGACTTGTGGTCCTCATGACTCCAACACCTTTGACAGACAACTGAACAGACTGTTTAAGTGCGGCCACCAAAGAGCAGTAAATCAGGTCCTCTGGCAGTTTCGTGGGCTATGAGCAAGTTTCTCTGCAAATTTACTCAAAGTCATCTTTCTTGAAAGTTCTACTCAATAATTACATGCCCTTGGGAATTGTTCTGTGATGAAACATACCGGTCCCTTTCAACTGTCCTCACTAGTCTTTGTTTTCAGACCCTTCAGCCATCCTACTTCAAATTTAACACCTCTCAAATACAGGACTAAATTTCCAGAACGTTGAGGAAAAGTAAAGCAGGCCATAAGCTACAGTTCAACTGAACTAGTTAGCACAACGGAACTTATCTCCTCTGTTCCATTGGAACGGTTAAGAACCACATAAAGCGTAACACAGACCTTTTCTCAACATGCACAGAGGTATGGAAAAACCACATAACCAATCTTTACACAAAGGAAGTAGCCCAACCATATTGACAGTGTCAGGGGGGCATCTACTGTCATCATCAAACTAATGACAAAAAAAAATCAAATGAAGTACACTATAGCATTTAAACTGCAGTACAGTATGTTCCTGGATTTTGTATGGAAACGTAACACCTCAAATAATAGTAAGTTCTATTGAAATGAAGAATTTGCAGCCCAGGAATACCATGGAGTGATGGTAGAGAACCTAGAAAATGCAGGCAAAGGACATATTTTGTTGAACACGTGAATAAATGGAATTGCAGATACTGGTCCTGTGGACGCAGGGGTGTACTACATTGCCAAATCTATTGTAAATGAGATTGCCAAGTCTCACAGTTCTCTGCTTCCTTCTGAATTTTTAGAGCTTCTTTTGGCCAGATATAAAACTTTAGACAATCCAGAGTTACTTTAAATCACATATCTAGAGAGCTCACTATAATCACAAAGCGTGTGAAACCTGCCCTTACAGCACAATCCTATTTCTTCAGAAGTAGATTCTAGTTGTAGCCCATACTCATTTATCTGGAGTATGGGCTACAACTAGGATCAATAGGGGTCACTTCAAACAAGTAATAGATGACTGTGGTGACCACTTCCTAAAACTGATTCAACAACCCCGTATCAACCAGGCTACGCTGCATTTGGCACAGATATATTTTAACTCAAGCAGTATAAAATGACATACATAAATATTCTACTGTTTTAAGATCATTTACTGTGGTCAATGTATTATAACAGTTTATGTGAGCTTAAGTCATGCATCATTTTGTGTTAGTAACTTGGAAGTATGAATGGGAAACTAAATTTAAAAACAATCCAGTTATTTCCCTTTTCTTAAAAAAACAAACCCTGAAACACAAATCTTCCCCTGTTCTTAGCAGCAAATTGCAATATTGTATTCTTGTTTCCTTTCTTAACACCTAGCTTATTAACTCAAAACCAAGAACACCGCAACATAAAGGAGTATGCCCAGCAGAAAAAAGAAGAGCTGAGTTCAGGCTTCCTACCTCTAAGTAGCAAACCCACCAAACCATTATTCAAAAAGAGTTGTAGTTCACATATTTGCTTGCAAAAGATCTGGCATCTGATTCTGGAGATCTCCAGGTAAACCTAAGAACTCTGAAATCCCAAGGAGTCCCTGTCCAACTATACTGAACAAGTTGGGCCAAAAAAGCATACACCCACGGGCAGTTTCTGCATTCCTAGCACAAAGGTTAAATTCCTTTAGACATCAGTAGTCAAGACAATCAAGATAAGTTCATTTCATCTTCCCATGAAGACACAGTACATCACCACCAAATTCCTGAAGGGATACTACTGATGCCCCCAAAATCAAAACTTTTTCTTTTGTCCTGAAGAAAAGAAACACGATAATATCCCCATATTAGGTTCTCCATAACTACAGGCTGTAGATGTATAAACACAAATAATATTACACATACCTTCCTCTTATATTTATGTCAATATATACATAAGATATGTTGATAATATCAGGATATGCAAATGTTCATATAATTGAATAAGAAATAATTCATAACTAGATAAAAAATGGCAAAGTAGTACAAATTGAGCATGTAATAGATCACACTGGGTTTCCTACATACCGTCTTACACATTTGCTTGCTTTTAAAAAACAGTGAAATGTTTGCTTCTGGGCCTAATTCTTAATCAGATAAACAAGAAGTTTTGACAAAAATAGTAAAAAAAAAAATCAAATGATTGAAAAAATCCAGGCCTCGGCTAAAATTATATCCTAAGTTTTTGCCCCAAAATAGGGAGTTGTAGTAAGCAAAAGTATCTAATAAAGCTGAAATAAAAGTCAACACAATCAAAACACTTTAAAAAACACACCAAAAAAAACAAAAACACCCAAGAATTCAGAAAAAAACTCACTTAAGCAACAGGCCAGTTTACAGATCAAGAACCTGCCTAAAAAAACGAACTGAGGACTTCACCAGATAGATTTATAGCTCAATTTCTATATGCTTTAGAAACACAGTCCCACAGAAGCCATCATATGACATAATGGCACTTCCGGTAGGACTCCATGAGGCTCCAAAACATTTGGGATTCCACTAAAATTTTAGAAAGAACTTCCTGGTGGTAAGAGCTGTTTGAGATATGCTGCCTTGGTGTGTGGTAGTCGTTTTCTCTACAAAATTTTAAACAGAGGTTAGATGGCCATCTGTCAGAAGTGCTTGGATTGTATGTTCCTGCATGGTCCTTGTGGTCTCTTCTATGATTTTAAAAACCTATAAAAAAGACTCACAATTCATTTTGAATGTGGTCTTTCAAAGAGTCTGATTTCAAGACATAAAGGACTTTACTGGGCATACACTTCATTGTCATTGTACAATTTTATGACAAAATCTTGCCAATCCTACATCCAAACAATGAATCAGAAGATATTAACCCACAATATGTGAGAAGAAGCCACAGGGAGGAGGGAGCAAGCTTGTTTTCTGCTTCCTTGGGCGCGGAACAATAGCTTCAAACTACAAGCGAGGAGATTCCATCTGAACACGAGGAAGAACTTCCTGACTGTGAGAGCTGTTCAGCAGTGGAACTCTCTGCCCCAGAGTGTGGTGGAGGCTCCTTCTTTGGAAGCCTTTAACCAGAGGCTGGATGGCCATCTGTCAGGGGTGATTTGAATGCAATATTCCTGCTTCTTGGCAGGGGGTTGGACTGGATGGCCCATGAGGTCTCTTCCAACTCTTTGATTCTATGATTCTATTCTATGATTCTACAATGGTGGAATCCAATATGCAATCATTATAGACATTTATGAATGTCTTCTTAGAGGTGGATGCATGCAAGATACTTACAGACTGTACAGTTGTAAGAAATAACAAAGATGGTGAACGGATAGCATATTCCATGTTTACATGCAAGCAGAAAACCATCACAACATGGTTCATCCCTCTCCTCATCCCAAAGAAAAACAGTTAAAGTATGGAGCAGCCTTCTCTAATTGCATGCACTTCAGATGTTTTGAACATTATAAAGCCTGGCCAATGATCCCATGATCAAGTGTAGCCAATCGTTCTGCAATCCAAAACAACCAAGTTGAGGAAGGCTGGTATCATTAACAAACTATCTCGTTCCTACTCTAAGCCATGCACTTTATTCTTGGCCCACGCACTGGTTACTCGACACTTTCTAAGGGTATTCCTTTGTCTCTGTTCACTTGAATTTCACTTTCCACTGCCCCCATTTTGGAATCATTGCACTTATTTGAGACTGATCCCAGGTTTTTACTTTATCTCAGCCTTATTGTTTTAATATGATGCTTTTGTGATTGCGTTGTTTTTATATGATTGATTTTAATGCTGTTCTTATTTGTAACGTGGGCTTGCCCTCTTGTAAGCAGCCCCGAGCCTCTTCGGGGAGATGGTGGCGGGGTATAAGAATAATAACGATATTATTATCATTATGCTCTGTCAACAGTAAATATACAACAGCAAAATACCACTACAGAATAGTTTAATACTTTAAAGATAGAAAGTTTAAATAATGAAAAGAAGGAAAAGTGATCCACACAAAGGAACGAAAAAGAACATCACCTATCATCAGAAGCAGAACAAAGAATAAAATGGCAGATCCTTCCATGTTTCAGGTATATCTTGTAAAAACAAACTGGCTGTGACATTTTTAAAACAGTCAAGAGGAGTCACTGATAATTTGGATATTGCTGCTTTACATTTTTAAGCTTTAAATATGATAATAGCAGACAACAAACAAAGGGGAGCAAAAGACACAAGCAGAATAATAATCTATTTACAGTATTATTTATTTACAGTATTTATATACCACATTTCTCACCCCTGGCAGGACTCATAAAGTTAACCTTCCTTCTTTGACATTCCTCAAGTTAATCTAAACATGGATACTCTAACAACTCTACTGCAAATCCTTCTGTTTTATCTGGTTTTATTATAGCAAACTGTAGAACCTTTCTGACTCTTCCAATCTAATCTATCAAAGCACAAGAACACAAGTTCAAATATGATTATTTCAAAGTAAAATTATGTACAAAAAAGAAGTGTAGAAAAGCAAATCTGCAAAGCATCCTTACATTTCATTTCCACAGCCATAATCCAAGTGCTTTAACTTCTCCTTCTAGCTCCAAATTATAATAGACAATAAGAACTCAAATCTAGGTTACCTAAGAAGGCTCTCAGATTTCTTGGGGAAAAGTAATTTCACATCACGGATAGGCATACAACAGCTTAACTGTATACATGTTTACCTAGAAGCAAGCCCCAAAGAACAGATGGAGTCTATTAATACAAAATGCATGAAGTGTACTCTGAGCTAAAACTTATGCAACGCCGAGGCAACTATCTCCAAGAAGAAAGGAAGGAAAATGAAGAATTTGAGCACTCTATGAAGATGACATGAAAGAGATAACCAAGTATCTGACAAGATGAAAGAAGTACAGAGAATAAAATGTATCTGATCTATAGTTCGACTTTTAAGAGGCTGTCAGCTTTAGAATGCAGCAAAGAAGGCTTTTCTCTATATGTTTGATTTACCAAATTTTCTAAGTGACACTTGTCAAGTTACAGAATTGTCTATCACATTTTAAATTTATTTCTGAAGGTGCTATGAAATTGCCTGATTTTAACTATGACTTTGACATCCTTCAGAAAATGGATCGCCACTGCAATCATCAAATCTAATTTTTGGCTGTCAAAAAGAAAACCAATGAAATAAAAAGGAAAAAGACTGACCATGAGATACAGAAGGATGTTACAGGAAGCACCTTTTCTGCAAAAGGAGCCTTGCAAGAGGCAACATTCAAGATGAAACAGCTTGGAAAAGAATTAAGAATGAATGTAGTAAAGATGTGCAGTTTTCATGGGATGAGAAACATAGTTGTAGGAAAGGCAGAAAGGTAAAAGCGTCGAATGAGAGTCTAAATAGAGACCACAGATTGGGAAAGGAAGGCAGAACAGGATATACATTGGGCTTTGGTATCAGCTAGCAGAGTTCCTCAAACTGCACTCCTTCAAATGTTTTGCACTTCAGCTCCCATAATTCCTAAAATCTGGTAAGATGGCTAGGATTTCTGGGAGCTGAAGTCCAAAACACCTGGGGGAGCACAGTTTGAGAAACACTGTGCTAAGATTTGGTTCCAGGACTATCAAAATCAGTTGATGTTCCAAGTTCCATTGTGCCAATCATTAAATAGCATAGTTAAAGGATGTTCCTTATATATCACATCAATATCAAGGTTTAGAATATAATTTTTGGAATATTTTCAAGCCGTCATTGGTTGAATCCCTGGATAGGGAGAACCAGCTGTACACCACGTGAGGGCATTTCAATTAGAATTAGTTGCACGGTGTTTTGAGACAAAGAATTTTATTCATTTACTTTTTAAATCTTTAACTCAATAGAGGGACTCAAGGCGCTAAATAGTAAACATGACACCATAACATTAAAAACAGAGCAAATACATTACAATATGGGTATTTTTTTAAACCACAATTAAACTTTATGAATTGTGGAACATAAAAATATTAAAATACTTTTAAAAGTAGACTTAAAATGTCACTTCCCCCACAAAATCTCACTCATTTCGTCTTTTAATCAGGGCAAAGTAAAGAGCAAAACAGGCTCCTCGGGTCCATATAGATTTTATTATTACTACTACATGATGATTATCTTAAAAATTGTATCTCCCTGGACCAATCTGTTTGGAAAGTGCAAACTGGGAGAGTTGTTGTTATCATTTTAATTTACTTTATTTCTATCCCACCTTTCTTCCTATGGGGACTTGAGGCAGCTCACAATCACATGACACAACCCTAATTACATCACACATCCCAATGGTAGACAAAGAAAGCTATCCTTGGAACAGAGCAGAATTAGGAGTGGGCCAAAAGTGACAAATAAAAGCCAGCTATTAAGAAAAATATTCACGTTTATAACATTACTATGTTTATTTACAACAACAACAACAACAACAACACATGGAATGTGTGCTTGCGTATATATATGTGTGTGTGCCTGTCTGTATGTGTGCATGTGTATATGTATATATAGTTTATTTTTGGGGGTTTTAAGTCTGTTCTACTGGGTTGTTTTGTTTGTGTGTTTTTAGGGGTGGCGCAGCCCGGTGGAGCCCCTGGTGGCGCAGTGGGTTAAACCCCTGCGCCGGCAGGACTGAAGACTGACAGGTCACAGATTCAAATCTGGGGAGAGGCGGATGAGCTCCCTCTATCAGCTCCAGCCCCTCATGCGGGAACATGAGAAAAGCCTCCCACAAGGATGATAAAAACATCAAAAGCATACAAAGAATATTCAGGTGCAGATTATCATTTTGATTATTTATTGCTATTATTTATTACATATATTTATTACTATATGTATACTCTTCTGGCTCTCTTAGTGGCTCACAGCACAGGCCGGCCATTAAGAGAGACTATTAAGATTTATTATAATTATTATTGGTAATGTATTGTCGTAGGCTTTCATGGCTGGAATCACTAGGTTATTGTAGGTTTTTCCGGGCTATAGGGCCATGTTCTAGAGGCATTTCTCCTGACGTTTCGCCTGGATCTAGGGCAAGCATCCTCAGAGGTAGTGAAGTCTGTTGGAAATAGGACAATGGGTTTATATATCTGTGGAATGACCAGGGTGGGACAAAGGACTCTTGTCTGTTGAAGCTAGTTGTGCATGTTTACACTTTAAATTCAGCTGCAGCCTTATGGACAAGGGGGAGAAGTGAGAAGAAGAGAAACCGGGATATTTTATCAGCAGCTAAAATAGGATAGAAGCTTAATCAAGACTGGGTTGTTGTAGGTTTTTCCAGGCTATATGGCCATATTCTAGAGGCATTTCTCCTGACGTTTCGCCTGCATCTATGGCAAGCATCCTCAGAGGTAGTGAGGTCTGTTGGAAATAGGACAATGGGTTTATATATCTGTGGAATGGCTGGGGTGGGGCAAAGGACTCTTGTCTGCTGGAGCTAGGTGTGAATGTTTCAACTGACCACCTTGGTTAGCATTTAATGGCTTGGATGATAGATACGTTTTATTGATTGGCCTATTGGCCGTATCAAAACATTTAACACATAACACAATTAACACATAGTCATACATACAACATACAACCCTCGGTATAAAAGAAGTTAAAATAAACAAGCTGTCAACAAGATCTCGTTCAGGTCAAATGTCTGCGTCACCTCCACAGTTTACCCCAATCGATTCCAAATGTGCAATTCTCAGCTGTGTTGCTTTGAATAGAAAAAGGGCTGTTTTGTGTGTTATTTTAGGGTTCTGGCCGGCCAACAAAAATGAGGTTTTAATATATGGGTCCCAGTGTGTTTTTTGAATAATGTATGGTCCAAGGCAATGGTCTCTCTCTTTCTTATACAGCTCACAGTTGAACAATACATGTGTGATATCCTCCACCTCTGGTGCTCCACAAATACAAAATCGTTCGTTGTATGGGACTTGATTAAACCTTCCGTGCTTGTCCATTGTATCCAGCTGTTCAAAACGAGCTCTGGTAAATACCCTCCTAAGGTGTTTAGGCATTTCTGTTTTTAGATATCGAGCTGTTTGGAAAGTATGTTCTCACCTTGGTCATTCCACAGATATATAAACCCATTTTCCTATTTCCAACAGACCTCACTACCTCTGAGGATGCTTGCCATAGATGCAGGCAAAACGTCAGGAGAAATGCCTCTAGAACATGGCCCTATAGCCCGAAAAAACCTACAAGAACCTAGTGATTCCAGCCATGAAAGCCTTCGACAATATTATTATTATTATTATTGCCTAAGGCCTTCTTCTTTCCTTGGAGGGGCCTAGGCGATGCTCGCAGCCTTAGAAGCAAGACCGTGTAGGCCCCAATTCACGGGCTGTGGGGGCGAGCTAGGCCTCAGGCTCCAGGGAGAGAAGGAAGGAAGGAGGGAAGGAAGGGAGGGAGGGAGGCCCCCGCGGCCTTGCCTTCCAACCGCCCGCGCCGGCTGCTCACCCTCAGCTCCTCGAAGTCCGCCATTTTCCCTCCGCCGCCTCCGCCGCTTCTGCCGCCACCATCCTGAGGCACGCGCCCAGCGCCCCCTCCCCCGCCGCTCCGCCGGTCACGTGGACCCCCGAGGGGCGGGGCCCAGTCCTGGGCACGCCCCCTTCGCTGGGTGTTTGAAAGGGCGGGCGGGAGGGAGGGAGGAGCCCTCTTGAGAAGGAGGACTTCCTTTCTTAAAGGGGCAGCACTGTTTTGGCAACAACGAAACGCAAAGATACAGAATGGGGGATAATGCCTCGCTCGAGAGCAGTACGTGTGAAAACGATCTTGGAGTCCTCGTGGACAACAAGTTAAACATGAGCCAACAATGTGATGTGGCGGCAAAAAAAGCCAATGGGATTTTGGCCTGCATCAATAGGAGCATAGTGTCTAGATCTAGGGAAGTAATGCTAGCCCTCTATTCTGTTTTGGTTAGACCACATCTGGAATATTGTGTCCAATTCTGGGCACCACAATTCAAGAGAGATATTGACAAGCTGGAATGTGTCCAGAGGAGAGCGACTAAAATGATCAAGGGTCTGGAGAACAAGGCCTATGAGGAGCGGCTTAAGGAGCTGGGCATGTTTAGCCTGAAGAAGAGAAGGCTGAGAGGGGATATGATGTTATTGTTGTTCATTCGTTCAGTCGTCTCCGACTCTTCGTGACCTCATGGACCAGCCCACGCCAGAGCTCCCTGTCGGCCGTTACCACCCCCAGCTCCCTCAAGGTCAGTCCAGTCCCTTCAAGGATGCCATCCATCCATCTTGCCCTTGGTCGGCCCCTCTTCCTTTTGCCTTCCACTTTCCCCAGCATAATTGTCTTCTCTAGGCTTTCCTGTCTCCTCATGATGTGGCCAAAGTACTTCAACTTTGTCTCTAGTATCTTTCCCTCCAATGAGCAGTCAGGCTTTATTTCCTGGAGGATGGACTGGTTGGATCTTCTCGCAGTCCAAGGCACTCTCAGAACTTTCCTCCAACACCACAGCTCAAAAGCATCGATCTTCCTTCGCTCAGCCTTCCCTAAGGTCCAGCTCTCACATCCGTAGGTTACTACAGGGAATACCATGGCTTTGACTATGGTGGATATTTGTTGCCAGTCTGATGTCTCTACTCTTTACTATTTTATCGAGACTGGACATTGGTCTCCTCCCAAGAAGTAAGCGTCTTCTGATTTCCTATCTGCAATCTGCATCTGCAGTAATCTTTGCACCTAGACCATGTATAAATATGTGAGGGAAGTCATAGGGAGGAGGGAGCAAGCTTGTTTTCTGCTGCCCTGGAGAATAGGATGCAGAACAATGGCTTCAAACTACAAGAAAGGAGATTCCATCTGAACACAAGGAAGAACTTCCTGACTGTGAGAGCCGTTCAGCAGTGGAACTCTCTGACCCGGAGTGTGGTGGAGGCTCCTTCTTTGGAAGCTTTTAAACAGAGGCTGGATGGCCATCTGTCAGGGGTGATTTGAATGCAATATTCCTGCTTCTTGCCAGGGGGTTGGACTGGATGGCCCATGAGGTCTCTTCCAACTTCTATTCTATGATTCTATGATTTCTAGTAGACACCTACATCCAGCAATTGTGTAGGTCTATTGGGTAACTAGGAAATTTGGGTTATATCTCTGTGGAATTATATGTCCAGGGTGGGAGAAAGACGTCTTGTTACGATCCCAAGAATTCGTATCTACTCGCATGGACTACTTGATAAACACCTCTACATTGGCCTTCAGTGATCCGGAAGCTCAAGTTGGTACAAAATGCAGCTGCTCGGCTTCTTGTGGGAATTCCGATGAGATGCCACATAACACCAATCTTACTACAGCTGCATTGGTTACCAATTGAGCACCGGATCACTTTCAAAGTGATGGTACTCACCTTTAAGGCCTTGCATGGTCTGGGGCCAATGTATCTGAGGGATCGTCTCACCCCCTACCAACCCCAGAGATCCCTCCGTTCTGAGGACCAAGATCTATTGGAAATTCCCAGTGTCAAGACCTTGCGTCTAACAGCAACCAGACGCAGAGCCTTCACAGCAGTGGCACCATCACTCTGGAATAATCTGCCACCTGAAGTCCGTGCCTTGCGGGACTTATCAGCTTTCCGCAGGGCATGTAAGACATATCTGTTCTGACGGGCCTTTGATCTCTGATATTGCTGTTTCTAATTGTTTTAAATTGTTTTAAAATTGTGTTCGATTTGTCACCTGAAGTCCGTGCCTTGCGGGACTTACCAGCTTTCCGCAGGGCATGTAAGACATACCTGTTTCGACAGGCTTTTAATGTTTGATAGTGTTGTTTTTAAATTGTTTTAAATTGCTTTTAAATTTTGTTAGATTTTAGCTAGTCTTGTAAGCCGCTCCGAGCCCCAGGGGAGTGGCGGCATATAAGTTTAAATAATAAATAAATAAATAAATATTGTGTACCTACTCACCAAAGCACACCACCCCCCTGCTGTGTCAGGTCCACTGGCTGCCGGTTCAGTTCCGAGCACAATTCAAGGTGCTGGTTTTGACCTACAAAACCCTATACGGTTCCGGTCCAGTAGTATCTGTCCGAACGTATCTCCCTCTACGTCCCACCCCGGAGTTTGAGATCATCTGGGGAGGCCCTGCTCTCGACCCCACTGCTATCACAAGTGAGGTTGGTGGGGACGAGGAGCAGGGCCTTCTCAGTGGTGGCCCCTCACCTGTGGAACTCACTCCCGGGGGAAATTAGGTCATCAACATCCCTCCTCTCTTCAGGAGGAAAGTAAAGACATGGTTTGGGACCAGGCCTTTAGGCAATCTGACAACTAGATAAGGACAATCAGACAATTAAGATGTGCCTGATTGTTTCCTCTCTGCTTCACTGCATATTATTTGAGAACACAGAAATGCTGGTCCACTCCAACAACCACCATGTCAGACTACACAGAGAAGCCATTGAAATCCACAAGCATGTGGACAATTTCAACAGAAAGGAGGAGACCATGAAAATGAACAAAATCTGGCTACCAGTATTAAAAAAACTCTAAAATTACAACAGCAAAACAGCAGAGAAGAAACAACAACAGTAACAACAAAATGTATTTATCCCTGTCAGAGACTAATAATGTTGTTATTGCATTCAATTCTCAAAGGGTCTCTGTTAATATTAACAATAGCAATATTAGTAATCTCAGTAATTGTTATTTATTGTCATATTCAGACCTGTATTAGTGCTGACCTGTTAGACAGTCTCTGGCAGTATTTAACAATAGGAATAATAATATTATTTGCTGCCAGAGTTCCTCATTGTCTTACCTTTCCTTTATTGTGTTATCTTGGGTGAGCAGTTCCAGTTTCCACTCAAAGTTAAACAATCCTGACAAGTTTTACAGAGAAAGTAAAAAATAATACAAAATAGTAAATGTGAAGCATATATACATTAAGCACTTAATCAGTAGTTAAAATTTATATCTCTTTATGTAGCATGCACAACAAACCATATGAGCTAATAAAGAAATAAAAATAACAACTACTGTGCTGCAGGCCCGTAGCCAGGATTTCGTTTCGGATGGGGTGGGGGGCTAAATTTTTTTCAGGGGGGGGGGGGGGGGCTGAGTCTGAGTGAAAGAGGGTCTAGCCTAGCAAACCTTTTGTTTCATTACCCCAATACCCCCATGCATATGGGATATATTGAGTATGGTGATCAGATCATGATATGAATAAACATAACAGTTTAAATAATGTACCAGTAAGGCCTTTTCGCGAACCACCATGAGAATTTCGGGGGGGGGGGGGCTGAACCCCCCCAACCCCCCCCCCCCCCCCCGGCTACATGCCTGCTGTGCTGCCTACTTCTTACAGTATCCTCACAGGGCTACAATACTCACTACAATTCACTATGCATTTACAATGGAGTATAACTGGAGAACGCTTCTCATTCACACACATACATCATATATTTTCCTTTTAGAAATTAAGATACACATCAGGAAGAATTGTTCCCAGGTGGAGGTGAAATGAATGGGAGTTCTTATTTACCTAGGGAAATTAGGGGCAAATAATGATGATTGGAACGGAATATGGATAACGAGATTGGTTTATGATTCTACGATGAGACGGCGCGGATGATTTAGTGTAATTGTATTATTGATAGTTATGTTGATATTTGTTGTGATATTGCCTTATTGTAAACTGTTTTTTATATGTTGTACACCGCCGTGAGTCGCCCTAGGGCTGAGAACGGCGGTCAACAAATGCAGTAAATAAATAAATAAATAAATACTTGCTTCAAGCAGAGCAGACAGTGAGTTCTGGCAGCACAATGACTGTAAGTGACTTTAGGAACTTAAGTAAATATTTAGAAATTGGGTCTACTTTGTGGAGAGAAAAAGTGGGGTGTAAATAATAATAATAACAATGGATTGTCGATATTGGTGTCCCAGGTGACAGCAGGATCGAAGAGAAACAGCTAGAAAAGCTGACACAGGATTGAAGAGAGACAATTGGAAAAGCTGACATGATATGAGGATTTAAAGATCAAATGGCAAGGACTCTGGCACAAACCAGTCAAGGTGGTCCCAGTGGTGATTGGCACACTGGGTGCAGTGCCTAAAGACCTTGGCCTGCACTTAAACACAATCAGCGCTGACAAAATTACCATCTACCAGCTGCAGAAGGCCACCTTACTGGGATCTGCACACATTATTCGCCGATATATCACACAGTCCTAGACACTTGTGATCCAATACAACAGCCAGCAGAGTAATCTTGTCTGCTGTGGACTCATCTTGTTGTGTTTCAAATAATAATAATAATACTAACATAGATACAGTTAAAATGCATTAATTAAAGTGCATTAATTATATTTATTTATTTTTTACGGCATTTATACGCCACCCTTATCACCCCGAAGGGGACTCAGAGCAGCTTACAATATATATTTTCATACAATATATTATACTATTAGCATAGTAATATAATTATATTATATTATATTATTAGCATAGTACAATATATCAGTATTATATATTATATATTAGTATTATATATATAGCATAGATTTATTATTTATTTATTTAGCAATTTTGTATACTGGTCTTCTCCCCTCTATCGAGGGACTCGGGCCAGTTTCCAACAATAAAATCACAAAACAATCATTAAAAACATCATATAACATATTCAATTAAAACGTTATAATAGCAAAATGCAATCACATAATAACAATGGTCAGTCGTCATAGTGAATTCGTTGTCCATCATTCATCGTCATCTATCTGATCACAGAAATATTGATTCACTCGTCGAAAGCCAAACCCCATAGCCAGGTTTTCACCCATTTTTTGAACGACAGAATGGAGGGGGCAGTTCTGATCTCCAGTGGGAGAGAGTTCCAGAGTCGAGGGCCACCACCGAGAAGGCCCTGTCCCTCATCCCCACCAGACGCGCCTGAGAGGCTGGTGGGACCGAGAGCAGGGCCCCTCCAGACGATCTTAACAACCTAGATGGTTCATAGGGGAGAATACGTTCGGACAGGTAAACTGGGCCGGAGTCGTTTAGGGCTTTATAGGTTAACACCAGCACTTTGAATTGTGCTCGGAAGCTAATTGGCAGCCAGTGGAGCTGGCGCAACAGAGGAGTAGTATGCTTCCTGTACCCTGCTCGTGTTAGCATTCTGACTGCCGCACGTTGGACTAGTTGGAGCTTCCGGGCAGTCTTCATAGGCAACCCCACGTAGAGAGCGTTGCAGTAATCTAAATGGGATGTAACCAAAGCGTGGACCATCGTGGCTAAGTCAGACTTCCCAAGGTATGGGCGCAGCTGGTGCACAAGTAATAATAATAAGATGCACTCAAAGTAATAATAATGATAATGATATAATAATAATAATATAATAATTATTATAAGCATAATTATAAGCATAATAATAATTATAAGCATAATAATAAGCATCTGAGGCTGCTTGCCATAGATGCAGGCGAAACGTCAGGAGAAATGCCTCTAGAACATGGCCCTATAGCCCGAAAAAACCTACAAGAACCTAATAATAATATAGATAGCATAGATGCCCCCAAAAACGCCTTTTTCTAAGTTCACTAACTTCTCTTCTTTCCATGCAATTGCTCTGCTGAGTCATCAAAAAGGGCTGACTTCCGCTTTCCACTTGTGCTGGACACTAGAGAGAGTCTTTTCTGCTGAGTCAGCATACGAATCTCTGCGTCATCAATGAAGGAGGCTTCTTTGCAGTGCTTGGCCAGCTAGTTCCTGGAGACTCCGCCCCTTTCCCCTCCCTAACCTCGTGATTGGTTAGCCGTTCAGCCTATCCCGTGTTGCCCGCGATTGTCCTTTGCCCCGCCCTTCCTTTCATTGGCCAAACCTTGTCCCTTCCACGCCGTTGATTGGCTGTTCTTTCATATCTCCGAACGCCGTCGTAGTGGAGCAGCAAGCGACCGGTCTCTTCATGTTGGAAATCTGGAATAGAAATATACCTGGATTTTCTTTTGATTGTCTTTAAATACCATTCTAGCCATGGAGTTAACGTACCATGCTTTGAAAAAGACGCATGAGGTGAAGGAAGCGGTGAGTGGGGGAAAGCGGGCCTGGATTGTGTGTGTTTCTCTGCGTTACTATGGCAACGGATGAGGCGCGTTCTGTGCGCATGCGCTTCGCCAGCTGGGTTGCACCTGCGCAGGCGCAGTGGCGCTCCTCAGCCCAGAGCTGAGTTACGAGATCTTGAGGAGTTGTTGCAGTTGGGTGTTCATAAGATATATATACACACACACAGGTCTTGCAGAGTTGTTGCATTTGGGAGTTCATGAGATACACACACACACTGAAATATGAATGATGAGGAGATATATATATATATATATATATATATATGAGCTTGTGCACATATTGATATCTATCTATATATATGAATTATGAGGATATATAAATATGAGTCTCTACAGATCACAAAGCTGTTATTTTATGTGCTTTTTACGTGCATACGAAAGCTGACTGGCACAACCTGGGGATCACAACCAGATACAGTGAAGACATCTGCCCTTGCGCTGTGCTACTCTGCTGCTGAGTATGCATGCCCAGTGTGGAACACATCTCACCACACTAAAACAGTGGATGTGGCTCTTAATGAGACATGCCGCATTATCACGAGGGTGTCTGCGCCCTACACCACTGGAGAAATTACACTGCTTAGCCAGTATTGCACCACCTGACATCCGCCGGGAAGTGGCAGCCAATAGTGAAAGGACCAAGGCAGAGACATCTCCAGCTCATCCCCTGTTTGGGTATCAGCCAGCACGTCAACGACTTAAATCCAGACATAGTTTTCTAGGATCTACAGAGACACTCGCTGGAACACCTCAGCAAGCGAGAGTCCAAAAGTGGTAGGCTCAAACCCAGAACCTCAACCAATGGCTGATACCAAATGAGAGACTCCCCCCTGGGCACACAGAAGACTGGGGCGACTTGGAATGCGCTGAACAGACTGCGCTCTGGCACCACAAGGTGCAGAGCCAACCTTCAGAAATGGGGCCACAAAGTGGAATCCACGACATGCGAGTGTGGAGAAGAGCCAACCACTGACCACCTGCTGCGATGCACCCTGAGCCCTGCCACATGCACAATGGAGGACCTTCTTGCAGCAACACCAGAAGCACTCCAAGTGGCCAGATACTGGTCAAAGGACATTTAACCAACTACCAAGTTTGCAAAATCTGTGTTTTTTTTAAATCTGTTTGTTTGTTTTATTCTGTTAGAAATGTAAAACAATGGTATGGTTGCTGATGACACGATAAATAAATAAATAATGTTTATGAATATGTTGATCGACTCAGTGTTCTGGTACAGCTGTACCAGGAGCTCCAATTTTGTTTGCTTTGCATTGAATGCTTGTTTGCAGTCCTAAGTTTCAGAGACTCTGCAGATAGGTGGCTTCTTTTGGTTTGCAGTTATACGGCAAGCCACCTGCCCATCATCGTTGAGTTTGGTCCCACCCCTTGCTCAGGGCAATTGGGAAGGGAAGGGAGCCATTTTTTAGTTAGTCTCAGCAAGGAAAGCTATGTACAGGACGTGTGTAAACTTCCCCTGTACAAAAGCTTCAACTTTTAAGAATTTCCAGGAAAACAGCCCTAAAGACCAAAGAACTCCAGCTGGAGAACATCTACTGCCTTGCTGGTAGGTCCACTCGGTGTTCGAGACGCAGTTCGACCCGGTAGTGGAGCCCACATCAGTAAGGGTTAGATTACAGTCAGCCTGGGAGAAGTTAAAAAGGGGGTTTTCCTTTAAAGAAGTAGTTATTGAAGATAGTTGCCTGTCCTTCGTGGGCAAGATTAGAAATTCACCAGTTGCCTAAAAGCTTGGAATCATTTGCTTAACTTTACTGAAGACAAGAGAAGTTTATGTTTGATTGTTCATTAATAAAAGACTTTGTTGTACTTCTCAAGCCATCTGAAGACTCTTTGTGGTGGAAACCTCTGAGAACTTCTCCTTGGGCCCCTGGCTTCCCGCTGGGCAAAGGTTGCACATCCTGTACTAAAGACGAATATTTACAGGCCCAGCGCGCGACAGAACAGATAGAATTACCTTCAGGATATGTGTACAAGACATATATGAATGAAAACTAATTTTGTTTTTAGATTTGGGGCTCCTCTCCAGAATATCTCATTATGTAAATATATACAGATATATCTATTCATTAAAAAAAAATCTAAAATCCAAAACACTTTTGATCTCATGTATTTCGGAAAGGTATAATCAATGAACCAATTTTATTCAGAATTACAATTTGTCTAATGGTTGCTTCTCTAATTATTATTATTACTAGCGGTCCCCTGCCACGCGTTGCTGTGGCCCAGTCTGGTGATCTGGAAAATAAAGTAATGAGAAAGTGTTGGTTTCTAATATATGTAATTCCTTTCTGCTTGTGGGTAAACAGTATTTCTTGCTGTTTCTTTGTCAGTGTTGATGTGGAGATTGTCTGGTTTGCCTACTCTGGAACATGCAACATATTGTCCTTCTTTAGGGGTCCCTTTCACATCTATATACTATATCTGTGTGTGTGATCATATATCTATATATCTATGGCTGGATGGCTGTTGTCAGGAGGGCTTTGATTAATGTTTTCTTGCTCTGGTGAAGGGAGTTGGACTGGATGGCCTTAAGGCAGCATTTCTCAACCTGGGGTTTGGGACCCCTGGGGGGGGGTTGCGAGGGGGTGTCACAAGGGTCACCAAAGACCACCAGAAAACACAGTATTTTCTGTTGATCATGAGGGTTCTGTGTGGGAAGTTTGCCCCAATTTCGTCAGTGGGGTTCAGAATGCTCCTTGATTGTAGGTGAATTATAAACCCCAGTAACTACAACTCCCAAATGTCAAGGTCTATTTTCCCCAAACCCCATCTGTGCTTATATTTGGGTATATTGAGTATTTGTGCCAAGTTTGGTCCAGATCTATCATTGTTTGAGTCCACAGTGCTCTCTGGATGTAGGTGAACTACAACTCCAAAACTCAAGGTCAATGCCCACCCAACCTTTCAAGTGTTTTCTGTTGGTCATGGGAGTCCTGTGTGCTGAGTTTGGTTCAATTCCATCGTTGGTAGAGTTCAGAATGCTCTTTGATTGTAGGTGAACTATAAATCCCAGCAACTACAACTCCCAAATGACAAAATCATAATTTTTTGAGTGATGGTCACTCCTTGTCTTGTGAGACGTTTTGTTGCCAAATTTGGTGTGATTTCGTTCATTGGTTCTTTTGTTTTTAAGGTACTCATTATGCACAGAGCATTTATATATAGATAGATTTACAGTCACCAGCATTCATCAGTCTACTTATATTAACCCATACTTGTATATGATGAAACAAAGAACAAGAGACAATGAATTGTGTGGACAGAAGGAAATTAGTATGAATTTCGAATATAAGCCATGACAAATGCTTATGAGAACAGTTGTGTTGTAGAACTGAGATGTATGCATTGAGCCTTTTTTCATTTGGACTTGTAATTAGAAATGTAATAGGACTCATGTGCCCTTTTTAAGTTGAGACAATTCACAAAATTGACCAAAGATTGTGATCAATGCAGAAGAGAACGTATTGATCATTCTTGCTTTAGATTTATTGAAATCCAGAGTGCATCATCAGCATCTTTCAAGAGCGAGGGGGGAAAAGAACCTTGAGGAATTATTGGATTTTAATAATAAACCTTGATTGCTCACTAATTCATCTTTTGGCAGCTGCAACCAAAACAATGTGTGGCATTTTAAGAAATGAGTAATGTGCTCTGTAAACATGGAAGCTAATTAGGGAAGCACTTTTAGCATTTGAAACTAGCTCCTGTTTAAGTGCCTTAAGCTTTTATTAATTGTATGGACCAAAAAACCCTTATAGTAATTGAAAATTTAATTACACTATTTTTTTGTCCTAGGAATGGGAGCTTATTAAACTTTAAACACTTAACCGTCTATTGAAATACCAATGGCTGTAAAGAGGGTGGTATTCTACATAGCAATTAAAGAAGCAAATGTAAATCACTATAAACCTAAACTGAATTTTAAATAATGTTTTGCTTTTCAAAGTGCTTTTATCCTTTCAGGCATGTGCAAGATCTACCACTTCTGTGGGAACTAGTTGCAATTCTGAGCAAAGATGCATTTGGTGTGTTTTGGCCATTGTGGGAAGTGTTTGATGAGGGCTGCAGCGCTTTGCAGTAAAGGAGAGTCGACTTGAAGATTTGGAAAGGAAAGGACCAGAGATAAGATAAGGGTCAAAGGCTGCTTCTAATCTACACTGACCATAACATTTCAGCCAAAACTGCATTATATGTCAGTGTAGAAACAAACAAACATAATAGGTTATGTTTAGATTACATACTTGCTGCTAGGTTGATTGAAACAAATTTACACCTCTTAGGAAGGTTACTGGCCACTCATTTCCATGAGAGAATTATAGAATTCGAAGCAGTCCAACCCCATTCTGCCATCCAGGAAAACACAATCAAAGCACTCCTGACAGATAGCCATCTGGTCTCTCTTTAAAAACCTCCAGAGAAAGAAACTCCAGCTGCTTCTACAGAGCCACATCATCCAGAATTTCTGCTCTTCATATAATGATTAGCTGCAGCACATTATATAGCTGATTTCAGACTTTCTCTTGACTTTTTTGAACACGTGTTTTTCATTGGATATACATTGCAGCACGCATTAGACATGAACATTTTTAGACACCACCCATCTTATAACCCACATCATTCTGGATTTTACCGCATAATAATAATATTGATAATAATTGTGCGGTGTTCTGGCATTGTATATTTCTGCCACTTCTGTGAGTGTTCATTTGTATTTTGATTCTGTGGCCCACTTGTCGATAGATGTTCAGAATCAGCAGCATCTACTGTGGTCCTTTTTTATCCTGGGCATCAACTGAGTCAGTATAGACTTCGTTTTGCTTTGCTTCTCCATAGTGCGAATGGGTGCTCTTGGTTCCACTCCTCAGCTGAGACCTCTCTGGCTTGGTTGGACCTGCTGGTAGTTACATTACCACGAGCACAGCTCTCAGCATCCTTGGAGCAGTTAAGCCCCCCACCACAACAAGGTGGCACCCATCAGGGGTAGTAGAAAATGAACACGCAAAAATACTGTGGGACTTTCAAATCCAGACTGACAAAATACACCAGACATCACGATTGTGGAAAAGAAAAAAGTTTGGATTATTGATGTCACCATACCGGGTTGTTGTTTTTTTTTTTTTCGTGTCAAGAGTGACTTGAGAAATTGCAAGTCGCTTCTAGTGTGAGAGAATTGGCCTTCTGCAAGGACGTTGCCCAGGGGACGCCCAGATGATTTGATGCTTTTATCATCCTTGTGGGAGGCTTCTCTCATGTCCCCGCATGAGGAGCTGGAGTTGATAGAGGGAGCACATCCGCCTCTCCCCAGATTTGAACCATACCGGGTGACAGTCACATTGAGGAAAAACAACAGAAAAACTCAGCCGTTATCAGGACCTCAAAATCGAACGGCAAAGGCTCTGGCATAAACTAGTTGTTGTAGTAATCGGCACACTGAGTGCCATGCCAAAAGATCTCAGCCAGCATTTGGAAACAATAAACATTGACAAAACTGCTTTGAGTCCCCTTCGGGGTGAGAAAAGCGGTATACAAATACTGTAAATAAACAATAAACATTGACAAAATCACAATCTGTCAATTGCAAAAGGCCACCTTACTTGGATCTGCACGCATCATTCGAAAATACATCACACAGTCCTAGACGCTTGGGAAGTGTTTGACTTGTGATTTTGTGATACGAAATCCAGCATATAGATCTCATTTGCTGTGACATACTGTGTTTTTGTGTCAGTAAAATAATAATAATAACAACAACTTTAGTCTTATACTCCGCCACCATCTCCCCAGAGGGACTTGGGGCGGCTTACAAGGGGACAAGGCCAAGAATACAGATTAAACACAACCAATAAAAATAAGACAAAATAAAATCAACTCCAACATCAGAAAAACATACAATCATATTACACATTTTAAAAACAGTATCATGGCTGAGGGAATAAATGCTGAGTGTGGAAGTATCAGAGAATGTGCAATTGTTCCTAGAGAGAGCCCAGGGAAGGTGGCAAATCAAATTAAGGTCACATCTGGAAGGATGAAGATGTGTAGATGTCTCAGAGTGTCATCACACTCTGAGACAGCATATTCGACTGTCAAACAGGTCTTACCATCAATCAGTTCTTCTTAATGTGTAGATGGAATCTTCAACTCTATTGCTCCATATTCTGGCCTTATAGTAGCAGGAAACAAGCCCTGTCATCAATATTACGTTCTTTCAATTATCTGTACATGGCTCTCACGTCCCCATTCAACCTTCTTCAAGCTAAACTTATCCAGCTTTCTAAGCCACTTTTCATAAGGATTTGGGCCCTAAAATCCAGAAAAACTAGAGCAATGGTTCTTTACCTGTGTGCCGTGGACCACCACTGGGCTGTGAGGACAAAAATCCGGTCCATGAGAGGTCCATCCGGTCCTCTTTCCTATTTATTTATTTTATTTTATTTTATTTTATTTTATTTTATTTTATTTTATTTTATTTTATATTTTATTTCCCCTCCTTTTGCGCCACCTGCCACTCCTTCCCTGTCACTGACCATGGCATATGTTCTGTATCAGATATCAGAGCTGATGTGGTCTATCCAATGCAATTTTCTGAATCAGTATCCAAACCAACTCTAAAGTTGCCCAAAAACTGATTCCTAACCCTTTTGGTACTAATGTCAGAGAGTGGTCCCTGGTCAAAAAAAAAAAAATATTGGAAACCACTGGTCTAGAGGCAAACACTCTTTTTTCAAAACTATACCCAAAAGTAAATAAAAAAAGCTTTTTTCCTTGAGCCACTAGATGGCACCCCGTTTTTAAGAAAAAATCAGAACGATTTTTGTATGCCACATAAAATGTGATGCTCATGAAAATCATGATCATCCTAAATATAATGCACACATAGCTATTCAGTGCATATACACTATAGATTTAATGCAGTTTGACAGCACATTAGCTTCCATGGGGTCAGTGCTGCAGAATCATGACTGTTGTAATTTGGTTATTTATTTATCATGTCAGAAGCAAATTGAGTACAATTGTAATATATTTTTAAAATCACAAAGTTCAAAACTTGGTATTATGCTAAATGTCCTTTGACCAGTAGCTGGCCACTTGGAGTGCCTCTGGTGTAGCTAGGAGAAGGTCCTCCATTGCACATAGGGCAAGGCCCAGACTGCATTGTAGTAGGTGGTCTGTGGTTTGCTCTTCTCCACACTCGCATGTCATGGACTCCACTTTGTAGCCCCATTTCTTTAGGTTGGCTCTGTATCTCATGGTGCCAGAGCGCAGTCTGTTCATTGCCTTCCAAGTCACCCAGTCTTCTGTGTGCCCAGGAGAGAGTCTCTTATTTGGTATCAGCCATTGATTGAGGTTCTGGGTTTGAGCCTGCCACTTTTGGACTCTCACTTGCTGAGGTGTTCTAGCGATTGTCTCTGTAGATCTTAGAAAACTATTTCTTGATTTAAGTCATTGACATGCTGGCTGATACCCAAACAGGGGGTGGGCCGGAGATGTCACTGCCTTGGTCCTTTCACTGTTGGTTGCTACTCCCCGGCGGATATCAGGTGGTGCAATACCAGCTAAAAGCCCTCAGGCTTAAAAGTCATGATAAGACAATATGGCATAACTCCTCCAATCTAATTGTTCCAATCTAATCTCTATTCAGGAGTGTTTGCTTTATCACAATGGAAAATATGACACAACTCACCTTTTTATTCACAGGAAGAGATGCGAACAGAAGCCCGTCGAAAAAATCTTCTCATTCTGATACTAAATTATTTAACTGAGGAAGGGTATGTATATTGTTGTTTCTTCTCCAGGAAAAAAAATGTTCCTATATATGAGGACATTTTAGCATTGATCCAACCATCAAGAATCTTTGGCCCTCCAGGTGTTTTGGACTTAAACTCCCACAATTCCTAACAGCCGGTAGGCTGTTAGGAATTGTGGGAGTTGAAGTCCAAAACACCTGGCGGGCCAAAGTTTATCCATGCCTGAGCTAGACATACATTTTTAAAAGTATGTTACAATGTTTGTGTCTTAATAACAAAACAGGAACCTCTGGATTTATAATTCCCAGATATGTTGATACTGCAAACACTTTGGAACAAGAAACGAAAATGAACTTGCGACGCTTTGAAGTTTGCGACAACGTGGACCTTGAAACGATTATGCTGGAATATGAAAGTTATTACTACGTTAAATTTCAGAAGTATCCAAAGATCACCAAGAAAACCTTAGACACCAGTAAGTTGCGCTTTTTCAGAAACAATGCACTTGTTTCCCTTTCAAAATTAAAATTATATTACTGCAAGAAGTCTTCATAGACCTTTTCTTTCTTTTTTGGAAGCAATGTTGTCCAACATACTTTGGTCCATATAACTGAGCACTTTCTAATCTGCATAAATATATCACTGGCTGCATTAGAGATTTAAGCAGAGGCTGGATGGCCATCTTTCAGGGGTGCTTTGAATGGGATTTTCCTGCTTCTTGGCGGGGGGTTGGACTGGATGGTCCACAAGGTCTCCTTCAACTCCGTGATTCTATGATTCTATGAGCTTCAGCGCCAAATATTTGGTTAATTAAGATATTAAGATATTAATTATGAATATTAAGATATTAATTAACCAAATTAAGAGTAGAAATTTGTTAATGGATAAAATAAGAAGAAGGAATATTATGCAGAGTTGGAAAAAAAAGAAGAAAATATTGTGAACTAGCTAGCTGTACCCGCCACGCTTTGCTGTGGCCAAACTTCCCTCTTTCTTTCTTTCCTTCTCTCCTTCCTTCACTCCCTCTTTCCTTCCTTTCCCCTTTTTCTTTCTCTTCTGCTGGCTCTCTTTTCTTGCTTCTCTCCTTTCTTCTTTCCTTCCCTCCCTCTTTCTCTACATCTTCCCCCCTTCCTTCGCTCCCTCTTTCCTTCCTTCTTTCCCTTTTTTCTTTCCTTCTCTCCTTCCTTTCTCTAACTTTCCTTCCTTCCCCCTTTTTCTTTCCCTCCCTCTTTCTCTCCTTTCTTCTTTCTCTATTTTTCCTTTTTTCTCCTCTTTCTTTCTCTCTTCTCTTTCTTTCCTTCTTTCCTTCTTTCTCTTCTTCCTTCTTTCTTTCTTTCTTTCTTTCCTCTTCCCTTTCTTTCTTTCTTTCTTCTTTCTTTCTTTCTTTTTTCTTTCTTTCTTTCTTTCCTCCCTTCCCTCCCTCCTCCTCCCTCCCTCCTTCTTTCTTTCTTTCTTTCTTTCTTTTTCTTTCTTTCTTTCTTTCTTTTTCTTTTTTTCTTTCTTTCTTTCTCTTTCTTTTTTTCTCCCCTTCCCTCCCTCTTTCTTCCCTTTTTCTGTATTGTCATTAAGCTTTTGGGGGCCTTTTAAGTCCCTTCTGCTGTGCTTTTTTTTCAGTGTTTTTATGAGTGAAGGACATACATTGGGTTGTTAGGTGTATTGTGTCCAAATTTGGTGTCAATTCCCCAGTGGTTTTTGAGTTCTGTTAATCCCACAAATGAACATAACATTTTTATTTACATAGATGTTGCAATTGGCCACCTTGATTAGCATTTAATGGCCCGCAGTTTCAAGACCTGGCTGGTTGCTGCCTGGGGGAATCCTTTGTTGGGAGGTGTTAGCTGGCCCTGATTGATTCTTGCCTGGAATTCCTCTCTTTTTTTAAACCTTGCCCTTTATTTACTGTCCTGATTTTAGAGTTTTTTAGTACTGGTAGCCTGATTTTGTTCGTTTTCATGGTTTTCTCCTTTCTGTTGAAATTGTCCACATGCTTGTTGTGGCTTTCAATTGCTTCTCTGTGTAGTCTGACATGGTAGTTGTTAGACTGGTCCAGCATTTCTGTGTTCTCAAATAATATGAAAATGAACATGAAGATGAACAAAATCTGGTTACCGATATTTAAAAAAACTTCTAAAATCAGGACAGTAAATAAAGAGCTACACCCCAAAAACAGGGAAATTCCTGAGAGAAAACAATCAGGGCCAGCTAACACCTCTCAACAAAGGATCCCCCAGACAGCAAGCAGCCAGGCTTTGAAGCTGCAAGGGCATCAATGTGGCCAATTTCAACATTCACACTTGCCTCAAAGAGACGAGAGTTCTTTCTCCCACCCTGGACATTCCACATATATATAAACCCAATTTTCCTAGTTTCCAGCAGACCTCAAAACTTCTGAGGATGCCTGCCATAGATGTGGGCGAAACATCAGGAGAGAGTTCTTCTAGAACTTGGCCATACAGCCCAGAAAACTCATAGCAACCCAGTGATTCCGGCCATCAAAGCCTTTGACAACACAAAGATATATTTTAAATTGTGACCTTCAGCTTGATACATTTATTAAAAGCAAGAGAAAATTCATACTCATGTTTTCCTTCCACACAGCTGATAATAAATCAAGAAGTGGAGGAAAAATAAAAAGGTAAGAGAAATGGCAACTACGCGAACAATAGTTAACAGAATTTTGTTGATTTAAAATACTTTATATTTATTTATCATTCCCACTCCAGTTTTGTGGCAAACAGGGTTAAGCTCGCAACATGGAAGCACTATACCATTTTCTAATGGAAAATAGAAGGTAAATCATAAGAGACTTCTATGTGAATGAAGTTGTTAATTGGGACAGGAGCAAAGAGATTTTGGTAACTATGTCTTGTGTCTTGGATATCCTGTGGGGTAAAAGAATTTTTAAAGTATTTATAGTATTCAAAGTACTGTATATACTCAAGTATAAGCCTAGTTTTTCAGCTCTTTTTTTAGGCTGAAAAAGTCTCCCTTATGCTCGAGTCAAGGTTATTATTTTAATACATTTATCATTTTATTCTATTATTATTATTATTATTATTATTATTACATTTATTATTTTATTGTAGTATTACTCTTATGTCCTTTCCATTATTTTACTCTGTTGTTGTTGTTGTTATTATTACAGTTATTATTTTAATGTGTTGTTGAAGGCTTTCATAGCTGGAATCACTCAGTTCTTGTGGGTTTTTTCGGGCTATATGGCCATGTTCTAGAGGCATTTTCTCCTGACGTTTCGCCTGCATCTATGGCAAGCATCCTCAGAGGTAGTGAGGTCTGTTGGAATTAGGAAAATGGGTTTATATATCTGTGGAATGACTGGGGTGGGGCAAGGAGCTCTCTGCTGAAGCTAGGTGTGAATGTTTCAGCTGACCACCTTCATTAGCATTTGAAGGCCTGGCTGAGCCTGGGAAAATCTTTTGTTGAGAGGTGTTAAGATGTGCCTGGTTGTTTCCTCTCTGCTGTTTTGCTGTAGTAATTTTAGAGTTTTTTAATACTGGTAGCCAGATTTTGTTCATTTTCATGGTCTCCTCCTTTCTGTTGAAATTGTCCACATGCTTGTGGATTTCAATGGCTTCTCTGTGTAGTCTGACATGATGGTTGTTGGAGTGGTCCAGCATTTCTGTGTTCTCAAATAATATGCTGTGTCCAGGTTGGTTCATCAGGTGCTCTGCTATGGCTGACTTCTCTGGTTGAAGTAGTCTGCAGTGCCTTTCATGTTCCTTGATGCGTGTTTGGGCATTGCTGCGTTTGGTGGTCCCTATGTAGACTTGTCCACAGCTGCATGGTATACGGTAGACTCCTGCAGAGGTAAGAGGCTGATGAGAAGCTGATGAGGAAACACAACATACAAACTATCTACAGACCCACCAAGAAAATCTAACAAATGTTATGTTCAGCAAAGGACAAGAGGGATCCTCTCACCTCTGCAGGAGTCTACTGTATACCATGCAGCTGTGGACAAGTCTACATAGGGACCACCAAACGCAGCGCCCAAACATGAAAGTTCTGGTGGTGAAAACTAGGGGGCGCTGGTTCTTTGCTTCTATAGTGTTGCTAAAGTTCTGGTGGTGAAACTTTCAGAACTCTAAAACAATTTTCAAAATTTCATTATAAATGGCAGTTCCTAATAGGTTCTGTCAACCTATTAGGAACTGCCATTTATAATGAAATTTTGAAAGTTAAGGGATCGCGGCATTAGGAAAGTTGATCTGGAGGACCTCGAGATTTCTAGAAATCAAATCTGCAAACAATGAAAATTACCAAAGTTACCCCCCATCAGTGTGTAGGGCTGTGTAACTATTAGTACTGTTTAGTATTGCAAGGTATGCTACACCAGGAACCCGTTTTGTGTTCTAGGGCAGGTAGCAGCAATTACCGGAATCTCCCTAAAATCAGCCAGCCTCAAACAACGCAGAGGCCCACGTCAAAAGCAAACCCTTCGAGAACAGCAGACTCCAAAAGTTTCAGCAAGGAGAGCCCTAGACAGGTTAACGTCCCTCTGTTACTTGCTTCTCACACCTTTTGGAATGTAATTCTTTTGACACTTGGGTAAGGCAACTAATAGATTGTGGGGATCAACAAACATCAAATAACCTAATAGCATTGTGGACATTCACTTGGCCTTGAGTTGGATAAGCAGGCTTCTTAAATCTATTGCTTTTATCTGTTCTATTGTACCTGATTTAGTCAATACAGTTCAGTAGGAAGATAAAGGTGGCTAATATGGTCACGACATCTAGCCCAACTGTGGCACAATGGGTTGAACCCTTGTGCTGGGTGAACTGCTGACCTGAAGGTCAGCAGTTCGAATTGGCAAGATGGGGCAAACTCCCTTTTGTCAGCTCCAGCTTCCCATGCGGGAACATGAGAGAAGCCTCCCACAGGATGGTAACACATCCAGGCGTCTCCTGGGCAACATCTCTCCAGACGGCCAATTCTCTCACACCAAAAGTGACTTGCAGTTTCGCAAGTCACTTCTGACACAATAAAAAAAATCTAGCCCAACGGGTGGAGGTTTAGCACAGCTGGTAAATCATCAGCAATTATAAGATCTATCAACCAAAAGGTTGCAAGTTCGAAGCCCTTGGTTGGCTTGAACTGCCAACTGTCAGCCTAGCTCATTGTTTACCTAAGCAATTTGAAAACAGCTTTAGCTGTGATTAGAGAAATTGAGTACCGCTAAAAGCAGGGGAGATGTTTTACGATGCCATAAATTAAGAAGATCAGAAAATGCTTGGCAACCGAAAGGAAGGAGGAATTCCTGACGGCTCTTTTTCAATCAGGATAGAGCAACAGCACCCCCTGGACTCGAGCCCAAACTTCCATGGCACCAAAAACAGCTGAAACAAACCACCTCCTTCAGTTCTGTTCCTTCTGTCTGTGTATTGTCTATACAAAGCGGCATTAAATGTTTGCCATGTATATGTTCTGTGATCCGCCCTGAGTCCCCTTCGGGGTGAGAAGGGCAGAATATAAATAAAGTGTTATTATTATATTATTATTCTCTAAACACAAGTTTCCATGGTCTTCACTACAGGATCGCACCCAGTGCTTCCCTAAATTTACTGAAATCAGCTTTCTTAAAGTCTAGAATGTGTGTCTGATTATGCACGGCTTCCCTTTTCTCCTTCATATGGTAACAATAATGGATCCTTTTTCTACAGGAAAGTGAAGATTCTTTGAATCGTGTTTCATCTGACTTTGGTTTAAATGTATCTGCAATCCACAAAGGAGGAGGTGGAGAAGGGACTCATCCTCGAAGGGTTAGTTGTCATCTGACATTTTTCATGTGTATATAATACTACACCTTTGGTGTCTCAAGATATCAACAACAGGGAATGTCTTATAGGGTATTTCAAACATAGATCTTCCCTTCTTAAATTCCATCTTGATCTTGGCTCATTTGGGGCCGCAGTGGCACAGCGGGTTAAACCGCTGAGCTGCAGAACTTGCTGACTGAAAGGTCAGCAGTTTCAATCCATGGAGTTGGGTGAGTTCCCACTGTTAGCCCCAGCTTCTGCCAACCTAGCAGTTCATAAGCATGCAGATGTGAGTAGATCAATAGGTACCACTCCAGTGGGAAAAATACAGCACCCCATGCAGTCATGCCGGCCACATGACCTTGGAGGTGTCTATGGACAATGCCGGCTCTTCAGCTTAGAAATGGAGATAAGCCCCCCCCCCCCCTCAGAGTCAGACCCGACTAAATTTAATGTCAAGGGTAAACCTTTACCTTTACCTTGGCTCATTTAACAAAACATTCTGGGGAAAAGGTCAGATGTGGGGCAGGCTGACATGAATTCAATATATTTTTGTGGCTGATACAGACCCAACAGTCTGACAGGAACCACTGCTAATCCAGGCCCTGTCCATTCCCATCGCCTCTGAATCTAGCTGTCGTTTGAATTTTCCACAATAGCTGTTATGATTTTTAAAAAGAAAGTTAAAGTGGACACTGTATAGATTGCAGCCAGGTAAACCTGCCAGGGCTTTTGATGAAGGAGACAGTTCTTTCAGACGTGGCATAAGCACTGGCAAAGGTATGGCAGAGCAGTCAAGCCAGGCCAACATGAAAGTCAGGGGAGGAGATCATGCTGGTTTGTTTCTCAGATAAGCAAAACTGATTGAACTTATTTGTAGCCCCTAACACACAACTTCCCCTAACTTCTTGCCATTGAATACTGATATACTCGAGTATAAGCCTAGTTTTTCAGCCTTTTTTTAGGCTGAAAAAGTACCCCTCAGCTTATACTCGGGTGAGGGTACTAGTGGGAAGGTGTGGGGCTGAAAGAAGGCCTTCTTTCAGCCCCACGCCTTCCTGCCAGGACCCTCACCTCCGTACAGCAACTCAGCTCTCCTTCCTTTTTTATTCTCTCACACAGTACACACCCTCCTCCTTTCTCAAGCAGGGTGCACCTTCCTCTCCTCATCTCTTGGTGCAGTACGCACCTTCCTCTCCTCTCTTGGTGCAGGGTGCACCTTCTTCTCCTTTCTCGCAAAGCATGTCCCTTCCTCTCCGCCTGTCTTGGCACAGTGTGCACCTTTCTCTCCTCTCTTGACACAGTGTGCACCTTCCTCTCCTCCTCTCTCAACACAGCACACACCTTCCTCTCCTCCTTTCTCACACAGTGCACACCTTCCTCTCCTCTCTTGGTGCAGTACGCACCATCCTCTCCTCCTCTCTCAGTGCTGCGTGCCCCTTCCTCTCCTCCTCTCTTGACACAGTGTGCACCTTTCTCTCCTCCTCTCTCAGTGCAGCGTGTTCCTTCCTCTCTTGACACAGTTTGCAGTGCACTCTTCTCCTTTCTCGCACATCACACACCTTCCTCTCCTCCTCTCTTGGTGCAGTATACACCTTCCTCTCCTCTTCTCTCAGTGCAGTGTGCACCTTCCTCTCCTCCTCTTGGTGCAGTGCACGCTTTCCTCTCCTCCTCTCTTGGCGCCAGTCTTTCCCACTTTTCCTTATTCATATACACACAGCATTTTCCCAAAATGTATAGTTAAAATAAAGGATTATTGGAAGGATATGTAAGCACATTTATATTGAAGAAGGTTAGAATAACAGTTTAATCAGAGTTGGACAGTCTTATCTTAAATTACAGTTTTGTGTAAATATTTAAAAACATTTAACCTACTGATGCCTCAATTAATGTAATTTTATTGGTATCTATTTAAATTTCAAATTTACTAGTAGCTGCTGCATTTCCCACCCTCAACTTATACTCGAGTCAATCAGTTTTCCCGAGGTTTTTTTTGTGGAAAATTAGGTGCCTCAGCTTATATTCGGTCAGCTTATATTCGAGTATATACAGTAAACTTTCCTGGGGATCTAGCTTTTCGTTCCCTATCTGGCATCCTTCAGATTCCTGTTTCTGTACCCGTTTCAGGCCTGGTAAACTTTCTTTATTTCTCCTACAGGGTCAAATTATTGATTTCCGTGGGATGATCCACGATGCTATTAAAGGTGCATCAAGTGAAATAGCTTTGCATAGCCTTAACTGCAATCCGGATCCTTCGGTGAGTGATATTCTTTCTAGACCCAAAAGGTAAATTTGAGGAGTGATGCCTAGCTCATTGGATGAGTTGATTGAAAATAGAAATTCCTGGTCTGAGGACAGTCTGGCTTTGTGCGTTTATTGCCCTTCATATTTTCAGAAAACACACGGAAATTAGTGAAATATCCAGACATACTAAAATTTTACCAAATTTTACCAAATTTGAAGCATTGAAAAACCTGAAAGAAAACCATAATATATAGCTTGGATTTACATTGTAACAAAGATCATATTTTCGCTTGAGCAAGGGTAGAAAGACCATCTATATAGTGCTCTACTAAGTGACTTTTCTGTAAATTGATGTGTAATGGCTCTCTAACCTCTTCTTCCCACAAAATGAATTGTAAGTGGAGTCTCTACTCATTGAGTTGTTGGAGGTTTTTTGGAGTCTCTAGTCATTGAATTCTTGTAGGTTTTTTTGGGCTGTATGGCCATGTTCCAGAAACATTCTCTCCTGACATTTCACCTGCATCTATGGCAAGCATCTTCAGTGGTTGTGAGGTTGTGAGAAAAACCTACAACCACCCAGTAATTCCAGCCATGAAAACCTTCGACAATACATCTCTAGTCATTGTCTGTCAGCTCTCCATTCCAACATGGACCAGACATATAAATGGGAAGAATGATCTCAGAGCCTTGTGCAAAAGAGACAAGCAACCAAAACCTAGGTCGATGTTTTTGTCTGTCTTCCTCAAGGTAGTTTGGCAATGGTTCTTCAGGGTCTCAAACAGGGAGAGGTCTTTCATTTCCATTTGATCCTTTTAACGAGAGATGTCAAGAACTGAATCTGGGACCATCTGTGTGCAATGTATGTGCTGTGCAACTATCTGTGGTCTCCTAGAAAGCAAGTGAAAGAGGAGAATGAAAAGACTTGACTTTGAAACTAGGATGATTATGACTAGATGGGAAGATCTTCAGGGCTGGATCTAGTTATTTGCCCTTCTGGCCGCCTGTCTCTTAGGTCCATATTTTGGAAGATCTGGATCTTTAAATAGTAATAGTCTCAATGCATCAAAAGCAAGGGGTGTCGGTAGGGCATGTGGGCTGGGAATATTTGAATGAGTGTGAAGATTGGGGTTTGGGTTTGCCCAATTTTGCTGAGATCTTCCCTAGATGGTACCTTCTTGGAAGGCAATATGCCCCATTTGCTTCATGACAATTCTTTACCCTTCCAGGTGAACACAAAAAGAGACAAGGATCTGGTAGTTACATCAGATGTGGTCTTTACACCCATCCCTACATACAAGGTTCAAGATTGGGGAAGGAGTACGGCAAGGCTGTATACTCTCACCCGATCTATTCAACTTGTATGCAGGACACATCATGTGATGTGCAGGACTTGACAAATCCAAGACTGGGGTTAAAATTGCTGGAAGAAACATTAACAACCTTAGGTATGCAGATGATACCACTTTGTTGGCTAAAAGCGAGGAGGAGCCGAGGAGCCTTCTAATGGAGGTGAAAGAAGAAAAGCCAAAAGCTGGGTTGCAGTTAAACATAAAAAACCCAAGAGTATGGCAACCGGACTGATTGATAACTGGCAAATAGAGGGAGAAAAGGTGGAGGCAGTGCCAGACTTTGTATTTCTAGGTGCAAAGATTACTGCAGACACAGACTGCAGCCAGGAAATCAGAAGATGTTTACTTTTTGGGAGGAGAGCAATAACCAATCTTGATATAATAGTGAGGAGTAGAGACATCACACTGGCAAAGAAGATCCGCATAGTTAAAGCAATGGTATTCCCCGTAGTAACCTACGGATGTGAGAGCTGGACCATAGGGAAGGCTGAGCGAAGAAAGATAGACGTTTTTGAACTGTGGTGTTGGAGGAAAGTTCTGAGAATACCTTGGACCACGAGAAGATCCAACCAGTCCATCCTCCAGGAAATAAAGCCCGGCTGCTCATTGGAGGAAAGGATACTAGAGACAAAGTTGAAGTACTTTGGCCACATCATGAGCAGACAGCAAAGCCTGGAGAAGACAATGATGCTGGGGAAAATAGAAGGAAAAAGGAAGAAGGATCGACCAATGGCAAGATGAGTGGATGGTATCCTTGAAGTGACTGGCTTAACTTTGAAGGAGCTGGGGGTGGCCACGGCCAACAGGGAGCTCTTGCGAGGGCTGGTCCATGAGGTCACGAAGAGTCAGAAGTGACTAAATGAATGAACAACAACAAACAACTACACACACCTCTTTATTAAGGATTGTATACTTCATTTCCATCCCGACATAGATAAGGATCTTCAAAGTCGTTGTTCTTATTTGATCTTGGGCATATGCAATATCCAAGATGTAGGAAGGTTATTCAACCAAAATAACCACAACATCCCTTGAATTCAGCTATTACTTTGATCAGTGGAGTGAAAAGAGCCTCAGTGCCTCACCACATATGATAGGAATGAATGTGTAAAGAATGAATGTGAACTTACCCAAAAGCCTATTTCCAAATGGTGTAACCTGTTTCAAGTCAAATTTAGTGACACCTCCCAGTACGTAAGACATTAATCCTGTATGCTTGTGCATGCTTATGTTTTAATAGGAACGGCTGTTAAAACCGCTAGGAGCCTTTGGTGGGATGTCTGCTGAAATGAGGGAACTTGCAACCGTCGTGAGCCGGGTAGGAGCTTCCTTTTCCATCTTGGAGAATGTTCTAAACACTACATTAATTGCATGGGACAGGAATGCTCTTCATTCCTGTCCAATAACAAATTAAAGTTGTGAGCAGCAGAGGGAACATTCATAGGACATAATCCAAGGGGGTGGTTTGCTGTTGTCAGTAGGGATAAACAGTATCCATCTGTTTCCGTGGTAGTTCATCCTGGATTGCCTTCTCTGTGTAGCTTTGTGCAGCATGGTTGCTGACAAAAGTGGAGATTATGACTTGAATTCTGTCTGTTAGTTCTAACTAATGCATGTTTGTGTGTGTACACCTTTAAGTACATTACATGTGAAACAATCAGTCTGCAAATTTTATTTATTTGTTTTTTTTTTACTTTACTTTTACCCCACCCTTCTCTCGATATAGAAACTTAAATGTTTACTGAAACATAGAGGTTGCTATTTAGTTTTAAAACAGCATAAGTAAATGTATATTTTAATATGTGTTATACTTGACCATTTAAATAAGGCATGGGCAAACTTTGGTCTGTAGGCTGTTAGGAATTGTGGGAGTAGAAGTCCAAAACAGCAGGCCTGATTTAAACTGTTGTCCTGAGTTTGCTTGTTTAGCAATCAATGTTTTGCAGGATATTTATCTCCACAACCCAAATGTCAAATGGAGTGATATTATTGGACTTGATGCAGCCAAGCGGTTAGTAAAGGAAGCTGTGGTGTATCCCATACGGGTAAGTAGATCCTCCACAACTATTTTAAAAGGCACAAGACTCTTTCAATTTCCCCCTCTTTTCAACATTTTAAAATCCATTTCTTAACTTGCATCAGAGTTACAACATTCAAATTCCGCTCCCGTTGCTCCATCCGTCTCACACCCCAATCTTAGTCAAAGACCCAAATACATGTCACTCTAACACTAGACAATAGGCCCGTCACTTTTACAGGTGTGGGGCACAAGACCCTTGTGAAAACTGAACATAAGAAACACTTTTTTAAATCTAAGAGGACACCTCTGGCAAACTTGAGGTCCTCCAGAATTATGAGCATTATCTGGAAAGTAAAGTTACAAGATTTTTTAAAAAAATACAAAGAATGCATATATTGTAATAAAACTTACATGGATTGTAGCATAGGTATTACATTACCTCATCACAAAAGTCAACATTGAGACTGTAATACAACACCACCTGAGCTCTGCAAGTGCAGCATTCTTCCGAATGAGACACAGAGTGTTTGAGGACCGGGACATTCGTAGAGATACCAAGGTGCTTGTTTATAATGCTATTGTCCTCCCAACCCTGCTATATGCCTGTGAAACGTGGACTATTTACAGATGTTAACTCAATTCCTGGAAGAATTCCATCAGCGTTGCCTCCAAAAAAAATTGCAAATCAAGGCTGACAAATGTCAGCATGCTGGAAGAAGCAAAGACCAACAGCATTGTGCCATCAACTTCGCTGGACCGGCCATGCTGTCCGAATGCCCAATCACCATCTCCCAAAGCACTATACTCCCAACTCAAGAATGGGAAATGTAATGTTGGGGGACAGGAAAAGAGATTTAAAGATGGGCTCAAAGCCAACCTTAAAAATTGTGGCATAGATACTGAGGACTAGGAAGCCCTGGCTCTTGAGCACTCTAGCTAGAGGTCAGCTGTGACCAGCAGTACTGTAGAATTTGAAGAGGCATGAATGGAGGGTGAAAGAGAGAAAGGTGCCAAGAGAAAGGCGTGTCAAGCCAACCCCGAATGGGAACACCTTCCACCTGGAAACCGATGCCCTCACTGTGGGAGAACATGCAGGTCTAAAATAGGGCTCAAAGAAAGACAGATATCTATGAACAATAACAAAATACAAGTTGCAAAGCATTATCAAAACAGAACTGTGTTAACGTAAAGCGTGTAAATACACTGCACATGAATCACAAAACAAAACTGAATGTTACTTAGTTATCTTGTAGTCCTTGAGACAGTAAATTATCTTCAGATACTGTCCAAATTAAAACCTTACTGTAGGACCAGCATCGTCTCATTTATAGCGTGAGTAATAATGTGTGTGTAGTCTATCTCACTGGAATGCATGTTATTATCACTGAATGTTTTTTGTTTGGGTGCCTTTTTTGGCATATCTATTATGTTGTTGTTATCACCCATTTAGGGATGTATGGTGAACCACCCACTTTCATAAAGAAGACAAACCCTGAAGAAGGGGAAGTCCCCCGAAAAAAGGCAACCTCAACCCGGGGATCCTTGTCATATCATCATTTGGATTATATTTTGAACTGGATATCATTTGGACTTAATTTGGACAGTATTTAAAGATAATTTACTGTCTCAAAGACTATAAGATAACTAAGTAACATTCAGTTTTGTTTTGTGATTCATGTGCAGTGTATTTACACGCTTTATGTTAACATATGTTTTGATAACGCTTTGCAACTTGTATTTTGTTACTAAAATAGGGCTCCACAGTCACCTACATACCCACCGCCAGGACACTGAACTTGGAAGACAATCTTACTGGGACAACAATAGACCGCCTAAGTGAAAGTGTGGCCCTTATGACCCAATATCCCATATTTGTATGATAAAGCCTCTATTGCAATGTGGTATGTGCAGCACGGAATAGCAGGGGGGGGGGGGTGTCAGCATTATGCTTTGGGCTCAAAAATTGCTCTTTGACTCAAATATTTTCAAAAAAAATTCTGAGATTCGTCAACCTCTTTCCTTAGTATCCACAGCTGTTTACAGGCATCCTGTCTCCATGGAAAGGATTACTGCTTTATGGACCTCCAGGTAAACATCAAAAAGTGATGATAGCTTGTGAATTTGCATTTGTCTTCCCTTCGACATCTGCAATGTTTCTTATGCCCTGGCTGAAGGCAGACAGAGTGTTCTTAATGTGGTGTCAGCAGGTTCTTCTTCCCTGCTGTGAATCTGGCTGCATACACATCTTTTGTGTTCTGCAAGATGAATGCTAGATTAGTTTCTAGCCTTGACCACTTATTTCCCTTGTACATCGGGAGTAGTGTGCCATTAAAGAAAGGAGACCAAAACATTTTAAAAGAGATATATTTATATGTGAATGCATTCCTAAGTTTCTCTCCTTGTGGAGAGAATAAGAGTCTCAGGTCCCTTCAACACTGCCATATAATTCGGATTATCAAAGCAGATAATCCATATTATCTTTTTGAATTGGGTTACGTGAGTCTACACTGCCATATTATCCAGTTCAAAGCAGATAATCTGGATTTTATATGATGGTGTAGAAGGGGCCTGAGACTCTTTTTCACAGCTAGTATTCTTGTTGCATTTAGTAGTGTTGCTTGGAACCTGATACCTCTAAATGAGTGTTTCTCAACCTAGGGGTCGGGACCCCTGGGGGGGTCACAAGGGAGTGTCAAAGGGATCATCAAAGATCATCAGAAAACACGGTATTTTCTGTTGGTCATGGGGATGCTGTGTGGGAAGTTTGGCCCAATTCTATCCTTGGTGGGGTTCAGAATGCTCTGATTGTAAGCAAACTATAAATCCAAGCAACTATTATTTATTATTTATTTATTTCCTATATTTATACCCCACCCTTCTCCCCACTAACAAAAGCATCATACACTGCTAGCATCATAAAAACAACCACAGTACAATTAAAATAGTACAAATTGAAACAACAATTAAAAACTGGGTTGCTGTTGGGGACAACAATCAGGGACATCTAATCACCTCTCAACAAAAGATTGCTCCAGGCACTGCCAGGCCATCAAATGCTAATCAAGGTGGTCAGTTGAAACATTCACACCTAGCTCCAGCAGACAAGAGTCCTTTGTCCCATCCTGGTCATTCCACAGATATATAAACCCATTTTCCTACTTCCAACAGACCTCACTACCTCTGAGGATGCTTGCCATAGATGCAGGCGAAACGTCAGGAGAGAATGCCTCTAGAACATGGCCATATAGCCAAAAAAACCTACAACAACCATATTAAAAAATTAAAACAATTAAAACAATTAATTAAGACTCATCCATTAAAATCGAAATCCAAAAACCAGTCTGGGTCAATTCATTGCCATAAGTTGTGTGATCTTCTTCCACTTGCTGCTCACTGATCAAATGCTTGGTCCCATAACCAGGTCTTGATTTTCCTTCTAAAAGACAAGAGGGAGGTAGCCAATCTGATATCTCTAGGGTGGGCGTTCCATAGGTGGGGGGCCACTGCTGAGAAGGCCCTGTCTCACGTCCCCATCAACCATGTTTGCGATAGTGGTGGGATCGAAAGAAGGGCCTCTCCTGAACATCTTAAACTTCATGATGGTTCGTGGCAGGAGATACGTTTTGTCTTGGCCAGAACTCCCAAATGTCAAGGTCTAGTTTTCCCAAATTCCACCAATGTTCACATTAGGGCATTTTGTTCCAGATCCATCATTGTTTGAGTCCATAGTGCTCTCTGGATGTAGGTGAACTACAATTCCAAAACTCAAGGTCAATGCTTACCAAACCTGTATTTTCTGTTCGTCATGGGAGTGTGTGCCAAGATTGGTCCAATTCCTTTCTTTGGTGGAGTTTAGAATGCCCTTTGATTGTAGGTGAACTATAAATCCCAGCAACTACAACTCCCAAATGACAAAATCAATCCCCTCCCCTGACCCCACCAGTATTCAAACTTGGGTGTATCGGATATTTGTGCCAAATTTCATCCAGTGAATGAAAATACATCCTGCATATCAGATATTGACATTACAATTCGTAGCAAAATTACTTTTATTAAGTAGTAACAAAAATAATGTTATGGTTGGGGGTCACCACAACACGAGGGACTGTATTAAGGAAGGTTGAGAAACACTGCTCTAAATAATGGCTGTATTTATCTTCCTTTTAGAAATAACATAATCTTGACCAAACAAATAAAAAAAAAGTATTTCTTACCTGTATATAATGCTTAAGGAGAGACTGAAGCTGATAGTAAACTTCCTCTTTCCTGCACCATGTAGGTACTGGAAAAACTTTGCTAGCTAAAGCTGTGGCCACTGAATGCAATACTACCTTCTTCAATATCTCAGCATCCACTATCGTCAGCAAATGGAGAGGTGATTCAGAAAAACTTGTCAGAGTAAGAACTGATTTTGTCTTCCTTGTACAACTGTAAAACTGAATAGTGGTGGGGAAAAAGTTTAACTCCAATCTACTATGTTGTTGTTATTTGCCATCTAGTTGGCTTTGATCTCAGACAACCCTATGAGTGGAACGTCTTTGAGAGACTTGCTTATTTTTAAAAAGTGTTCAAATCTAGTAAAATCAGGGCAGCAGCCTCCATAATGGAGTGTATCTATCTGTTGTAGACACGGAACAATGGCTTCAAACTACAGGAAAGAAGATTCCACCTGAACATTAGGAAGAACTTCCTAACTGGGTCACTGTTCAGCAGTGGAACTCTCTGCTCCGGAGAGTGGTGGAGACTCCTTCTTTGGAAGCTTTTAAACAGAGGCTGGATGGCCATCTGTCAGGGGTGGTTTGAATGCAATTTTCCTGCTTCTTGGCAGGGGGTTGGACCGGATGGCCCACAGGGTATCTTTCAACTCTATGATTCTAGGAGACACAGAACGCTCAGTTTCAGGACTTAAAATCTCATGCTGGCTCGCAGGCTCAGCAGGGCCAGAACTCCCATGATCCGCTTCCTCATTGACATTAGGCACGATCAATGGCTGAATTGTAACACTATTACCTCTCATGTTCTCTTCCTCTTTTCTGACTACTTTCCTTTTTCCTTCAGCTTTATTGATACATTCTGTGAATCATCTCATCCCAGGATATGTGTAAAGCATGATAGCCTCAGTTTAGTCAATTGGTTACTTAGTGAGAATTGCTATTGTTAATGCATTTATTTATATCCTGCCTTTTCACCAATCAGTGCCTCGAGGCAGTTAAAAATGAACATCGTACAAAAGTTAGAATGCAACAAAATTGTTAATGAAATTTTGTTGTTCATTCGTTCAGTCGTTTCCAACACTTTGTGACTTCATGGACTAGCCCACGCCAGAGCTCCCTATCGGCTGTCACCACCCCCAGCTTCTTCAAGGTCAATCCAGTCACTTAAAGGATACCATCCATCCATCTTGCCCTTGGCTGGCCCCTCTTCCTTTTTCCTTCCATTTTCCCCAGCATCATTGTCTTCTCTAAGCTTTCCTTTCTTCTCAGATGTGGCCAAAGTACTTCATCTTGGGCTCTACTATTCTTCCCTCCAATGAGCAGTCGGGCTTTATTTCCTGAAGTATGGACTGGTTGGATCTTCTTGCAGTCCAAGGCACTCTCAGAACTTTCCTCCAACACCACAATTCAAAAGCATCTATCTTCCTTCGCTCAGCCTTCCCTAAGGTCCAGCTCTCACATCCGTAGGTTGCTACAGGGAATACCATGGCTTTAACTATGCGGATCCTTGTTGCCAGTGTGATGTCTCTACTCTTCACTATTTTATTGAGATTGGTCATTGCTCTCCTCCCAAGAAGTAAGTGTCTCCTGATTTCCTGGCTGCAGTCTGCATCTGCAGTAATCTTTGCACCTAGAAATACAAAGTCTGTCACTGCCTCCACGTTTTCTCCCTCTATTTCCCAGTTGTCAATCATTCTTGTTGCCATAATCTTGGTTTTTTTAATGTTTAACTGCAACCCAGCTTTTGCGCTTTCTTCTTTCACCTTGATTAGAAGGCTCCTCAGCTCCTCCTCGCTTTCGGCCATCAGAGTGGTGTCATCTGCATATCTGAGGTTGTTAATGTTTCTTCCAGCAATTTTCACCCAGCCTTGCATTCGTCAAGAACATCAGTTGTATGTTCTGCATACAAATTGAATAGGTTGGGTGAGAGTATACAACCCTGCAGTACACCTTTCATCAATTAAATTAAAAACAGGCAATTAAAAAGAAGAAATATAAAGGACCCAGCAATGAAAGGTTCTTTCCTCCTGAGTAGTCAGGCCTCAAAGGTCTGCAGAAACAAAAAAGATATTTCAGAACTAGACACAGAAGTTGGAGATATTGTGGCATAATTGTGACTCGTTTAAAAAAAACTTGGTAAAATAGAAGACAACGGGACAAAAAAGGAAGTCTGTATACGAGTAAATTCATTCTTTCAAAAAGAAAAAGGCTGAGTTTGCAAGAGTCTGAGCAGGGCAGTGGATGATAGGTACTCTCAGATCTCTCCTTCATATGGTCAACACACATCAAAGTCGGTTTGAGAGCAGATAATGACAACAATATTATTTGTTCTTGGTTAGTCAGGGAGGGAAAAAAAACAGAAACAAATCTCAAACTGTTTTAGTTCCACCCAACTTGGTTTTAATTTTATTTAATCCTTATTTAAAAATTTACAAATAATGCAACAGTGGAAGAAAGGAAATGTTTTAATCTCTGGTCGCTGCTTTAGGATTTGCCCAGAATCCCTTTCTGGAATCATTTTCTTCTATCCTATTATTCTCCATGTACTTGGGAAGGATTTAGCAGAAAAGATTTAAAACATAAAGACGGGATTATGAATGGATGTTTGCTCTTTTATAAACCATGCAGATTTAAGAAATGGTTTGTACTCTTATACTAAGGCTCTGGTTCAGATATTATTATTTTTTCCAAACGGTTTTATTTTCAGATATTTTTCCACATAGACTTCCTTAAAAATCAGCTGTATTAGTCAAAGCACATGGAAAAAAATAAAATATATAACACATAAATACATTTTTAAGAAATGTATCTTTATATCCTGTATTACTTCATCCTGGGCTCAAAGTAGCTGAAAGTAATATCACCATTACAAGCATATCTCGGTTGACAAATCCTCTGATGGCGAAGCTCTTTTTAACAAAGGCTTTTTCACTTACCTAGCTTTGCTGTTTTCCTCTTTGTCCTCTGTTTGCAATATTTTGACCATGTTGGGATGGAGAAACAAACAAAGGATTTTGGTGTTGACTTGCAGTGACATGTCTGAAGTAAACATTAAGCCTAAGCAATAAAGCTTGATTGGGAAGGAATGGGATTGCATTATATCGTTCTGGCTGCTTATCTACAACAGGTAAAGCAGCGTTTCTTAACCTGGGAGTTGGGACCCCGGGGGGGGGGGGGGGGGCACAAGGGAGTGTCAGAGGGGTCACCAAAGACCATCAGAAAACACAGTATTTTCTGTTGGTCATGGGGCTTCTGTGTGGGAAGTTTGGCAATTCCATCATTGGTGGAGTTCAGAATGCTCTTTGATTGTAGGTCATCTATAAATCCCAGCAACTACAACTCCCAAATGTCAAGGTCTATTTTCCCAAACTCCCAGTGTTCACATTTGGCATTGAGTATCCGTGCCAAGTTTGGTCCACATCCATCACATTGTTTGAGTCCACAGTGCTCTCTTATAGTAGGTGAACTACAACTCCCTCCTCCCTATGACTTCCTCTCACATATTTATACACAGCTATCATATCTCCACTCAGCCTTCTCTTCTTCAGGCTAAACATGCCGAGCTCCTTAAGCCACTCCTCATAGGGCTTCTTCTCCAGACCCTTGATCATTTAATTTGCCCTCCTCTGGACACATTCCAATAGTTACTGCTTCTGCGGAAAGGTAACGGCACTCCATGCAGTCATGCTGGCCACATGACCTAGGAAGTGTCTACAGACAAGGCCGGTTGTTCGTCTTAGAAATGGAGATGAGCACCACCCCCCAGAGTTGGACATGACTAGACCTTTACCTTTACTATGCTCAGATCTGTGGTAGCAGATAATGAAATAGACCACCACATGGACTTAGAATTGCTGCTGCCAATAATGGAAGTGAGTATTGTGATGAACCATTGGTCCTGCCGAAGCTTCAAGAGCATCTCAGTGTAGAAGACTTTTATACATAAGCTTTCTATAACAGTGTGTTCTTCCTGAACTTCATGAAACCAGAGCTATAGAAGCTAGATTTGCCTCTCCTGACCTGTCTCTCCTTGTGCCCGTTTCCGAGCAGGTCTTGTTTGAGCTGGCCCGCTACCATGCTCCCTCCACAATCTTCTTGGATGAGCTGGAGTCCGTCATGAGTCAACGCGGCACTGTGCCAGGGTAACTGTTTCCGAGTGGCATGCCCTTTGCTGAGTCTTTCCTGTAAGGTAGATCTTCTTGCTAGGTGACGTTCAGTATGTTTGTCTCCTTTAAGAGAGAGGCCAGGTGAGCCTCAAGAGAACATGATTTTAGATGCAAGGAGCTGCTTTGTAGTAATGGATAGTCCTCATATCTTTGTGCCATCTGGTCTTTCATAGCCTTGCATATTAAGATACTTAAGCTGGAGATACCAAGGGTTGAATTTGGGAACTTTAAAAATCTTGTAGCCTAATTGTCAACTTTTACATCCCAGGCAATATCCATATAGTTATTGATTTTTCACACCCACAATCCACTTTATTGCACATAGAGAGCAATGGCTCGCTAGAGAAGGCTGTAAAACTGATACTCGTACAGCGATGGAATGGAGATTTTCCTCTACTAAAGTATAGCACAATCTATGCAGGGTCCCACCTTACTTGTGGTTCTAATAGCTTTTGTGGTACTATTGACTTGTCACTGAGTTTTCTTGGCAGAATTTCGCCAAAGGGGGTTGTTTTTCCTTCTTCTGAGACTGAAATAATATATCTTACACAACAGGTTGCTGTGAGTTTTCCGAGCTGTATGGCCATGTTCCAGAAGTGTTCTCTCCGGACGTTTCGCCCACATCTATGGCAGGCATTCTCTGAGGTTGTGTCCCACCCTGGATTTTCCACAAATATATAAACTTCTCTTGTCCTAGTTTCCAACTGATCTCACCACCTCTGAGGATGCCTGATATAGATGTGGGTGAAATGTCAAGAGAGAATGCTTCTGGAACATGGCCATACAGCCTGGAAAACTCACAGTCACCCAGTGATTCTGTCCATGAAAACCTTTGACAATATATTTCCCAAGATTACCTAGTGAGTTTCCATGAATGAGTGGACATTTGAACCCTGGTCCCCTAGTGTTCTAGTCCAACACTCAAACCACTACACCACAAATCCCTCCTATACATGGTATTAAATTTCGTAGGAGCCCCACAAAGTTGTAGGCATATTCTCTATGATGTTCCCATTCTTTTTAGTGGAGACTTGCAAAAGAGATCTTCTTACTACGTTCTGCCATCGTTTGGTATGAGTTAAGTCCAAGAATGTGTGGGATCATAAGACCATAATGTACGAGGGTTGAATGAAAAGTAATGCCTCCGCCTTCGTAACTCCTCAAAAGATGGCAGTACTGATGTGTGGCAGGTACTGGCTTGTTCAGTAGACTCTCCTCTACAGTTCCAATTTGGGGGGAAGCCTTAGTATTGAAGGGTTGTGTTGTTAAAATGTGAAGTATCGAACCTTGTGCAGATGGTCGGTGAATGTGACTTAAGCAACGTGCAGTCATTGAATTCTTGACAGCAGAAGGTGTCGCCCCAAAAGAGATTCATCAGAGAATGCAGGCTGTTTATGATGATTGTGTTGATGTGAGTACTGTGCATCGTTTGGCGAGTAAGTTTAAAGATGTTGGGGTGGGAACATCTGACTTGCTTGACAAACAAAGAGTTGGACATCCTGTGACAGCAACCACTGAGTTTCACAAGCAAGAGATTGATAGATTGATTCAGGATGATCGTCATATCACGAGAAATTTTGAGCATAATTGGCATTTCACAAGAACGTGTGGGTCACATTATTGCTTTGCTTGGCTATCGGAAAATCTGTGCACAATGGGTTGCAAAAACAGATTGTTGACTTCTTTCGTGATGGCTTCAGAAAGAAGATCTGCTGGGACATCATTATGCTTCTGTTGAAGACGTTGAGAGAACTGTGAGACACTGGTTGTGGAAACAGAGTGTTGACTTCTTCTGTCAACACTCACCTGTCAACACACACATTTCACCTGTCAGGTCCAGCATTTTTTAAATTTTTATTCATTACATTTGGCCTGGCCTCAGTTTTTAAATGCATCATGGTGTTGTTGTCTAATGTTTATTGCTATTGTTTTAATGTTTATTGTTTTGCTTTATGAGTTATTTATTGTTGTATTGCTATGCTGTTGTTGTATTGATGTGTTGGGCCTTGGCCTCTTGTAAACCGCACCAAGTCCTTCGGGAGATGTTAGCGGGGTATAAATAAAGGTTAATAATAATAATAATAATAATAATAATAATAATAATTCTGTGATGGCTTCAGAAAACTTGTATCCAATTGTCTGGTGATTATGTGGAAAAGTGAATAGTGGTAGTTAAAGAACACATTCTAAGGATTATTTCTGTGCTTGATTTATTAAAATATTCCCATCCAAACCTAAGTAACGAAGGAGGAGGCATTACTTTTCATTCAACCCTTGTATACTGAATGAGCTCAGTAGCCCATCTTGTCCTGCATTAGGAGATGTGCAAAGTCTCCATGTGGCCACTGCATGAGCGCCTGTTACTTTTCTCTGTAACGGTCTGTCATGATCCAACCCCAGGCTTAATAGCCTTCTCACTAAATGCCAGCTCCGGTATTTGCTTAGGGCTTCTTCTCTTAATCTGCGTGCAAAGATAAAACTCCAAACTGTGCATTTCCTCTCATTCTAGTACTCTTAAGAGTGGATTCATTGCAGAATTAACTTTTGGGCATTAATCGCCATGAAGTTTGACATAATGCCTCGGGGTTTAGCTAATGGAAGTCAGCCGTGCTTGGAGTTGGGGGGTGGATGGGAAGAGACCCGTCGCTGGGTTTCCCCCATCTAAGCCTTTTCCTATCGAAATAAAGGAGCTTGTACTGATGTAACCAGAGAATAACACTTCCTCCTTTCCGTGCCCCCTCTTCCCCTTGAATATATCTTTGGTAGCGGTGAACACGAAGGAAGCAGGCGGATGAAAACAGAATTATTGGTGCAGATGGATGGCCTGGCCCGATCGGATGATCTTGTCTTTGTTTTAGCGGCTTCCAACTTACCCTGGTAAGAGATCCGGAGAGTACATTTTGAATACATTTGCGTGAGCCTCTAAACACAGATAAAGATTTTTGACTTAGTCTCAGAGCAATAAAAGCCTTGATATTTGCTTAAAACCTTCAAAGATTAATTGGGAGCTTTTTACTCTTTTTTTCCTCCCCTCCGCAGTTCTTGTTGTCTGTGCCGCAGGAGTACATAATCCTCCGTGAAGTTAACATATGCCAGGGCAAGCCAGCTGCTAATATTTAAAAAGGGACTTGATAGCCAAGTTATTTACTATGGTTAAGCTAAAGAAGGGTTTCAGCAAAGAAACTTATAAGGTGCTTAAAGCATCCAGTGCTCAGAAAAGATATGCTCTATAAATAGGCAAGGTTGGGTCCTGTTGGCATTAAAAGGTGACTTTGAAAAGTTTCAAGGTAAAACCTCTTGGTTTTTTAAAATGCCAGCTCGATCTAGTTGAGGGGGAAATGGCCTGTAATGGAAATCATATACTGTGCTAGCACGGCTGTTCCAGGAGCTCCAACTTCTTTTCTTTTCTATTGAGTGTTTGCATGTATTCCAAGGTTCCATGCATTTTGCAATAAGGTGGCTTCCCTTGGTTTGCAAGCATAGGGCCAATGACCCATCAATTGTCATTATGTTCTTTAGTTCCGCCCCTTTTTCTGGGTTAAAAAGGGGTGGAACTAAAAAAGGGAACCTCTAATTCAGTTCACACAGAGAAGCCTTTCGTACAGGACGTGAATCAGTTCCACCTGTAGAAAGCTTCGTCTTTTACAGCTTTGCTGGGATCCATTCCCACTAGGCCTGTTTGATCAAGAAAAAATTTGTTTCTAAAATCGTTTTGTAATTGGGGTGTTTTTTTGTTTCGATATTTAAAATAATTACAAAACTTTTCCAAAAAAAGTTTTGGTATTTACGAAATTTTGTAATTATTAACGAATTTTTAGAATATTTTTTTTAAATAATATAAAATAATATTAAAAAATAATATTAAAAATAATATTAAAAAATAATATTAAAAATAATATTAAAAAATATTTTAAAATGGAAAACGAAACCGCACAGGCCTACTATACAGACATAGGGTTTGAGTCAGACCCAGCTAACACCTCCCAACAAAGGATTCCCCTGAGCAGGAATAATATTAAAATAATATTAAAAAATAATATTAAAAATAATATTAAAAATAATAGTAAAAAATATTTTAAAATGGAAAACGAAACCGCACAGGCCTACAGACATAGCGGGTTTGAGTCAGACCCAGCTAACACCTCCCAACAAAGGATTCCCCTGAGCAGGAAGGAGCCAGACTTTGAAGCTACAAGGCCATATAATCCCAATCAAGCTGTCCAAACTCCATTTGCCTAGTTTCCAACAGACCTCTGAGGATGCCTGCCATAGATGTGGGCAAAATGTCAGGAGAGAATGCTTCTGGAACATGGTCATACATACAGCCCTGAAAACTCACAGCAATGCAGCCTTCAATTTGTGGCAATCAGATGGTATTGTCTCAGGCGGGCCACGGAGGCAGAGCCGGCGCTGCAGGAATCCCCTCCCCGGCTCACAACCGGCCTCCGCGCGCCATCCAATCGGCTCTGCCTCCTGCGCCCTCCTCCTCCTCCTCCTCCTCCCAGCTGCGATTGGATGGCGCGCGCGCGCTCACCCTTACAACTGCCTCCTGCGCCCTCCTCCTCCTCCTCCCTCCTCCTCCCAGCTGTGTTGCAGGAAGTGACAGCCAGGAGGAGGAGGAGGAGGAGGAGGGCGCAGGAGGCGGAGCCGATTGGATGGCGCGCGCGCGCTCACCCTTACAACCGGCCTCCGGCTCCTGTGCCCTCCTCCTCCTCCTCCTCCTCGAAGATTTAAGCAACAATAAAAACTTTGTTGAATTTTCTAAGTCTTTAAAAGAACTTTGTGTGGGGAAATCCAAAAGGCCTCTCAGCCGAGGCACCCCCCAGCGTCCCATTGAGCATTCAGAAAACACGTCCTATCTACAGACTCTTTCACAGGCCCAGCGTGTGACAGCACATATACCATTCACGACCTTATAGAGCAGCGTTTCTCAACCTGGGGATCAGAATCACTGAGGGGTCATGAGGGGTTTTCAGAGGGGTCGCCAAAGAGAAAACATATGCCTTAGGGCAGAGGTCCTCAAACTTTTAACAGAGGGCCAGGTCGCAGTCCCTCAAACTGTTGGAGAGCCGGATTATAATTTGAAAAAACATGAATGAATTCCTGTACACACTGCACATACCTTATTTGTAGTGCAAAAACACTTAAAAACAATACAATTATTAAAATGAAGAACAATTTAAACAAATATAAACTTATTAGTAATTCAGTGGGAAGTGTGGGCCTGCTTTTGGCTCATGAGATACGATTGTTGTTGTTGTCGCATGCTTTCAAGTCATTTCAGACTTAGGTTGACCCTGAGCGAGGGCCGGGTAAATAATCTTGGAGGGCCGTATTCAGCCCCCGGGCCTTAGTTTGAGGACCCCTGCATAGGGTCTCCATATGAGATTTGAATGCGATTTTCCTGCTTCTTGGCAGGGGGTTGGACAGAATGGACCACAAGGTCTTTTCCAACTCAATGATTCTGTTGCACACCAAGGCTGTGATAGGCACCTTTTAACCCACAAACACACCAAGGTTCTTTAATAAGTAAAGCAGTTTATTGAAGATGAATAAAGCAAATGCCAAAAGGTAAAAAGCATTCAAAAGGAAATAAAGAACTGTCCATGAAACAATCTATAAAGCAAGGTTTAGATATCCAAGCAAAATCCACGTCAGGTAAGCAAAATCCAATTAAGTAAGGCCACATGAAATAGTCTTTCAATCCAAAAGGTTGCAAGAGCAAAACCCCTTGAAGAAATAATAACAAACTTGAGCCACCTGAGCGAAATACAGGAGCGTGATATCAGGATAAAACACTTACAAAAATCTCAGTATGAACATGAATCCAAAGCAACATCCAAAGCTCTTGCAACCTTTTGGACATGAGTCTTAACATGAACAAGAGAGGCATGAAGCAGGCATGAAAGCTAAACGTTGCACTCACTGAAGAGCACAGTTTCACATGCTCAATATTTATTCATAAAGCCATGGCAAAAGCATTCCATTTCCCTTGGGAAACCTCTCCCAAAACCCTTTTTTCTCTTAATCTTGCTGAACGTTTCCTCCCTAAGTCCAGGTGGCGATTGTGATGGATTTGCCCTTTGCGATCAAAGATTGCCTCCTCTGGTTTGCTCATTAGTACATTCCTTTCGCTCTCTCTATCTAGCCTTGACTATTCGGCCTCAGCTTCTTTCTCAGACTGCTGTCTCAAAACGTCTTGCCTTGTGAACCAACTCAGAATCCTCAGTCTCACTCTGACTAACTGTATTTTCTTGGCCATCACCTGTATTTTTAAACCCCTGGGAATCAACAGAAACCTGATCATTAAAGTCAGACATGGGAACCTCTGAAGAGTCACGGTCATTCTCCTTAGAAACCTGTGACAAAGAGACAATCACAGGCTGAAATCCTACAGATTATATAAGTCAAAAGTGATTTGAAGGCACAACAAGAACAAAACTGTTCTGTGACTTGTTCCTTAGGAAACTGTGTTTCTTGTATCTCTTTAGGGAACTGGATTGTGCCATGCTGCGCCGGCTGGAAAAAAGGATCCTGGTCGACCTACCAAGTCAAGAGGCACGACAAGCCATGATCCAGCACTGGCTTCCCCCTGTGAGCAACAGCGGAGGAGTGACGCTGAGGACTGAGTTGGACTACGCCTTGCTTAGTCAGGTAAAGATGGCGGCGTTGCTCACCAGCAAGGACAAATACAGGTTGGGTCTCTCTTAACCAAAATGCTTTGGACCGGAAGTGTTTCAGATGTTGCTTTATTTCAGATTTAGGAAATTTGTTTATTTATTTATTTGCATCATTTCTATGCCACCATTCCCAGTCCAGAGACAACTCAAGGGGGCTTACAACTGGCACAATTCGATGCCACAATAGTAATAAAACACAATTAAAAACATTTAGCGCATATTATATATTCCCCCCAGAGGTGAGAAAGGCGGTATATAAATACTGTAAACAAACAAACAAACAAATAAATAATATAAAAACCATGTAAAATCATTTTGGTGAAAGGATGGAGATCCAAGCCTAGCTCTCTGCACACATCCACACTGTTGTGACTCAGCTGGAATCGCAGAGTGATAGTGTCAATGATTATGATGGGATTCAGATGCACAGTCAAGTGCAAAGCGAGGATGTCCCTGTGTTAGACGAAGAAGACCAGGAACAGGGGGAAGAAGTTCAGTAGTTTTCCACAGCAAGGGATGACGCTGGGGAAAGAGCCAGGTGCAGCCAGATAGTTCTCAGCCAGATAATGAGGGAAAAGCACTAATGAGGGAGTTGACCTTGATGAAGCTGGAGGTTTAGATCGAGCTGATCGGTTGGAATTTAAGGTTCGAAGGAGTGTCAGGATCGCCAGCAGGCGAGAGAGGGAGGCTCGGGGCCATAGGAACACCTTCATGTTGTCCAAAGTGTATTAAACAGGCTGTTTGAATATGCCTCAGTGTCAGAGCAACTTCCCGCTTCAACCAAGAGACTTTGGATTTATCTTGCAGCCTTCATGTTCATGTTTTCAGGACCTTGTCATGTTATTATTATTATTATTATTTATACGCTTGTATACCGCTAATATCTCAGCCTAAGTCGGCGACTCATTGCGGTTTACAACATTTAAAAAACAGTATTCAGTTTAAAAGCATAAAACACATATACAATACAAATTATTGGGCCACCAATAATAATCCCATGCATCTCATAACTGGAATCGCAGTCCAAAATTCATCGTCCATGATTACCAATCCTTTAGTCATCAAAATTCGTTGCAACGGATTAACCGAATGCTTGTTTAAACATCCATGTCTTCAATCTATTCCGAAACACCATCAGCGAGGGGGCTGATCGTACCTCTATGGGGAGGGTGTTCCAAAGCCGAGGGGCCACCACAGAAAAGGCCCTGTCTCTCGTTCCCGCCAGCCGCACGTGTGAAGCCGGCGGGATAGAGAGCAGGGACTCCCCATAAGATCTTAGGGTCCTGGTGGGCTGATAGGCCGAGATACGTTCGGATAGATAAGTTGGGCCAGAACCGTTTAGGGCTTTAAAGGCCAACGCCAGCACTTTGAATTGAGCCCGGTAGCAGATCGGCAGCCAGTGGAGCTGGTGCAGCAGAGGAGTTGTATGCTCCCTGCGCCCCGCTCCTGTTAGAATCATGGCTGCCGCCCGTTGGACTAATTGGAGCTTCCGGGCTGTCTTCAAAGGCAACCCCACGTAGAGAGCGTTGCAGTAGTCAAGACGGGATGTAACCAGAGCATGGACTACCGTGGCCAAGTCAGACTTCCCAAGGTACGGTCGCAGTTGGCGCACAAGTTTTAACTGTGCGAATGCTCCCCTGGTCACCGCCGAAACCTGGGGTTCCAGGCTCAGCGATGAGTCCAGGATCACACCCAAACTGCGAACCTGCGTCTTCAGGGTTTTCTTTAAAATTCTTGCCCTGCTTACTTATTAGATTTCAAACAGCCTCTTGTGAAAAGTCTCAGCAGACTCATATATGTGTTTCTGATTTGCGTCTTAGGAGATGGACGGGTATTCTGGCTCCGACATCAAATTGGGCTGCAAAGAAGCTGCGATGCGGCCCGTCAGAAAAATCTTCAGTGCCCTTGAAAACCACCAGCCAGGTAACTGCACCCCTCCTGGGTGTTCAAACTGGATTGATGCTGTAGATAATGCTATTTGAGGATACTTAGAAAAATAAGTTTTTACAGGCAAGCAATAACTTGTACAGAACTAGCTATATTTTTATATTCAGCAGGTGGCAGTGTTCTATTTACTTGTGTGTGTGTGTACATGTACCTGCCTTTAAGTTATCTGTCAATTTAGGGTGTTTTTTTTCATTCTGCACATCTGGTTTGATTTGATTGAGAGTTTGATTGAAGATTTATCTCCCACTTTGTTCGGTGGGCTCAAGAGGAGATTGCGATTCTTGTGATCCGTAGGTGGCAGTAGAGCCCTATTCTTGACCTGCATCTTCTCCCACAGTGAGGGCATTGGTTTCTAGGTGGAAGGCGGTCTCGGTTGGGATTGGCTTGATGCGCCTTCCTCTTGGCACGTTTCTCTCTTTCACCCTCCATTCGTGCCTCTTCAATTTCTACAGCACTGCTGGTCACAGCTGACCTCCAGCTGGAGCGCTCAAGGGCCAGGGCTTCCCCGTTCTCAGCGTCTATGCCAGAGTTTTTAAGGTTGGCTTTGAGCCCATCTTTAAATCTCTTTTCCTGCCCACATTCTGTTTTCCGTTCTTGAGTTCGGAGTAGAGCAACTGCTTTGGGAGACGGTGGTTGGGCATCCGGAAAACGTGGCCAGTCCAGCAGAGTTGATGGCGGAGGACCATCACTTCAATGCTTGTGGTCTTTGCTTCTTCCAGCACGCTGACGTTTGGCAACTTGTCTTCCCAAGAGGTTTGCAGGATTTTCCGGAGGCAGCGCTGATGGAATCATTCCAGGAGTTGCATGTGACGTCTGTTCGCAGGCATATAGCAGGGTTGGGAGGTTGTCCTCCCAACCCTTCTACAATCCAACATCCCTGCAGTGTAGTGTAAATATCCAAATAGGGCAATGCACATCAATAGCTGAGTGACATTTCAGAAAGTGCAACCACAACATGTAACATTGATGTAAATGCAATTCCAATTCCACTTCTATCTGCAGAATATATGTTTCACTGGGGCACATAATTCCACCTGCATGTATACATCACCAATAGAGCTGTTTGACAGTGGAATGTGCTGCCTGGGAATGTGGCGAAGTCTCTTTGGATGTTTTTAAGCAGAGGCTGCATGGCCATCTCTCAGGAATGCTTTGATTGTGTGTTTGTGCATGGCAGAATTGGGTTGGATTGGATGACCCTTGTGATTGTAGAATGTTGGCCATAGCATGCAAAACAAGTATTCTCAACTGTCATCCAACAGTCACTTCTCAGGCCCTTTCTACATTTTAAATGGTTATGAGAACTGTCATTCAAAAAATCTGGAGAACAAAAGATTCTTCAGTCCCGATTCTCCAGCTTTTCCTTTCCAGCAGCTGTAGCAGCTGTGAAGTAGTATGGGATAGACCAGGTGAGGATCAGAATTCATTCACAGATTTTATGGTTAAGGTATCTTTGGAGCTCTGCCTACTGGCCACCCTATCCCAATTTAGGCTTTAAGCCACAAAAAGGGAAACTGTAGTAATTTACTTCATCAGCAGAGCACCCCTTGTCAACATGTGAATTTCAGGTCAATGGGGATTACGCTTCCGCCTCAGAGTGTGATGGAGTCTCCTTCTCTGGAAAATTTTAAACAGAAAATGGATGGTCATCTGCTGGGAGAGCTTTGGTTATGTAATGTCCCTGTATGGTGGCATGGGGTTGGACTAGATGGCCATTGGATTCCCTTCTGTTAGGGCATGTAAGAAATCAGTTAGTGTGTGTGTGTGTGTCAACTGTAAAATAAGATGCACAAAACTGATTGGTTGGGCTTTGCCTGGGGAGCTAGCTGAGCCTGGGAGTTTTGCTTACTGTTACATTTTTCAGGCTTGAGCTGCACAGGTGGTCAGAAGTAGAGAGACAGTTTAGAGTGTGCTCTTGCTTCATGAGCTGCTGGAGGAAGGTTTTCCACACGGACAAAGAAAGACCATTTTAAATCTTTCTAAAAGGACATTATGCGAGTTAATGCGATTGATCACATGATTGTACATATATTATTCTGAATTACGAACAGTAAACTACTTGTTCTTTATTGAACTCTCTGCCCCGGAGTGTGACGGAGGCTCCTTCTTTGGAGGCTGGATGGCCATCTGTTGGGGGTGCTTTGAGCGCGATTTTCCTGCTTTTTGGCAGGGGGTTGGACTGGATGGCCCATGAGGTCTCTTCCAACTCTTTGATTCTATGATCTCTAACTTTGTTTTATTTCCTTCTCTTTCTGTATGTTTGTTGATAATCTGCGTGGCATATTTTCTCTGGCAAGACAGTGTGTGGACTGATCAAACATGAACTATGCGTGATTTTACATTACACCACACCTTCCAATGCGAGGATTCTGTGTCCTTTTCCCTTTCAGATAGTGGGAGCCTTCCTGTAATCCAGCTGGACACTGTCACCACGGAAGACTTCCTGGAGGTGCTCATGCACACCAAGCCCTCCGCTAAGAACCTCACCCAGAAATACACCAGCTGGCAAAGAGAATTTGAATCTGTCTGAAACTCTAATCCAGAATTTCATCCTCCCCCCCCCCCCCCCCCCCCCCACAAAAAAAGGCATCCCCAGCCAATTTCTACAATCAAGAATGCAAAGAACATCAAGAAGACATTTGACAGCTGAGAGGGAAGCTGGCACTTGGTCTTTGGCATCTTCCCTCTACAGTTCTTTCTAGCTGCTCACTTTTTATGAATATGCAAGGAAAACGATTTTGCACTTTATTATTTTAAACCTAGAAGCAATTGGTATGTATTAAATATCTAGATAAATAAAAATGTAATGTTTGTTTGTGGGATTAACAGAACTCAAAAACCACTGGACAAATTGACACCAAATTTGGACACAAGACACCTATCAGGCCAACGTATGTCCTTCATTCAAAAAAATTGATTTTGTCATTTAGGAGTTGTAGTTGCTGAGATTTATAGTGCACCTACAATCAAAGAACACTCTGAACTCCACCAATGATAGAATTGAATCAAACATGGCACACAGAACTCCCATGACAAACAGAAAACATTGGAAGGGTTTGGTGGGCATTGACCTTGAATTTGGGAGATGTAGTTCACCTACATCCAGAGAGTGCTGTGGACTCAAAACGATGGTTCTGGGCCAATTTTGGCACGAATATTCCATATGCCCAAATATGAACACAGATGAAGTTTGGGAGGTGTAGTTACTGGGATTTACAGTTCACCTACAATCAAAAGCATTCTGAACCCCACCAACAACAGAATCGAGGCAAACTTCCCACACAGAACCCCATACTTAAGGCCATCCAGTCCAACTCCCTTCACCAGAGCAAGAAAACGTAATCCAAGCCCTCCTGACAAAGAGCCATCCAGCCATAGATATAGATAGATATATATGATACACACACAGAGAGATATAGTATCATAGATTTGAAAGGGACCCCTAAAGAAGGACAAACAATCTCCACATCAACACTGACCAAGAAACAGCAAGAAATACTGTTAACCACAAGCATAAAGGAATTACAAATATTAGAAACCAACACTTTTTCATTACTTTATTTTCCAGATCACCAGACTGGGCCACAGCAACACGTGGCAGGGGACGGCTAGTCTAAATAACTAAAAATGTAATGTTCGTTTGTAGGATTAACATAACACAAAAACCACTGGACGAATTGACACCAAATTTGGACACAATACACCTCTCAGGCCAACAAGTGACCATCACTCATAAAAACACTTTTAAAAAGCACAGTGGAAGGGACTTAAAAAGCTAAGAAAGCAAAAAGATGCTACAACTCATGCTCAAAAATGATCACCCCAGCAAACAAAACACACAATAGCATATCCACACTCTCTTCTGGACTACAGCTCCCAGCATCCCCTAGACCAGGCCCTTTAGGAGAGGAGGATGCTCCAAAGGCACTGCTTCCAAGCTGCAAGCTTTCTTCTTGGATTTCTTTGAGAACATCCCAATCTCTGTATATTTCCAATTTCCTATTCCTAGACTGCAACTCCCATCAATCCTCCAGATAGATAGATTAGATAGAGATAGGTAGGTAGGTAGACAGATGGATCAGGAGGACTGCTGGGAGTTGCAGTCCAAGAATAGGTAGAGAAGGAAGAAAGTGGAGAAAGATGAAGGGAAAGAAAAGGAGAAGGAAGGGAAGAGGAAGAGAAGGAAGGAAGGAAGGAGTGAAGGAAAGAAAAAGGGAAGGAAGGAGAGAAAGAGGGAAGGAAGGTTGGCCACAGCAACGCGTGGCAGGTACAGCTAGTATTTTATATAATCCTGCTAATATCTGGAACCAATCTCTCAATGACTGACTGTACTAATATTTTGCTCCTAGGCTTTCCCTCTTTGGAGGAGAAAACTGACAGGTGTTTTAGCTGCTCTGCACAGTGGTCCTTGTCTTAATTTAGATATAAACAGAGCTGGTAACAAAGAAGAATAAACATCTGTTCCCTTTCAGGGTGTCCTTTGGGGCCTTACTTGCTTGTGCAAATCAAGAGCATTTCTTGTTCTCTTTTCCTGCATATTCAAGAATACAAGGTATATTTTACCTTCTTTGCTTGGTGAGACTACAAGATTGTTGGGGTAAAGCTATGTACAAAATGTTCAACACACGGAGCCACCAATGTCATGCGGCAACGAAAAACCAAAGGGATTTTGGCCTGCATCTAGTGTCTAAATCCATGGAAATCATGCTACCCCTCTATTTTGCCTTGGTCAGACCACACCTGGAATACTGTGAGCCATCCAGTCCAGCCTCATTTTGACAAGACGCAGGAAAATCGCATTCAAAGCACTCCTGACAGATGGCCATCCAGCCAATTGCGGGGCACTGCAATTAAAGGGGGATGTTGACAAGTTGGAATGAGTCCAGAGGAGGGCGACTCAAAGGATCAAGGGTCTGGAGGACAAGCCCTATGAGGAGTGGCTTAAAGAGCTGGGCATGTTTAGCCTGAAGAAGAGAAGGCTGAGAGGAGACATGATAGCCATGGATAAATATGTGAGAGGAAGTCAAAGGGAGGAGGGACCAGGCTTGTCTCTCTCATCCCCACCAATCGTACTTGCAATGCAGATGGGAGCATGAGTAGGGCCTCTCCAGATGATCAAAGAGATCGTGTGGGTTCGTACACAGAAATCAGGTTAATCAGTCAAGCCTCTAATGAACTGTGATGTTGTGACCCTCAGTGTGCCTGGAACGCGTAGGAAGGGTCCAGAGATAAGATTTCGTTCGTCCTTCTTACTTTGGTGCTTTTGTCTTGTTTCTGTCTTTTTGGTTGAGTGTCAATGCGAGTGTGTGCTGTATATGTGCTCTACTCAGTAAAGCTATACGTTTGCTTTTATTGAAGTCTCAAAGTGTCCATTCTTCAAAGCTTCTGTTGCACTCTGACATAACAGACCGGAGCTCAGCTCACTCCCTAGATTTGAACTGCCGATCTTTTGGTCAGCAGTCCTGCCGGCACAAGGATTTAACCCATTATGCAACCAAGGGCTTCTTTATATGCCTAAGTCATGTTTCCTGACCCAAACACCCCAAATCACCTTAAGATGCAGCAACCAGATTGGGTGGATGAAGTTCATTCAGCTGCGAATTACAGTAAAGACTACAGTGTTTTACTGAATACAGAGTGGTTATTGATGCACAAGTCTAGGCTATGGATCTGTAATTGCAATCCTGGATGCCAGCCAACATATTGTCGAGGTCCTTCATTAATAGATTTGCTGTAAATCAAAGCCAACTTGATTGTAAATAGCAGCAGCAATTTGAAGCAAGCTTCCTAAAGTTGGTGGTAGTCAATAGGCAGATTTAATTTGTAGGAATAAATAGCCATACCGTTTGGTTGCATAGTTAAATGCAGCGAAACCAAAGTCACTGGTGGCTAGAATTTTTTTTATTTTCTTCAGTGGAATTTTTATGATTGACATTTGTTGAATGGGGGACCTTGTTTCCGCAGAAATCCATATTGTCGGAAAATTTCAACAGAAAGGAGGAAACCATGAAAATGAACGAAATCTGGCTACCAGTATTAAAAAGCTCTAAAATTACAACAGCAAAACAACAGAGAGGAAACAATCAAGGACATGGGTTGTTGTAGGTTTTTTGGGGCTATATGGCCATGGTCTACAGGCCATATAGCCTTTGACAATAAATCAAGGACATCTAATCACCTCTCAACAAAAGATTGCCCCAGGCACCAACAAGCCACACCAAACAACTGCCAGGCCATCAAATGCTAATCAAGGTGGTCAGTTGAAACATTCACACCTAGCTCCAACAGACAAGAGTTCTTTGTCCCACCCTGGTCATTCCACAGATATATAAACCCATTTTCCTAGTTCCAGCAGACCTCACTACCTCTGAGGATGCTTGCCATAGATGCAGGCGAAACGTCAGGAGAGAATGCCTCTAGAACATGGCCATATAGCCCAAAAAAACCTACAACAACCCAGTTAAGCACTATTTTGTCCCACTAGCATGAAATATTTCATGCCATTGTATATTTTGTTGTTATTGATTCCAGAATAAGGAATAATATTCCCCAAACAGGTCCGGCTAATGTAAAATCTGGCAGGGTTGTTGTAGGTTTTTGGGCTATATGGCCATGTTCTAGAAGTATTCTCTCCTGACGTTTTGCCTGCCTCTATGGCAAGCATCCTCAGAGGTTGTGAGATCACAACATCTGAGGATGCTTGCCATAGATGCAGGCGAAACGTCAGGAGAGAATGCTTCCAGAACATGGCCATATAGCCCAAAACACCTACAACAACCCAGCAATTCCAGCCACGAAAGCCTTCGACAATACATTAAAATCAGGCACTTCTTGAGATTGTCTTCACAGATTGTTTTTGATCATCATTCCAAATTCTGTTTCATTTGACTTTGATATATAGGAATCTTTGCCAACCTGATGTCTACAATTGGCTGGGGATGATGGTATCTGCATTCCAACACATAAGGAGGGTACTTTTTGTGTGTGTCAAGAGCAACTTGAGAAACTGCAAGTCGCTTCTGGTGTGAGAGAATTGGCCATCTGCAAGGATGTTGCCCAGGGGATGCCCGGATGTTTTACAATCCTGTGAGAAGCTTCTCTCATGTCCCTGCATGAGAAGCTGGGGCTGACAGAGGGAGCTCAACCCGCTCTGCCCAGATTCGAATTGCTGATCTTTTGGTCAGCAGTCCAGCCGGCACAAGGGTTTAACCCATTGCGCCACCAGGGACTCCAGAAGGGTAGTATTGCATCCATAAGAAAATGGTGCAATTTCTGCTACCTCAAAAAGAATGTGTTCGTATTCATAAGCTTCCTCTTCCAGTAAAGCCAACACTACAATTACAGTCTCATAGTTTAACACTCAGGAGCATGATAAAGCAATCATAAATGGCTTCCAGTCTTACAGTTTTGCAAATGGACTAGAAAAGCCATTACAATAGTTAGTTCATTTCGGTGCAGTTAACAAACGCAGAAATGACAGGGGTTTGGTTTAAGTTGCAATTTCATTTTACAGCTGCGCTAACAACACCCTATAAAAGTGAGAAATGCACCCCTCTGGTTTCGCCAAAAACATTTCCCCTCTCTATGTGTTCGAAAAGGATAAAGACCCCCAACAATGAAACTTTGCAACTACCAAGATAACAGGGCCCTGGTGCAGCCTTACTACGGACATTCATAGCCGGTAAGCCATTATGCACCAGATCTTTCCTTCCAAGCTATTTCTGTTAATAACACCACCTAATTAAAACATCTGTAAAACCCTGAAAGTTTTAATGTTTATGCATTATGCATTATTTGAAAAATCTTGATGGAGCAGCAAAACTTCACCCAGGAATGATAAGATGCCTTTAAATTAAAATAACTGATTAATTAATTAATTAATTAATTAATTTAGTATCTGGACTGGATCAAGAGAAAGAACACAGCTATGTTGGAGGATGAATCCCTTGATTTTAGTCCATCTCAATGAACTATGTCTCCTAGTTCTGTTTCTTGTGAGGCCTTTTAAATAACAGCAACAGCAAAAGAACGGATTAAAGTGGGGTCCATCGGAAATCTAGATGTTTAGTTCAAATGGGCAAGGAATTTGCAGTAGTTTTGGCCACCATCCTAACATTTGTAGCTCCTTACTTACTTAAGTTGACACAATACACCTAACAGTCCAACTAGTGTCCATCACCCCTAAAAACACACACACACCCCACCCCAGTGGAACAGACTTAAAAACCCCAAAAATACACAATATATACATATACAAATACACTCATATACACACACACACACATTCATACACACACACATATATATGCACAAATGCACACAAATACACACACATACATATACATACACATATACATGTACACATGCACACACAAATATACATATATAAACACATATACATATACACTTGCACACACATATACATATACACATACATATACTCATATATACACAAATATTCATATAGACAAGCACACACATATACACAATATGCATGTACACTTACAGCACCGGGATTGTGGCGCAGCTGGCTGAGTGTCAGCTGCATTAAGATCACTCTGACCAAAAGGTCATGAGTTCGAAGCCAGCCCGGGTTGGAGTGGGTGTCCAGCCATTGTGTAGCCCGTTGTCGACCTTTGCAACCCGAAAGACAGTTGCATCTGTCAAGTAGGAAAATAAGGTACCACCTTGTGTGGGAGGCTAAATTTAACTAATTTATGAGGCCATAAAGAAAAAAGACTCCGGGGAATGTGGAATGCGGAAGTACTTCATCAATGTCGTAGACGGACGATGAAAGCGACAGCTCCCCTGGCGGCCAGAAAAAGTTAAATAGCCTCTGTGTATGTCTGTATATGTTGTATGTCAAAATTGGCATTGAATGTTTGCCATATATGTGTAAACTGTAATCCGCCCTGAGTCCCCTGCGGGGTGAGAAGGGCGGAATATAAATGCTGCAAATAAATAAATAAATAAATTAAACACACATACATATATATACAAATATATATATATATATATATATATATATATATATATATATATATACACACACACGCAAACACACATATATACACAAATACACCATATATATATACATATACAAATACACTCATATACACATGCACACATTCATACACATGTGTATATATATATATATGCACAAACACACACAAATATGCACATATACATACACAAATATATATACATATACACATGCACACACAAATATACATATATACACACATATACATATACACATGCACACATATATGCACACATACATACATATACACATGCACACACATACATATATAAATATTCATATAGACAAGCACACATATATACACAATATGCATTTACACATATAAACACACATAGGCAAATATATATACACACATATATATATATATATATATATATATATATATATATATATATATATATATATACACACATACAGACATACACACACAAAACAAAACAAAACACATACACACAGACTGGGCTGCAGCAATGTGTGGCAGGGGATGGCTAGTAAATAAATATATATAAATCACATATAGTTTGCATGCAGAAGGTTCCAGGTTCAATCAGTGGGAAGCTACTGATTGGAATCAGTAGGAAGCTATGAGACCTTGGAGAGGCATTCCCAGTTGACAGTGCAACTCAATGGTCAGTAAAATCATCTTCATACATTAATATGAAGGCCACTAGCAAACTTTTAGATTACACCACATAAGCAGGTGTCTATATAATTTAGGCCTAACTGTGTTGTGTGTATGTGTGCTCAAATTCAGAAATGGATCAAGGGCAAGGCTTGCACAGGTTACTCCTTTGGGCTACAACTCTCATAATCCCTCAGTATCTCGAAGAGGAAGTCCGGAAAATAACGTTTCCTAGTGCTCATCAGTCATCTGATTTGTAAAAGGGAGGCTCCCGAGTAAAAGAATTCAACATCAAGCCTGCGACTGTACCTCGAGAAGGCGGATCTGGCCAAGATGGTCCATGCCTTAGTCACCTCTAGACTGGATTACTGCAGTGCACTCTACGTGGGGCTGCCCTTGAAAACGGCCCGGAAATTTCAGATGATCCAACGGGCGGCAGCCAGGTTGTTAACTGGGGCTCAGGTCATCCCTCCTGTTCAAGGAGCTCCACTGGCTGCCATTCATCTACCGGACCCAATTCAAGGTTCAGGTTCTTACCTATAAAGCCCTGAACGGTTTGGGACCCGCCTACCTACGTGATCGCATCTCTGTATACGAACCCACATGATCCCTTCGATCTTCCGGAGAGGCCCTCCTCTCGATCCCACCAGCATCGCAGGCGCGATTGGTGGGGACAAGAGAGAGGGCCTTTTCGGTGGTGGCCCCTCGACTCTGGAACTCACTCCCTAAAGACATCAGACAGTCCCCCAACCCTGGCAGTCTTCAGGAGGAGCTTGAAGACGTGGCTGTTCCAGTGTGCCTTCCCGGAGTAATAAATCCCATAGCACTTTGTTCTCCAAACCACTTTACATTTCCCTGAGTCTGCTTGTATGCCCTCCACAAACACTAGTATCACCTTTCGTTCATGGCCCAGCATTATTTTCCAATTTTAACTCTACATTTGGCCTTCCCACTATTTTAATTATGTGTTGCTTTTTTAAATATAATGTCGTGTATTTTATTGTCTATGTTTCTTAATTGCTTGTATTGATGTTTTATTGCTTTTGTTGTTGTGTTTGGGCTCGGCCTCATGTAAGCTGCACCGAGTCCCTTGGGGAGATGGTAGCAGGGTACAAATAAAATTAATAAATAATCAATAAATAATTAAATAAATAAATCTCGTCATGTTTCCACAAGTTAGAACCACGCAAAAGCTTTTTTCCCCTTTGTTTTGGTAGCTTTTTATTGCATTCCTAGGCATAAACAGAATAGTCCTTTCAAAATACAATATGACCCTCATTTCCATAAGGGATGTGTTCCCGGACTTTGCATGGATACACAAAACCACAGATAATAGTGAACCCTATTATTTTCAATGGGACGAATAACAGACGTACTGAGAAAGAGGTTCAAACTGAGTAAGTGAAACTACACATATCAGTTTCAAAGACATAAGGGACATAACTGTAGTTACTTATGAAGTGCCTCCTTTTTTTCCTTAAAGGAATCCATTTAGGACAGTTGTCACGTACCATCAGTGGAAAAAAACACAGAAGCGTAACAGTTCAAATGCGGATAAAACAGTTCTGATCTCAGAGATTATTCTATCTTGTGATTTGGAAGCTGCAACCCAATGAGAGATGGCAGGACACCCATTCCTTTACAGTATCACAGTAAAAAATACCATAGTGTAATGGTCACCACCACATAATAGTTGCAACCCCATTTTTGGGATGGCAAAATTGGCATTTTTGTGTTCCCCACATAATAGTCGCAGAGCCGTTTGAGGCTAATTCCCCCTTCCTTTCTCTGAGCCAAGACAGTTTGAAAAAATAATAAGAAACTGAGCTGTTTGCTTGAGGTTGGATCCCGCCTCCTCCTCCTGTCTTGGAGGCAGGCAGATTTTTTTTCATCATGTAATAGTCGCATCTCCTTTTTTGATTAAAGGGGATAAAAGTGCGACTATTATGTCATAAAATATGGTACATCTGCAAGATATGTGGTTTAATACTACCAGGTATGCGCTTTGTTATTCTAGATTACAAATGGAGGTATGGAATAGAACTGTATGTGAACCCTTCTAATCAGGCCATTTTCCTTCTCTGCTCAAAAAAATCTAGCATGCTGGAAGGGATGGTTACATTGCCACTCTCCTTTCTGACATGCTAGTTTGAATATTTTCATTTTTAGCACTGAAAGTTGAGGTTCAAGTCCTCTGTGGCTTCTCTATAGCAGATGCTGGAGAATGTGGTCTACAGCCTGGGGAAAACTTTCGCAGGTTAGGTATGGAGGTGGTCTAATTCTTGCTTCGTCGGCTTCTCGGTATTTACCTTTAAAAAAAACCCAGAAAAATTATACTGCTTAAAAGAAGATCAGTTTTGCAGGTTTTCGAACTGGTAGGTTGGCAGTTTGCCCCACTCCCCGGATTTGAACCGCCAACCTTTCTCAGTCAGCAAGTTTAGCAGTTCAGCAGTTTAACCCACTGCACCACCACGGGGCCCTAGTCTCAGAGATAAACAGTCTTTTTACATTCTTCAATTCACTTATTTAGATGTCTGCTTCAAAACTTTGTATGTTACTCTATAGCCCATAACACAACAGTTGTATGTTCCAGGTTGACATTAATAGAATGATTTCTAAGAAGTTATGACAAGACCTCACAACTTCTGAGGATGCCTGCCATAGATGCAGGTGAAACGTCAGGAGAGAATGCTTTTAGAACATGGCCATATAGCATGAAAAACCTACAACAACCCAGTTGTGATCGTGCGAGTGGCACCACCTGTGTGTAGAACTTTAAAGTGCAAAGGTTTAAACTGTATAACATGCCCAAACTTGCCTAGTTTATAAATGTATAGTTGGATTGATTGGTTATTTATAGCTGTCAATCAATGTTGTTTGCACCAGTTATATTGCTTCCTCAGCTCAATTGCTTGGCTCCACCTCTTCCTGGAGGAGGGCAGAGCTTTTCCTTTTCCATTCTACCATCAAACTTTCTATCAGATAGACGTGAGAAAGAGACTTGGCTCTAAAGCCCTTAATTAAGTTACCTCTCATCACCAATTCTAAGGTTTTTACCCTTGGGACTCATACTTCATGCCCAGATCGCCCTGGACAACGTTGAGGAGACCCAAGCGCCTTCAAATCGGTCCTGTGGCATCAGAGGAAGGCTTCGTGTCTTCAAATATAGGCCATTTGGATTGGGGTTGTGAATGTTCAGGCATCTGCAGCCATTGAGAAAGAGGGAACCTGGAAAAGCTTCTCAGCTGCAAAATCTCTTTGGACCCAAGACAACCAGAGACTGTAATATATATTTCCTTTACCCCTTTGAAACTTCCAGCTTATTGCCTTAAAGGGATAACTCTTTGTGGACAATAAAACCTATTTTGAGTTATCTACAGTGTTTTAGTCCTTGGGAGTTCCAGTTCTTTAAAGGAAGGCAAGAAGCACTCCCCTGAGGGAAAGATGTCACGTCTATGTCTCTTTCACTAAGAGTTAGAGCCCCCAGGCGCGACGGCATACAGTTATGACAAGAGGTCACACAATGCACGTCATTAGTGAACTGCAATATTATTGTGTGTGTTCCTGCATGGCAGGGGGTTGGATTGGATGACCCTTGGGGTCTCTTCCAACTCTTTGATTCTATGATTCTACACAATTACCTGTGTATGTATATCTGCACATCTCAAGCTACTTCTCAAGCATCCGGAACCGTAAGAAAACAGTCTGTGCTTACCAGTCTTGACCAAAATTCCCAGCATGCCGGCCTTCTGGGCCCCTCCAACATCGTCCCTGCAGTCCTAGGGCAAAAGAAGGCAAATATTGGCCTGATGACACAGTGAAAAATGGTTATTCTTTGGACGGACAAACAATGGGGTGCACTCACATCGCCAATCATGACCGCTTCCTCCGGTACGCAGTTCATCCCCCGCAAGGCCTCCAGGAAAAACGTCCGCTCAGGCTTCCCCACCACTGTTGCCTTCACATCTGTGGCATATTCCAGCCCCATCACGAATGGCCCAGGACCCAGGGCCAGCCCGTCTTTCCTCTTGTAATACCTCGCTTTGTGTATGGCTATCAGAGGAGCCCCGTCAAGAATCAGCCTTGATTAAGGAAAGAGAGAGGGGATTAGCTACATAAGTCTAAGATTCAAAGTTTTGTCAGACAGACAAGGAGTAGAAGAAACTAACAAGACGGAGCAGCAATGCTTCTATTTCGGAATTATGAGGAAAGCTGTTTTCCCCAAAGCAGCCTTAGTTTTGCTTCACGATACCGGATAATCATCTAGATTGGACAGCCCTTGGGATCTCTTCCAACGCTGTAGCTCTACGATTTGCTATTACTTTGTCGAAGGCTTTCATGGCCAGAAAGCCTTCGACAAAGTAAATAAAGAACTAGGTTGTTGTAGGTTTTTCGGGCTGTCTCGCCATATTCTAGAAGCATTATCTCCCGACGTTTCACCTGCATCTATGGCAGGCATCCTCAGAGTTTGTGAGGTCTGTTGGAAACTAGGCAAGTGGAGTATTTAAGCATCCATAAAATAAACAACTCTAAAAATATAACAGTAAATGAAGAACAAAACTCAAACACAGGGGAACTCCAGACAAGAAACAAACAGGAACAGCTAATCACCTCTCAACAAAAGATCCCCTCAAGCACTAACAAGCCACACCTAAAAACTGTCAGGCCATCAAATGCTAATCAAGGTGGCCAACTGAGACATTCGCACCTACCTCCAACAGTTCGTTCTCCCACCCTGGACTTTCCACAGATATATAAACCCAATTTTCCTAATTTCCAACAGGCCCCACAACCTCTGAGGATGCCTGCCATAGATGCAGGCGAAATGTCAGAAGAGAATGCTTTTAGAGCATGGCCTAACAGCCCGAAAAACCTACAACAACCCAAAGTTCGGAATTGTTTCTTTTTGAACATAATATAATTCCATCCACTAGGGTTGTTGGTCATGTTATCTATCTGGTGGATTCTTGTAAGTTATTGTTCAAAGAATTATTATTATTTATTCTTTATTTATTTATGACATTTATATACTGCCCTTCTCACCCCGAAGGGGACTCAAGAGTGACTTACAAGATATATATACATACAATATATTATATTATTAGCATAGTACAATATCTGTATTAAATATTACTATATTGTACTGTACCTTTATATTGCAATATTATTAGTAATATTACATTTAATATAAAAATAACATTTATTATTTTTCTAAATTCTGATAAAAGCTATACGGATATTAATGAAAAGGGCCGGGGTTCTGCAAAGGCCAGACTTTAGCACAGCAGGTTAACTACTAGCTGTATTAAATCTTGCTAATCAGAACGTTGGCAGTTCGAAGCCCGGGTCAGGGTGAGGTCCTGGTCTTCAGCCTAGCTCCTGCCAACCTAGCAGATCAAAAAAGCAATTGTGAGTAGATAAATAGGTACCAGTTTTTAAAAGAAGGGAGGTATTTAGGCATCCATAAGGAAATGTCAGAAAATGCTGGCAATTCAATCAAAATAAAGGAGGAAGTTTACAAACAAAAGCTCTTCGGCAGGGAAGATGGAGCGATAGCACCCCACGTGGCTGGAACCGAGCACAGCCTCCAAGATGCTGAAGATGGGGGGAAAATCTATATATACCTCTATCTTTGTACAGTTGTGTGTCTTGTCTTTGTATAACGGTATTGAATGTTTGTCAATATGTGTTCTGTGATCCGCCCTGAGTTCCCTTCAGGGGAGGAATATAAATACTATAAATAAATAATAAACTGACTGGATAATTCCTACTTACCGGAAGGCCTTGTTCATCGTTTGGTAATTAAAGTGGTCAGGAGCCAGTCCAATCACCACAGCGTTGGGGTTGTTTGTATCTATCCCTTTAAAAATAAATATAGAAAGAACCCTTGACGGAGTGTAGAATTAATGCAGTTTGAGATTATCAGTGAAATGTCAATATATGTATATTGTACAAGTTTAAAATGTCCATGCTACTAGCTATGAAAGAGTTAATTTGTGGAACATTGTGAAGCATACATAGAACAGACAAGGAAGATGTTGCAATAGACTATTAATATAATAATTATATAATTATTAATATAATAATTATATTATATATTTATATTAATATAGCAGACATTATTGCTCTGTCTCTTTGCTCTTCTCGCTTGCATCTGACTGTGCTAATGAGCAAGGGTTATTGCAATGAATGAAATGTAAATAAAGAAAAGAGCCGCTACTGAAGCAGAAACAACTGTCTGAGGTCAGTTAACTGGGTGATAAGAAGCAAATTGGCCAGCAAATTGCATTGATAAAGACCACTTTAACTGCCATGAATCAAAGCTATGGACTTTTATTTATTTATTTATTTTGAACACTTTTACCCCGCCCTTCTTAACCCCTGGGGGGGACGGGGGACTCAGGGCGGCTTCCAATTGGCAACAATTCGATGGCGCATAATAAAATACAAAACATCAATAATTATGATAGTTAAAAGCATAAAAACATTAAACATTAAAGCAATATACTTACAGTCCACTGAGTTATTACCAGTATGGTGGTCATTTATCTAGCCGTATACTATGACTGAGTACTCCGTTTAACTTATCCATAATCCATTTCCAAACCACTGTCAATGTTGTCACTTGTCATTTCCGCCTCATTACCCAAAGGCCTGGTCCCACATCCACGTTTTTTACCTTCTTTCCAAAGGTGAGGAGGAATTATGATGAGCTAATTTCCCCAGGGAGTGCATTCCACAGGCGGGGGGCCACCACCGAGAAGGCCCTGTCCCTCATCGCCACCAAATGTGTTTGAGACAGAGGCAGGGCTGAGAACAGGGCCTCCCCAGGATCTACAGGATCTGAGATTCACTGGCAGTTTGCCCTCCAAGTACTAACCAGGGCTGAACATGTTTAGCTTCCAAGATCAGGCAGCATGTGGTGCCTTTGGGGTATTTAAAACCTGAATCAACAAATACCTGAAACTTTATGAATTAATTACATTGCCATACTGTTAAACTGCAACAATCTTGTTCCCCTGAGGATTCTGAATCCCTTTTAGAGTGTGAAAGCATCTGCAATTCTAATCAATACAGGCTGCTTTTATTCCTGACAGAAATGACTTTTATTCTCCACCAGATCTTGCCGTGTTTCCAAAACGTCAACTGTGATATGGCAGTCTGAATTAAAGCAGGTTCATAAACAGTTTAAGACCCATCAGTACTGTGTTCTCTCTTTGAGTCTCGAGAGCAGGCATGGGCCAACTTGGGCCCTCTGGGTATTTTGGACTTCAACTCCCACAATTCCTAACAGCCGGTAGGCTGTTAGGAATTGTGGGAGTTGAAGTCCAAAATACCCAGAGGGTCCAAGTTGGCCCATGCCTGCCTTAGGGTCTCCATAAGTCAAAAGTGATGTGAAGGCACAACAAGTCCGGAATCATTGGATACAGGACACAGAAAGTATCCTTCTCAATTATCCCCGTATTTCTCCAAGACGACATCCAATACTGTTTTCAGGCTGACCTCAAGACTAGGAGATCACTGTGCAAAGGGCTGAGAAATTCATGAGATGTCTTCAAAAAGACCTTCCCAACATTATGAAATGCAAAACGCTTTTTCAAAAACATGCCGACATGGGAGATCCTCTGGTGTGGATTGAATGCATTTATTTTGCAACATTCCCTGGGAGCATCTGCGTCCATTAACCAAAAGAAAGGATTATGCTCATCCAGCTGCGAGCAATCTTAAATGAAGATTATCCAAAAATAATTCCATAGTAGTTAGTAACAGGAGCTTAAACATCTTTCGGCGTACTTAAAACTACGGAAAACTGGGGAGAGAGAAAAAATAAACTATACACGGAGAGATGGGGGAGTGATCCACTCAAGTCAACATCTCATGACAACAAATGCACTGATTTCACACATTTTTGAAAGACGGATCCTTTAGGCAGACCGTGCAAAAAGAATCTGCGAACCCCACCTCCTCCAAGATGAACTGAACCACCTCAACTGGGCTCTCCAGGCCAATGGATACTCCACCTCAGACATCAGAAGAGCTGCAAGACCAAGAACAAGCCACGAGAGTCAAGATGAAGATCCACCCAGAGGAAAAGTGTTCTTGCCAGACACCAAGGGAACCACTGACCGCATAGGGAAGCTGATGAGGAAACACAACATACAAACTATCTACATACTCACCAAGAAAATCCAACAAATGCTACGTTTAGCGAAGGACAAGAGGGATCCTCTCGCTTCTGCAGGAGTCTACCGTATACCATGCAGCCGTGGACAAGTCTACATTGGGACCACCAAATGCAGCAATGCCCAAACACAAACTGAAGACATGAAGGGCACTGCAGACTACTTCAACCAGAGAAGTCATCCATAGCAGAGCACCTGATGAACCAACCTGGACACAGCATATTATTTGAGAACACAGAAATGCTGGACCACTCTCACAACCACCATGTCAGACTACACAGAGAAGCCATTGAAATCCACAAGCATGTGGACAATTTCAACAGAAAGGAAGAGACCATGAAAATGAACAAAATCTGGCTACCAGTAGTAAAAAACTCTAAAATTACAACAGCAAAACAGCAGAGAGGAAACAACCAGGCACATCTTAACACCTCTCAACAAAAGATTTTCCCAGGCTCAGCCAGGCCTTCAAATGCTAATGAAGGTGTCAGTTGAAACATTCACACCTAGCTCCAGCAGGCCACCTAGCTCCAGCACAGAAGAGCTCTTTGCCCCACCCCAGCCATTCCACAGATATATAAACCCATTGTCCTAATTCCAACAGACCTCACTACCTCTGAGGATGCTTGCCATAGATGCAGACGAAACGTCAGGAGAAATGCCTCTAGAACATGGCTCTATAGCCCGAAAAAACCCACAAGAACCTTATTATTATTATTAATACACACTGCAACCATCAGTTATACTAGTAGGCTATAACATTATGTATATTCAAAAACATTTAACCTACTGATGCCTCAATTAATGTAATTTTATTGTTATCTATTTTTATTTTGAAATTTACCAGGAGCTGCTGCATTTCCCATCCTCGGCTTATACTCGAGTCAATAAGTTTTCCCAGTTTTTTTGTGGTAAAATTAGGTGCCTCCGCTTATATTCGGGTCGACTTATACTTGAGTATATACGGTACACCTTATTCAATTAGCCAGAAGGCACAGTATTTCCAAAGTATGAAGGTAATAAAGGACTATTTAGGTAGTCTAAATCAATGACAAGATCTGACACAGACAATCTTAGAACAACCTGAGAATTCCTGTAGAAAAGGAGAAGTCCCAACAGAGTGGGGAAGGGCAAATGTTGTTTCCATCATCTAAAAGGGGAGAAAAGGGGACCCAAACAACTACTGTCCAGTTGGCCTGATATCAATACCAGACACTCTGTAAACATGTCAAAAGAAATTCCATACTTACTCAACAGTGTGATGCAGCAGATAAAAAAGCCAATGAAGCGGTGCTTGGCTGCTGTGTCAGCATGGATGAGGGCGAACAGATTGAAACTTAATCCAGACAAGACAGAGTTACTCCTGGTCAGTCGAAAAGCCGAACAGGGGATAGGGTTACAGCCTGTGTTAGACGGGGTTACACTCCCCCTGAAGACGCAGGTTCGCAATTTGGGAGTGATCCTGGACTCATTGCTGAGCCTGGAACCCCAGGTCTCAGCGGTGACTGGGAGAGCTTTTGCACAATTAAAGCTTGTGCTCCTGCTGCGCCCGTTCCTTGGGAAATCTGACTTGGCCACTGTGGTCCACGCTCTGGTTACATAGACTACTGCAATGCTCTCTACGTGGGGCTGCCTTTGAAAACTTCTCAGAAGCTCCAATTAATCCAGTGGTTGGCAGCCAAGTTGTTAACTGGAGCTGCGTACAGGGAGCGTACCACTCCTCTGTTGCGCCAGCACCACTGGCTGCCGATTAGCTTCCGGGCACAATTCAAAGTGCTGGTTTTAACCTGTAAAGTCCTGAACAGTTCTGGCCCAGATTATCTGTCCGAACGTATCTCCTGCTATGAACCATCACAAACCTTAAGATCATCAGGAGAGGCCCTGCTCTCGATCCCACAACTTTCGTAAACGCGGTTGATGGGGACGAGAGACGGGGCCTTCTCAGCAGTGGCCCCTGTCTGTGGAATTCTCTCCCTAAGGACATCAGGTTGGCCATCTCCTTCCTATCCTTGAGAAGACAACTGAAGACCTGGCTCTGAGGCCAGGCGTTCGATTAGAGGCCAGCGGCAATAGGAAAAGGAAATTTGGATTTTGCGACATGGATTCTCCCGGCTCGGCTTGGTTTTTATTGGCACGTTAATCTATTAATTTATTGTTAAATTTTACTGATGATGTTGTACAATATTTTAAAATGATTTTACTGTGAATTGTAATTTTTATGGTATTTATGCTGTTAGCATCCTCTGATGCTCATGTGAGGCCACGCTGAGTCCCCTTGTGGGGAGAAGGGCGGGATAGAAATAGATGAAATAAATAAATAATAAATAAATAAAGCCATTCTAAGCTGTAAGGAATTGTGAGAGTTGAAGTCCAAAACATCTGGAGGGCCAAATTTGCCCATGCCTGAACCAGAGGCATTCCTCCAAACCTCAAAACAAACAAGCCGACCATTAAGGGGGAAAAAAGCAGAAAAACAAGAGACTCTATAGTAAGCTTTAAATAAAGCAAACAAAAAAAGAATTTTAACAGCCTCATCAAGGATATATGAGGTTTATGGATTGTACAACTCTCACCAAATGATTCCAAACGGTCCATTAAGCAATTGGAAATTCATGTGGCTTTTGTTTAATTAAAGTCTGCAGCACAGAAGAACTAATTGTGCTTCAGTATCGCAATGGTCCATTGCAATTCATAAAGCAGTCGTGTTTCCTTCACGGGACATATGATGGACAAGCCCTCCTTTTTCCTACACTTTGAATCCATTTCTGAGCAAGACCTATACAGTTTGTGACACACACACACACACACATATATACATACATATGCCTCAAACAAACTGGGATCACCAGCCCTCCATTATGGCTGAACTAGTTGCTGCTGTTGTATTAATCTATTTATTTATTCACTGCTTTTCTCTCTCGAGCAAGATCCAAAGCAGCTCATAACATCAAAACCAAAGCAATTAATTTAATACCTATAACATATAAATATTAAAACAGAATTAAGTCAATAATTATTAAATCAAACCAATCAAAATTATACAAAATAATTGGAACACTTTACTCTAGACGACTAGGACATGCTGAAGCCTTGCATTTAAAAGGCCTCACACATTACAAGTAAACATAGGGTGTTTTAACCAATATGTAAACCAGGTATAACCATGTTGCAGCCCTTCAAATGTTTTCAGGCTGCAACTGTTGTGCTCCAAGGCTGGGATTCACCTCTGTACTTGACACACAAACTTGACAAGGAAACCTGGAACTGGAAATCCCTTGGATTACTTGACTTGGAAAAAGTTCTACACTCCAAAATCAACGTTGTCTGGACTGAGGAAATGATCTGCTGGTGGTTCTAATATAGACAGAAATCCCTGTCATTTCCCTTCAAAAACTGAAAAAGGCTTCTTTGCTAATAAGCATCTTGACCTTCATACTGCCTCATGAGAAACTCTATGTTGACAGAACATCAATCTCCTATCTAACTGCTGCTCATTAGTCCGTCCACCTGGAGTTGCATTTCCTCCCCTGAGCTCTGTGAGCTCAGTTCTGCCTCTGACCTTGAATCTCTAGGGAACTGTCTTTCTGGAACGTGGCCTACTTCACTCTCATTCTCAGGGCTTAGATCTCCTGATTGTCTTTCTGGTCTGGAGTCCCAGAATCCCTACTGTCATCAACAGGCAGCCTAACAGGCCCAGAATCCTCAGAGAGATCTGCTGACCGATTCTACATAGAAGAATCTAGGGACAGGAAAAGACCAATCCCAAAAGATGTTCCAAAGGAAACATCACAGACACATAGGTTCTTGTGGGTTTTTTCGGGCTATATGGCCATGTTCTAGAGGCATTTTCTCCTGACATTTCGCCTGCATCTATGGCAAGTATCCTCAGAGGTAGTGAGGTCTGTTGGAACTAGGACAATGGGTTTATATATCTGTGGAATGACTGGGGAGGGGCCAAGAGCTCTTCTCTGCTGGAGCTAGGTGTGAATGTTTCAACGGACCACCTTCATTAGCATTTGAAGGCCTGGCCGAGCCTGGGAGAATCTTTTGTTGGGAGGTGTTAAGCTGTGCTTAACAGAAAGGAGGAGACCATGAAAATGAACAAAATCTGGCTACCAGTATTAAAAAACTCAAAAATTACAACAGCAGAACAGCAGAGAGGAAACAACCAAGCACAGCTTAACACCTCCCAACAAAAGATTCTCCCAGGCTCGGCCAGGCCTTCAAATGCTAATGAAATGATACAAATAAAGTAAATAATAAATAAATGCGCTACTGTACCTTCGAAGTCTCGCAGTGCGTTGTCCTCCACCAGCAAGAGTGGCCTGACCTGCTTCTGCTCTATAAGGTTTTTGGCTGCAGTCAGAGAGGTGAAGATCTCATCTTCCTGAATGTCAAATTCAAGCTTCTTCAGTCTCTGCAGCAAATCCTGCTTGCACTCCTTAGTAGTGTTGGTCACAAAGCGGATGGCAACAGGAGCGCTGCGCAACCTATACAAACCGAGAAACACTTTAGTCCAGCAGCATTTGCACACAGCAAAATCTACTCCGGTTTTCATTGTCTAAATGCAAGAGGTTACAGAACACTGTTACGCGAATAAGATATGACTATTTATTTATTATTTACTAACAGTTGCTGTGGCCCAGTCTGTGTATATGTGTTTTATGTGTGTGTTTATATGTGTGTGCATGTATATTTGTGTATATGTGTATATATGTGTTTGTATATGTGTATATGTGTGTGTGTGTGTGTGTGTGTGTGTGTGGTTTTGTACATGCATTGTAATGTATTTTTATTTTTTGGCTTTTTAAGTATCTTCTGCTGTGTTTTTCAGTGTTTTTATGAGTGACTAGCTGTCCCCTGCCACATGTCGCTGTGGCCCAGTCCGTTGATCTGGAAAATAAAGTAATGAGAAAGTGTTGGTTTCTAATATATGTAATTTCTTTCTGCTTGTGGGTAAACAGTATTTCTTGCTGTTTCTTTGTCAGTGTTGATGTGGAGAGTGTCTGGTTTGCCCACCCTGGAACATGCAATGTATCATTGTCCTTCTTTAAGGGTCCCTTTCAAATCTATGATACTATATCTGTGTGTGTGTGAATCATATCTATATCTATCTATCTATCTATCTATCTATCTATCTATCTATCTATCTATCTATCTATCTATCTATCTATGGCTGGATGGCTCTTTGTCAGGAGGACTTTGATTATGTTTGCTTGCCCTGATTAAGGAAGTTGGATTAGATGGCGTTAAGTATTTTCTGTTGGTCATGGGGGTTCTGTGTGGGAAGTTTGCCCCGATTCTGTCATTTGTGAGGTTCAGCATGCTCTTTGATTGTACGTGAACTGTGAATCCCAGTGACTACAACTCTCAAATGTTAAGGTCTTTTAGGAGAGAAGGATGATCCAAATGCACTGCTTCCAAGCTGCAAGTTTCTTCTCCTTGGATTTATTTATTTGAAAGCATCCCAATCCCTGAATATATCCAATTTCCTATTCCTGGACTGCAACTCCCAGGAATCCTCCAGATAGAAATAGATAGATAGAAATAGATAGATAGATAGATAGATAGATAGATAGATAGATAGATAGATAGATAGGCCAATCAGGAGGATTGCTGGGAGTTGCAGTCCAAGAACAGGTAGAGAAGGAAGAAAGGGGAGAAAGAAAAAGGAAGGGAAGAGGAAGAGGAAGAGGAAGAGGAAGAGAAGGAAGGAAGGAAGGAAGGAAGGAAGGAGAAAAAGAAAGGAGGAGAGAAAGTGGAAGGAAAGGTTGCCCAAAAAAATGCGTGGTGGGTACAGATAGTATCTATATAAATAAAAATGTAATGTTTGTTTGTGGGATTAACATAACTCAAAAACCACTGGACAAATGGACACCAAATTTGGACACAATACATGTATCAGGCCAACGAGTGACCATCACTCATAAAAACACTGAAAAACGCAGTGGAAGGGACTCAAAACTCGCAATGTGAATTTACTTCAAGCAGAGTCACTTTTTGTATAAGCTACCTGGCATGATGTGAGTATATGTTATATGTTTGATGTATCCATTATCTTTACTACTGTAATTGTGCTGGAAAATACTTGTTACACTATGTGATGTTATGTTTTGTTATAGATAAGAGTCTAGAGTTGCTGAATTTATCAACTCCTGAGGAAGGGGATTGCTTTCCCCGAAACAGGGTACAAAAATACCCGCGCACCCCTGTTGAATGCCATTTGGACTTTTCCTTTGAAGACTTATTTTGAGAAGCAGTGCTCCATTTTCACTGGACTTGATTTGGATTATTTCCATGAAGATTGTTTTGAGAGTGGTGCTCCATCTTCATTATTGTCTTCAGTCTACATATAGCCTCATGACTCAATGCTTACTGTGTTTATATGATTTTTCTTATTGAATGTATCCCTGAAGCCTATATACAGTGGAATCCTTATCCAGACCTAGAACTGTTACGTTTGAGAGCGGCTGCTCCTTTTGATTTTGCTGTGTACCACTGAATTGAGCTATGTACTGGGGATTTTGGTAAATGGAATACTATATGCGCTTTTGATAATACACTTTGACATTACGCATAGATTGTTTTGTGTTTGTGCTGAATGCATGCGCAAAACCATATATATATACACATATACACAAATATATACACACACAAAACACATATACACAGACTAGGCCACATGAAAAATACAGTGGAAGAGACTTAAAAAGCCAAAAAACAAAAAATACATTACAACGCATGTGCAAAACTACATGTGTGTGTGTGTGTGTGTGTGTGTGTGTGTGTAAACACACATATACACAAATATACAGAAGGAAGAAAGGCGAGAAAGGGAAAGAAAATGTGGGGGGGAAGAAGGGAAGAAGAAGAGAAGGAAAGAAGAGGAGAAAGAGAAAGAAAAAAGGGAAGGAAGGAAGGAAGGAAAGAAGGAAGGAAGGAAGGAAGGAGAGAAAGAGGGAGGGAAGGTTGGCCACAGCAACATGTGGCGGATACAGTTAGTTGATAATAAAGATGTATTTTTGAAATGGGTGTTTCCGTTTCAGAGGAAGAAATAACTTACTTTTTAAGAGCTTCCTGGGCCCCCGGAACGGCCGTGTCTTCCACGTGAAGCGTCCCACTGAGATCCACCAAGACGGCTTTCAAGGCTCGCTGGGTTGCCATCCTTCAATCGGAGGGAGAAAATGCTACTGGGCAGGATCTTTTCTGCGAAATAAAAGGCAGGACTGGTAGATAACAATGCACAATTAAAAAAAGGAAAGTCACTCCATCAGAGGCGCCGTTTGGGCCAAACCTGGCAATGCTTTCGGCACTACCCGCTGCGCGCAACGAGCCTCCAAAGACGGAGGAATAGGAGGCGGCATTAAATATATATATACATAATTGATAAAAGAAGTCTTTTCTCCTGCAGAAACTATCCCGTGTGCATCTTTAAAAAAAATTGTACCCACCTCCCCTGATAGAATAAATAAATAAGCCCCACAATGTTGATATTTTTACCTGCGACAGTAGGAAGTGTTGTGCCAACGACAGCGATGTCGCACAATTAAAAAGTAATTAGGATGCCTTTCCCAAAGCTTTCCAAGCTGAGTATGGTTTCCGTTTTGTAGGAAAGGCCTGAGATGCAAACAGATGGGGACGGGGCCTTCCAAAAAAGCCCGAAAACAGGGCTCTCGAGTCCAATCCGAACACAGCAGGCAGACCACAATCTGGATTGCACTTTGGGGACCACAGCTCCGTTCCACCAAATATGGTTGCAAAAGCACCTTCCACCAGAAATTGTTCCAAACTGGAAGAAATTGCAAGGCAAGTAAAAGAAATCTTCAATTGGAATTGTCTTCACTCTACGCATCATCAAAAGTTACATTTTATTTTATTCAGAAATAAATTTTAGAAACCCTTAAGAATAAGTAAACTCACAGTTAACCGGCACCATGGAGATTGGTAGATGCCGGATAAATGTAGTTTCTGGTTGCTTGGGAGTTAATATTAAAAATAGACCTAAATAATACTACACCCCAAACTATAACAAACCATAAATGTTATTTTTTTTTTTTTTGGTCGTGTCAGGAGTGACTCCTGGATTGAGAGAATTGGTCATCTGCAAGGATGTTGCCCAGGGGACACCTGGGTGATTTGATGTTTTTATCATCCTTGTGGGAGGCTTCTCTCATGTCCCCGCGTGAGGAGCTGGAGCTGATAGAGGGAGCTCATCCGCCTCTCCCCGGATTCGAACCTGCGACCTGTCGGTCTTCAGTCCTGCCAGCACAGGGGTTTAACCCACTGCGCCACTGGGGGCTCCTTATATTGTTATATTGACTTGGTATTAATATAAAAATACAGTCATTACAAGCAAATAAATATAAGATTAACTTAACATAACACAGTTACGTAAAAAGACCTTTGTGAATGCAATGTTAGTTAGGGATTTATTTATTTTTTTTGCCAGTCGCTTGAGAGTTCTGGTAATTGAGATTCTACTGTATTAACCAGTTCATGTTCTGCTAAAGAACTAAACAACAATATTGATTGTTGTGTCTGAGAGTGCAGCATTTTTCCGAATGAAGCAGAGAGTGTTTGAGGACCGGGACATCCGTAGGGAGACCAAGGTGCTTGTTTATAAAGCTATTGTCCTCCCAACCCTGCTATATGCCTGCAAAACGTGGACTGTCTACAGACGTCACATGCAACTCCTGGAACAATTCCTTCAGCGCTTCTTCTGGAAAATCTTGCAAAACTTTTAGGAAATCAAGCAGACAAACATCAGCGTGCTGGAAGAAGCAAAGACCACCAGCATTAAAGCGATGGTCCTCTGCCATCAACTCCGCTGGAACACCTCAGCAAGCGAGAGTCCAAAAGTGGCAGGCTCAAACCCAGAACCTCAACCAATGGCTGATACCAAATGAGAGACTCCCCGCTGGGCACACAGAAGACTGGGCGACTTGGAAGGCGCTGAACAGACTGCGCTCTGGCACCACGAGATGCAGAGCCAACCTCAAGAAATGGGGCTACAAAGTGGAATCCACGACATGCGAGTGTGGAGAAGAGCAAACCACAGACCACCTGCTGCAATGCAACCTGAGCCCTGCCACATGCACAATGGAGGACCTTCTTGCAGCAACACCAGAAGCACTCCAAGTGGCCAGATACTGGTCAAAGGACATTTAATCAACTACCAGACTCACACATTTTGTATTTTGTCTGTTTGTTTGCTTTGTTCTGTTAGAAATGTAATATAATTTCACTGGTTGCCCTGACACGACAAATAAATAAATACGAAAGCTGACTGGCACAACCTGGGGATCACAACCAGGTACAGTGAAGACATCTGCCCTTGCTACTCTGCTGAGTATATAAATGCTGTAAATAAATAATAAATTACTTACTTACTTACTTAGGCGATCCCTCATTGTCCGAGTAGGATTGTCTTCCAAGATCGGTGTACTGGTGGTGGGTCCGTAGGTGACTGTGGAGCCCTATTCTTGATCTGCATCTTCTCCGCAGTGAGGGCATTGGTTTCCAGGTGGAAGGCGGTCTCAGTCGGGGTTGGCTTGATGCGCCTTCCTCTTGGCACGTTTCTCTCTTTCGCCCTCCATTCGTGCCTCTTCAAATTCTGCAGCACTGCTGGTCACAGCTGACCTCCAGCTGGAGCGGTCAAGGGCCAGGGCTTCCCAGTTCTCAGTGTCTATGCCAGAGTTTTTAAGGTTGGCTTTGAGCCCATCTTTAAATCTCTTTTCCTGTCCTCCAACATTCCATTTTCCGTTCTTGAGTTCGGAGTAGAGCAACTGCTTTGGGAGACGGTGGTCAGGCATCCGGACAACATGGCCAGTCCAGAGGAGTTGATGGCAGAGGACCATATTTCGTGTCAGGGCAGCCAGTCAATTATATTACATTTCTAACAGAACAAAGCAAACAAACAAGAGAAAATACAAAATGTATGTGTTTGGTAGTTGATTAAATGTCCTTTGACCAGTATCTGGCCACTTGGAGTGCTTCTGGTGTTGCTGCAAGAAGGTCCTCCATTGTGCATGTGGCAGGGCTCAGGTTGCATTGCAGCAGGTGGTCAGTGGTTTGCTCTTCTCCACACTCGCATGTCATGGATTCCACTTTGTAGCCCCATTTCTGAAGGTTGGCTCTGCATCTCGTGGTGCCAGAGCGCAGTCTGTTCAGTGCCTTCCAAGTCGCCCAGTCCTCTGTGTGCCCAGCGGGGAGTCTCTCATTTGGTATCAGCCATTGGTTGAGGTTCTGGGTTTGAGCCTGCCACTTTTGGACTCTCGCTTGCTGAGGTGTTCCAGCAAGTGTCTGATGGAGGACCATCGCTTCAATGCTGGTGGTCTTTGCTTCTTCCAGCACACTGACGTTTGTCCGCTTGTCTTCCCAAGAGATTTGCAGGATTTTCCAGAGGCAGCGCTTATGGAATCGTTCCAGGAGCTGCATGTGACGTCTGTAGACAGTCCACGTTTCGCAGGCATATAGCAGGGTTGGGAGGACAATAGCTTTATAAGCAAGCACCTTGGTCTCCCTACGGATGTCCCGGTCCTCAAACACTCTCCGCTTCATTCGGAAAAATGCTGTACTCGCAGAGACTACAAAAAAAAAAAAACAAAAAAGGGGGAGAGGTTGTGAACCGAATTTCCGGGGGAGGAGGAGGGGGAAGGAGAGAGTGGGGGGGGGGGGGGGGGAGGGGGGGGGGGGGGGGGGGGGGGGGGGGGGGGGGGGGGTGGAGGAAGAGGGGGTGGTGGAGGAGGAGGGGAAGGGAGGAGTGCGGGGGAGGGGGGGGGGGGGGGGGGGTGGGGTGAGTGGAGGGGAAGACAATAGCTTTATAAGCAAGCACCTTGGTCTCCCTACGGATGTCCCGGTCCTCAAACACTCTCCGCTTCATTTGGAAAAATGCTGTACTCGCAGAGACTACAATCAATATTGTTGTTTAGTTCTTAAGCAGAACATGAACTGGTTAATATAGAATCATGCGTCTTCGAATTCTACAGCACTGCTGGTCATAGCTGACCTCCTAAGTAAGTAAGTATAGTGTAGATCAGGAATGTGCAAACTTGGGCCCTCCCAAAGCCAATTTTGCCCAGGCCTCATCCACACTATAGAATGAACACAGTTTGATGCCACTTTACCTGCCATGGCTTAATGCTATGGGGCCAAGCTAAATCACCCCCCCCCAGTGCATCTACACTGTAGACTTGACGCAGTTTGGTACCACTTTAACCGTCACGTAAATGGGGAGAAAGAGAACGACACTCCTGCCATACAAATGCTTTCCACAAAAATAAAAGGCGCTGCAGACTTGCCTGAGGTTTAAATCCAATCCCCCCCCTTCGCCACGGAGATGGACTCTCCCTTCTGTCTAAGAGAAACCTACAATGGACTGGACCATTCAACTAAATAGTTAACACAAAAGGGGGGTTGTTTTTTCCCCCCTTTATCACACACTTGGTACCGCCCTCGCCATTGATGACGCAGGGGTAGGACTGTACCATCAACGGAAGAGGGGATGCATCTCAAATTGGACTGACCGATAGAAAATACTAGAGAAGGGAGGTTTCGAAAGCCTGCCGAAGGACCCCAAGGGCTTCTCCGAGTTGTCTAAGTTAAACGCCTGTATGGTTTGATTTTTTTTTTGTTTTTACTTACAGCAACTCAAAAATAATTTGTCTTAAGGGTGGGAAAAAGCACGATATAGATTGTTTCATCAGTCTATCCAGCTACTATTACAGTTTGAATCTTGTATTTTCAAGCAGGCGCAAAATAGACGGCCCTTCAATTGTTTTGAATGTATACCAGGCATGGGCCAACTTGGGCCCTCCTGGTGTTTTGGACTCCAACTCCCACAATTCCTAACAGCCTACCGGCTGTTAGGAATTGTGGGAGTTGGAGTCCAAAACACCAGGAGGGCCCAAGTTGGCCATGCCTAATCTATACATTAGTTGCATACTTTTAAAAAAACTTTTTAAAACTTTTTTTAACTTTTAACTTTTGGGGGTACTCACCCCAAACCTGGGTGGCTTTTGTTGCATAAATCCCACACTAATTTAAGTCAGCTAATGAAGGATATGTGTGCCAGGTTTGGTCCAGATCCAAGAAGCCATGCAGGAGCCTTTGTGGTACAAACAAGCAAACCAACCAACCATTATGCAGGCAGTCCCTGAATTATATATACAGGCAGTCCTCAAATTACTGAGCAAGATGTAGTTTCAAAAGGGATTTTCATGGCTGACTGCATGACTAAGGCTGGAGTTAAAATTGCTGGAAGAAACATTAACAACCTTAGATATGCAGATGATACTGTTAGAGACCCTAAATTGAGTCTTCGTAGGTCCACATCACGGGAGCACGTAAGGATGGAGACAGTCCCAAAAAAAGATAAAAAAACAAGGTTTATTTTAGTTTCTTCATGAAGAAGACAGACAGCCTGGCAGCATACGTAGATGCTACCCTTCAAGTGACTGCCGCGCCCCCTTGGCTTTTGTACACCGTTATATACCCTCAAGTAAACAAGAACATTTTTTTGGTTATGGAAAGTACTCTTTCCAGCCCCCCTCCTTTGACCTTTTGAAGGAAAGTACCTTCTTGTACCTGCAGACTCTGCGCTTAACCACAACCTTTGAACTTAATCACAACACAACTACTTCCTATGTAGGCTCATTTTCTACAGACAAAGGGTATATTTCTCTTTTGCTGTTAATTTCATTCAAAGCCCCTTGCTTAGCATTTGGAAATTTCACTCAAAGACCCTTTCATTACCACTTTGATGGCCGAAAGTTAGGACGAGCTGAGGAGCCTTCTAACGAAGGTGAAAGAAGAAAGTGCAAAAGCTAGGTTGCAGTGAAACATTAAAAAGCCAAGATTATGGCAACAAGACTGATTGATAAGGAGCAAATAGAGGAAGAAGAAACATGGAGGCAGTGGCAGACTGTATTTCTAGGTGAGAAGATGACTGCAGACGCAGACTGCAGGCAGGAAATCAGGAGATGCTTACTTCTTGGGAGGAGAGCAACGACCAATCTCGATAAAATAGTGAAAAGTAGAGACATCATACTGGCAACGAAGATCCGCATAATTAAAGCACTTTTGAACTGTGATATTGGAGGAAAGTTCAAAGAGTGCGTTGGACCATGAGGAGATCCAACCAGTCCATACTTCAGGAAATAAAACCCAACTGCTCACTGGAGGGAAGGCTATTAGAGGCAAAGATGAAGTACTTTGGTCACATCATGAGAAGACAGGAAAGCTTAGAGAAAACAATGATGCTGGGGAAAATGGAAGGAAAAAGGAAGAGGGCCCGACCAAGGGCAAGATGGATGGATGGTAGCCTTGAAGTGACTGGATTGACTCTGAAGGAGCTGGAGGTGGCCACGGCTGGCAGGGAGCTCTGGTATGGGATGGTCCAAGAGGTCACAAAGAGTTGGGAGCGACTGAACAAATAAACAACAACAACTACACATACACACACAACAAACAACTGAATGAATAAACAACAACACCCTGGACTGTGCATTGACCTACAAGAAGCACTGCTTGAATATGAAGCAAAAAGAGGGTGCTAGAAACAATATCATACAAAAGCTTACTGGCACAACCTGGGGATCACAACCAGATACAGTGAAGATATCTGCCATTGCGCTTGCTACTTGGCTGCCGTGTACACATGCCCAGTGTGGAACACATCTCACCATGCTAAAACAATGAATGTAGCTCTTAATGAGACATGCTGCACAATCACAGGATGCTTGCGACCATAACAGTGTAGGAGAAATTACACTGTTTAGCCGGTATTGCACCACCTGTCGGGAAGTAGCAACCAATAGTGAAAGGACCAAGGCAGTGACATCTCCGACCCATCCTATTTGGGTATCAGCCAGCATGCCAATGACTTAAATCAAGGAATAGTTTTTTAACATCTACAGACTCGCTGGATCATCTCAGCAAGCTAGAGTCCAAAAGTGGCAGGCTAAAACCTGGAACTTCAATCCATGGCTAATACCAAATGAGAGGCTCCCTCCTGGGCACACAGAAGACTGAGCAACTTGGAAGGCGCTGAATAGACTGTGCTCTGGCACGAGATGCAGAGCCAACTTTAAGAAATGGGGCCACAAAGTGGAGTCCACGACATGCGAGTGTGGAGAAGAGCAAACCACAGACCACCTATTACAATGCAACCTTAGCCCTGCTACATGCGCAATAGAGGACCTTCTTATAGCAACACCAGAGGTACTCCAAGTGTCCAGCTACTGGTCAAAGGATATTTAATATAATGTCAATTTTTTAAACTTTGTGTTTACTCAAACACATCACAACTGTACCCTTGGTTTGCTCCCAATAAGATAAAAAATAAATGGCTGCTTCCAATGATTGAAAATCCCATGTGCCTGCTTTTGCTATTGGTCTTTGTTTGGAAAAATGCAGATGTGTAGAGAAAGAGCTGCCAAGGAACAGAGTTGGGCAGGAAGTCCCCCCTAATACTCACTTAATTTCCCAGCTGCTTGAAGTACCGACCTATAGATACTTTCCAACTGAGTGTCCATGGCCAGAGGTCAACAGACTATAGTTGTGCCATTGTTAAGATCCCACGTGTGCCTTCTTGCCTGCCAAACTCATAGAGCCAATGAAATTTGTATTAGTCAGCTTAGATCAATGAAATGATTGATCTTTGGACACCAATGGGAATGTGTTTTCAATTTTCTGTGAAATGATAAAAAGGCCTTGCAACCCCATTTCAAGTTGTGACAAAGCTTTTTCATCCACATCTGTATGCATTTTGCCGTTATTACTAGGCCCGCAATAAAAACCTTTGTAGAAAGAATACAACGTATGGCCTCCTCCTTGCACTGCTGTCTGAACCTTTGAGGGGACTCCTAAGCTTGTGCATTTGGAGTGCTGGTGAGCCCGTGACCCTACATCTGTACCCCTTCATTACAAACTACGAGCATCCCAGCTTGCCAGAAACCAGGATCTCTTTATAAACAAAGAAATCTCTTGGAAGAAATGAAAGACAAGAATTCAGAGAGGAAAACAGAGAAAATAATTTTATGGAAAACTGCAATATAACATATCTTGGACTACTAGAAACACAACTTATCAGCAATACATTTTGAAATCTGCAATGCGCTGAAGAGTGGTATTTGGTAAATTTGTACAGGATTGTGCTGTGAAAGGAATATCTCTTCTTAGTTATCAGATTCACTGCCTTGTTAATCCATCTTCCACAAGTCCAGAATTTGTTCACAGTTCAGTTTCTGTAGGTTTATATTCCACTTAAGGAAAAGAGAAAGGAAGCCCCAATGGACAGTCTTAAATTTGTACTGCGCAGGACACAATCCAACAAGTGGTGATTTCAACTGACAGTGAATTTAATTTTCACATACACATTGGATAAAATCTTCAATAGGTTCAAGCTGTTCTTACTGTTCAGAAGAATGAAATGTAGCTATCTTTTTCCAAATTGCAATATTCCCCCTGTCATTTTTGAATTTATTCAAGCAGATTACTGGTTGCATAGTTCATTGCATGCAAACTGCTCGATACACATATTTTGCACTTACAAATTATGATAAAGAAAAAAATATAAAAACATTGTAAAAACATTTTTGAAGCAAGATTTTTGGAGTGGCGTTTCTATCATCGGATCTAATAATTTGAGATCAGCATTTCCCAAACGTTACTCTTCCAGATGTTCAACTCCCTGAAGTTCAAAACGGCTGGAGGCCTAAAACTTGGGAACCACTGATCTAGATCTAGCTATGTAGAAGTCACAACATATAGTTTTTGAAAATAAGCATTAAGCTTAAAAGTTCAGTGGCGTGTAGAAATCTTAATGTCATACTACTTGTTTTACTACCAAAGTATTTTAAAAAACCAAAATTTCCATTCTCTGATATTAAGCGCATAGAGTAGATTTGCCTTCTCTGGTCCCCAAAAATGTACAGCATTTATCTATAAATTAAGGTAATCATTATTACCTGAACAAAATTGAACTTGGAAAGCCCTCAAGTGTACTGATAGGAAATTTAGCCCTGAGGAACAGTACTTTAAGTAATTACCAGTATTACTATATGTTACGACAGATAGCACTTGATGCTATTAAGTGAGGAAATCTGTTCAAATTCGGCATATGTACACATCACTCTTGCCTTGATTCAGTTCTCTGGCACAATGAAACACAAGTGAATGTTAAGGGATACAATAAATAGAAACAAGGTCTTTATTGAGGCAAAAGGGTGGCTGTGATAGCCAAGCCAGTTTGAATCCCAATGCGCAAACCAGCCAGGAGTCCATTTGTTCGAAATACTATGCAGCTTCTTTGGAAAGAGTTCATCTTCAGCCAAACAACAAAAGCAATACTATTGTAACTGTGTTTACACCAATTAATGGAACTGCAAAGAAAAAAAGAAAGAAAAGATTTAAAATTCTTTCCAAATTACAACAAAGGAAATTAAAGAATCTAAGTACAAAAAGACACAACCTTTCCCTAGATGACTTTCAGGAGTTTGGTACATTTTCTGCAAGCTAATTTAGAGAACAATGGGGAAACTGTGGCTCTCCAGATGTTGCACTATAAATCCCATAATCCCTAACCAATGACTATGTCAGCTAGGCTGACAGTAGCCGAAATATAAAGCCTTCTAAAAGCCATGTACTCTTTACCCCTGCCGTAACGCCACACTTTTATGACTATAATATTTCACACATGAAATCCTTTTTAAATGCCTTCCCAGCCTGGTCATGATTTCTCATTGCAGTAATAGCACTCATCTCCAAAACTGGTATTGTGCACCATCACAAAGTCACTTTCCTTATGTTTTGATATCTATAATGTTTAATCTATTCATGGAAAGTGTTTGTTTTATATGACAGTGAATAAAACGTTACATTTAGGAAAACTACATTCCATTATCTTTCATTGAAGCAAAAGATACAGCCATGGAATGAGCATATATGTCTCAAGAGTTTCAAACTGAGGTCTGTGGGCTAGACAATGGTTCTCAAACACTAATCTTTCAGAAGCTTTGAATTTCAACATCCAAAAGCCCCAAATAAGGATTCTGGGAGGTGAAATCAAAACACCTGGAAGACTAGCGTCTGAGAACCACTGACAGAGAGGGAATTGGGTAAAGTAAGATTTTTAGGACATAGAAGAGCAGACAAAATGAAAATTAAACAGGTGAGTAACAGTGGCATTCCAGATATTTTTGGACTGCAACTCCCACAATCCATAAGCACTGGCTATGATAGCTAGGCTAATGGAGGTTGCAGTCTCTGCACATTTCTCATCCCAACTTTGGCTCTAACACAAATGTGCTAGCACCAATAAATTAATTCTACAAAGTCACCAGGCTTGTTGAGGTAATAACCTGATCCTGTAGTCTACAGGAAAGAATTAGGTACAAGGGTTGGTCAAAAAGTAATGCCTCTATCACTCCGTTTTTTTATTTCTTTCACAGCTACTGGGCTACATAGGCATGATATGATAGAGGTAACCTTACTCTACTGATACAGTATTTTCTTTTTCCAATTGACAGATTAGAACAATGAATCTGAAGCTAAAAAAAGGGTCGTTATTGAATTTCTGGCAAAAGAAGATTGTGCACCTAAGGAAATCCATAATCGCTTGAAGAATATTTATGATTTTGCTCTTTCTGACTTTTACATGTTTGGACCTTGGAAAGACAACCTACGTGGTTTCGGATTCAATGACTTGAATGATGTTCAAACAGCTTTAAAATAATGGGTCACAAAGCAAAACCCTGAAATTTTCCAAAATGGTTTTGATGCCTGGGTTAAACAATGGCGCAAATGTATACAAATTGATGGTGACTATGTTGAATGATAGTTTTGTGTAGAGGATAGTTCAACCTATGATCTATAGAAACTTCTGCTGTTATATGTTCATTCATAAAAAAATTATGACATAGGAGGCCAAATTTTTGACCCACCCACATACAAGGGCTCTCTTACTGGTGTCATCTCATCAGTCATTTTACTACAATCAAATCCACCGGAAAAGCATGAATGTAAAAATTTGGGACAATTCAATTTATTCTGCAATACCTTAATCAGTTATATAATGTGTTTACATAGTGTGTTGATAGCCAGGGAAACATGTGTGACATCTGCTTCTTACAGAGGTCTTGTATAAGGGAAACCCCCCCCCCCCCCCCCCCCGCTCAAATGCACACACATTTCTCTTTCCCTTGTAAAATTTCTGACAGTGATTAGCAAGGACTCTGATGAAAAAATCAGTAAACACTAGACATTTTATTAGCTCCCTTCCTCCAACCATCATATACTACATAAATAAAAATACAGGTGTTCCAAAAATTTAAAAAAATCAAAAATCTGAAAAACTTCTGGTCTCAAGCATATTGCATAAGGGAGATTCCATCAGTACCATTAACAATGCATGGTCCAAACAAGATTAAAGTGTTCATCCTACCTCTCATAACTGTTCGTACAGATCGGATAAGGTTCATTAATTGTCCTTTAATTCCTGGATCTTCTCCAAATCCTCCAATTCCTTGGTCTGCTCCCCAGCCAACTGTATTAATTCAAAAGTTTTATTTTTGTTAAAGTAAACAGAGAAATACTTCACAATATAAGTTGCATTGTGTTAATGAACAATCTATTTCAAAAACAGAAAGGTACAATAAAGAGCAAATGGCACGATAAAGAGAATTCTAATTCTTTGTTTCAGCACAAGTAACTCTTTGCAATCATCATTCAATTTGGATACATAAAATGCATTATAAGATACATAATTGCCAGAAAGCTGAATTACTGCAAATGGGAAGCCTGTACATTCATATGCAATGTAATTATTTGAAGGTATTAAAAGAAGAACGAATAATGGGCAGATAGCTTCAATTTCGTAGCTATGCAATGATGATTAAAAGCAATGAGTTTGTAAACTGCCTAAACTGCATATAGAAAGCAACATTTTCAAATATATTTCAAATTTATTTATTATATTTGCTGTATTGTTGTCAAAAACCTTCAACCAGAATCTGGCTAACTTTATTTCAAAGCCTCTATAAAAGTTTCACTATCATAGTTCACAGAATTAGACGGACCAGTTATATAACCGAGCATTCTTTTCTGTAGACCAGGCATCCTCAAACTGCACCCCTCCAGCTGAACAAGCTTGTTAGGGCTTCTGGGAGTTGGAGGCCAAAACAGCTGGAGAACTGCAGTTTGAGGATGCCTGTTGTAGACCGATGAAAGCCACAAAAATATTTAAAACAAGGATGTGTAAGCGGGCAAGTGATGCAGAACAATAAGGGAAAAATAATAACCCTTAATGTAAATCCAGTTGCTGATCGCAACCACCACAGACTCACTGAATCAACTGCAGACTGCGACATCTATAGTTCGCCCTTGCCAGTCTCTCAGACTCGCTTTGTGGGTAAAAGGAAGAGAGCCTTCTCCTCTGTGGCCCCCCGACTCTGGAATTCACTGCTCAGAGAGATTAGGAAAGCCCCTACCTTGGAAACCTTTAAAGAGTCTTAAGACCTGGCTCCGTCATCGCGCTTTCGAAGAGTAGCCACATAATTTTACGCGAGTGCTCCCCCAACGCTCTTGTGTCATCCCCCCCTCCATGTACGAAGGTTTGCTTATTTTCCTATCTCTCTATGAGTTCTTCCTTACAATTAGTTCTGCCCCCTTGTCTCACCCGGAGTTTTAAAAATCATTTTATGTGCATGCGGCCCACCCTTTGTCGTTCTGTCATTATGCTTAGTTCCTACGTTCTATGTATATTGTTTTATATGCTTTGATGTTTTATATCTTAATGTTATGTTGTTTATTTTATTGGAATTTGTATTGTTATATTGTAATTTTTGTTCGGGCTTGGCCCCATGTAAGCCACTCCGAGTCCCCTTTAGGGCGATGGTGGCGGGGTATAAATAACGTTTATTATTACTATTATTATTACTATTATTATAAGAATTCCAGCCATTCAATGAGTCTATTCTACTGGGGACTAGCGATTAGACATAGATCTTCATAAGGAACTGATTGTAGCACTATGTGTGCAATTTGTTTTATTCAAGTCTAACCACCTAGATAAATATCTTCAGATTCTACAGTCTCCTTGGTAGATGTGGCAGTTTAAACTCTTGTGTTTCCACTCTCAATACTATTTGGGTAGCATTTTAAATTATTTTTTAGAATTAAAGGCAAATGCCATTCACGCTACCTGATCATAGAATCATAGAGTTGGAAGAGACCTCATGGGCCATCCAGTCCAACCCCATTCTGCCAAGAAGCAGGAATATTGCATTCAAATCACCCATGACAGATGGCCATCCAGCCTCTGTTTAAAAGTCTCCATAAAAGAAGCCTCAACCACACTCCGGGGCAGAGAGTTCCACTGCTGAACAGCTCTCACAGTCAGGAAGTTGTGTATTGAAGTAAGGTTATGATTTTAGAGTTTATTAATAAATTGGCTATAATACCAGGAGAAGGAATGGAAATCTTTCAATATCGTTTATGTATGACTTAGTATAATGGTTCACCAGGACCAAAATCCATTTCATAATATACAAACCAGTGAATTCTCAATCCAAAACTTCTGGAACCCAAATTGATGTTTCTCGATTTTTCTGTACGAACATTTACTGATTGATCTACAGCTTTAGACTAGTTAAATACTGGATCCCTGACTTTAGAATGGAGTTAAGTATCTGCTATGATGATCTACGGTAGTATAACAGGCGTGGGCAAACTTTGGTCCTCCAGGTGTTTTGGACTTCAGCTCATAGAATCAAAGAGTTGGAAAAAACCTCGTGGGCCATCCAGTACAACACCATTCTGCCAAGAATATTCCTGGGTACAGGGAGCACACCACTCCGCTGTTGCGCCAGCTCCACTGGCTGCCGATTAGCTTCCGAGCACAATTCAAAGTGCTGGTGTTAACCTATAAAGCCCTAAACAACTCCGGCCCAATTTACCTGTCCGAACGTATCCTCCCCTATGAGCCATCAAGATTACTAAGATCGTCTGGAGGGGCCCTGCTCTCGGTCCCACCGGCCTCACAAGCACGGCTGGTGGGGACGAGGGACAGGGCCTTCTCGATGGTGGCCCCTCGACTTTGGAACTCCCTGCCATTAGAGATCAGAACTGCCCCCTCCCTCATCACATTCAGGAAATTAACAAAGACCTGGTTGTGGAACGTGGCATTTGACAACTGATTTAATTCTTTGCCCACATAAAAGGAGGATGATGAACGGTAGTTTGGGATTACGATTGTGTGGACGATTTGGTTCTTATAACTGTGATGATAATGTTTTTAATGTTTATGGTGCTTATATTTTAATTATGTGATGATGTTGCATTGTGTTGTTATTGTATATTTTTGTATGTTAACACATGTTGTGAACCGGTCCGAATCCCCCTTTGAAGGTGAGAAGGTCGGTATATAAAACCTTGAAATAAATAAATAATAAATAATCTTTAAAATATCCTGGTCCATATTCTATATCAGCTACTTGTTTGGTTCCTCATATTTGCATGTTTAATTCTTGCAGATTTGATTATTCACAGATTTGATTATAGTGTTTTCATTTCAGACATCATATCCACAAACCTTATATCTATATTCAAACTCCACTAAACAGAACAAGCTGCAGCCTTCCAGGTTTTACTCTATCACAACTCCAATCATCATCATCATCACCATAGAATCATAGAATCAAAGAGTTGGAAGAGACCTCATGGGCCATCCAGTCCAACCCCCTGCCAAGAAGCAGGAATATTGCATTCAAATCACCCCTGACAGATGGCCATCCAGCCTCTTTAAAAGCTTCCAAAGAAGGAGCCTCCACCACACTCCGGGGCAGAGAGTTCCACTGCTGAACGGCTCTCACAGTCAGGAAGTTCTTCCTCATATTCAGATGGAATCTCCTCTCTTGTAGTTTGAAGCCATTGTTCCGCATCCTAGTCTCCAAGGAAGCAGAAAACAAGCTTGCTCCCTCCTCCCTGTGGCTTCCTCTCACATATTTATACATGGCTATCATATCTCCTCTCAGCCTTCTCTTCTTCAGGCTAAACATGCCCAGCTCCTTAAGCCGCTCCTCATAGGGCTTGTTCTCCAGACCCTTATGTCTTGTTTATGTCTCCCAACTCCCATCCCCCGCAGCGGGCTAGGATGAAGGGAGACAGGCTGTGAGACCCCCAAACTACCCAATCCTGAGGCCTTCAGGGTGTGGAGGGCCCTTTATTCAAATGGGAGACTCACTTCTCCGGAGGAAGCGCTCCTCGTGCAGCACGGCGATGGCGTTCACGAACAGGAGCGCGGCCTGCAGCAAGGCGTACAGCGTGAACGCCATCCTTGCCGCTTTTTTCCTTCCCTCAGAGAAGAAGGAGCCGCCACAGCCGACGCCACATTGGGTGTCCCGACTGCGCATGCGCGGCTCGCTCGCATAACGTGGCAACGCCACCGAGCGTGCTTTGCGCGCAAACGTCACGACGCCACGCCTCTTTAACGCACTATGAACGATACAACACGAGAGGGGGTGTGGCTTCCTCGATGACGTCACGACGCCCCGCCTCCTTAACACACTATGAAGGATACAATAAGAGAAGGGGCGTGGCTTCAGCGATGACTTCACGACGCCCCGCCTCCTTAACGCACTATGAAGGATACAACTCGAGAAGGGGCGTGGCTTCCGCGAACACGTCACGGCGCCCCGCCTCCTTAATGCATTATGGATACAGCTCGAGAAGGGGCGTTGCTTCTGCGATGACATCACGACGCCCCGCCTCCTTAACTCACGATGAAGGATCTAACTCGAGAAGGGCTTCCGCGATGACGTCACGATGCCCCCGCCTCCCTAGGAGTGCTACGGATTGTACTCGTGGGGGGCGTGGCTTCTGCGACGACGTCACGACGCCCCGCCTCCCTAACAAAGTGTTATGATTAAAAGGAGGCGTGGCTACCGCGCTGACGTCACGGCGTCCCTCTTCAGAGCAGTGTTAAGGATAAAGGCAAAAGGAGGCGTGGTCTCACGCTGAGTGACGTCACGCTCTCTAGCACTGGCAGTATTAAAGCCACAGGAGGCAACATCATAGCTATTGGTAGTCTGTTGTTTTGGGTTTCCTTTTTACTGCACTCTATGTTATTTATCCTTTATTAAGCAGCTCAATTGTAACTCCCATGGAATCCTGGGATTTATAGTTTTGGAATTTAATAATAATAATAATAATAACATAGTGGCTTTTAACACTATAGGCATTGCTTAGCGTGGTATTGTATTATTATGATTTTTTTATTATGTGTATTATGATTTTTATCATTGAATGTGGTTGGGTTTTAAATGCTTTTTATGTATGTACTTGTTGGCATTCAATATATTGCCCTTGTCAGGTTTTACAATGTATTGTAATGTAATATAGCTGAGTCATGCACTGCTAATGGGCTTCTATTGGAAATGCTGAGTCATGCATTAACTGTATATAGGCAATCATTTGGGGAATGTGTTCTGGCCTAGTCCAGGTGATTGTTAATGATGCAATCCCCCTCGATGGACTGTCACCTTGTTGTGGTGAGGGGGCTTGCGCGTTCCAATGAACCTGTAGGCACAACAACTGGAGTCGTGCACTCCCAGGAGTGGCTGCGGGGGAGGTCCAGACCAAGCACAGTCCGAAGACCCAAAGACCTCAACGGCGGAGCAGGCGGAGGATAACATGGCACATGTTACAACGGCTGCGAAGGCGGAAGAAGGCTGCAACAGACTGAGAAGCCACGGTCATTGTGTTAAACTACATCACCAGTGGAACCTCACTCTGTGAAGTCTGTGTGTTGATCAGTTGTGCACTGACCTCCACACATTAAAAAAAAACCCACGCACAGGCGTCTTCCAAAGAAAATAAAAACAAACCAACCAAAGTCCCATGGCGATCAGCGAGTGGCGACGGGGGCAGGACTGTGAAATCTGGAAGCCCCTAGTCACAGACTGGCACATGGGCGGTGGGTACGGACTCAGTCGTTCTACCTCAAGGTCCGAGGCAGTTGAGTAGTTCGGCAGCTGTATCCGCGACTGAGCAGCCCTTTGAGGACCCACTCTGCTCACCCCACATGGGGAGGGGGCTAGAAAAGGTGCCCTAAACATAGTCTGCCTCACTTATCCCTGACTGGACTGCCGCGTCCAGTGGGGTCACCACCCTGCGGCCAAAAAAGAAAATGAACTTCGGTACGTGGAACGTACGGACTCTGATGGACAACAGTGGCAGTGAACGCCCCGAACGCAGAACTGCCATCATTGCAAGGGAGCTGGGACGCTTCAACATCGACATAGCAGCCCTTCAGGAGACCCGGAGAGCAGGAGAGGGACAGCTGAGGGAAGAAAAAGGAGGCTACACCTTCTTCTGGAAGGGACTGCCCGAAAGAAGACCAAAGAATGCATGGAGTTGGCTTTGCCATCAGAAATGATCTGGTGAAACATCTGTCCGAAGCACCCACTGGCATCAACGAACGACTCTCAACCCTCCGAATCGATCTTGCCAAAAACCAACAGGCAACCATCATAAGTGCCTATGCACCAACACTAGATGCTGACGAAGACATCAAGGAAAATTCTACTGTCAGCTGGACACCGTCCTATCGGAGATACCTAAGGAGGACAAAATCATCCTCCTGGGGGACTTCAATGCAAGAGTCGGGCGAGACTTCGACCTGTGGCCAGGGACCATCGGAAAAGACGGGGTTGGAAACAGCAACTCAAATGGCATCCTGCTTCTCACCAAATGTGCGGAGCACAACCTTGTCATCACCAACACGCTCTTCCGCCAGAAAAACAAGTTCAAGACATCATGGAAGCACCCCCGGTCAAAGCATTGGCACCTCTTAGACTATGTAATCACACGCGCCAGAGACCGCCGTGATGTGCTCCTCACAAGAGCCATGACAAGTGCTGACGACTGCTGGACTGACCACAGGCCAGAGACCGCCGTGACGTGCTCCTCACAAGAACCATGACAGGTGCTGACGACTGCTGGACTGACCACAGGCTAATTCGATCCTCGATGGCTATCAAGATCGCTCCCAAGCGCAGACTCCAAGGAAGGAAGACAAGGCGCAAAATGAACACCCAAGCCCTTCAGGAGCCCTCCAGACGAGCCCATCTCCAAACAGCACTCAAGGACCATCTACCCACAGTACACCCCGAAAGTGTCGAGGAACATTGGAACAAACTGAAGACCTCCATCATCCAAGCCTGCGAAGAAACTATTGGATACCAAGCCAAGAAACATCAAGACTGGTTTGATGAAAATGACATCGAGATCCAACAGCTAATTGACAAGAAAAGGAAAGCCTTCCAAACATGGCAGAGAGACATCAACTGTGCTGCTAAGAAAAAGATCTACGCCAGTGCAAAAGCTGAGGTCCAAAGAAGGACAAGAGAACTCAAGAACATCTGGTGGACAAAGAAGGCTGAAGAAATCCAACACCTGGCAGATACCCATGATGCTCAGGGATTTTTCAAAGCCACAAAGGTCATCTATGGACCAAGAAACCATGGCATACAGCCTCTACGCTCATCAGATGGAACCAAACTCCTGAAGGACCAAAAAAAAAAAGAAAAACCAAAAAAAAAAATTAAAAAAAAAGAGTAAAAAAAAAAAGAATAGAAAAGTGAGAAAATAAAGAAAAAAAAGAGAAAAAAGAAGAAACACAAAAATTTACCAAAATCGAATCGCAGCTCCAATGGGGCCGAAGAGGTCCTCTCACAAATCCCACAACAACAAACCAGGGATGAGCTTGCAGCACTGCCCAGTTTGGAAGAAGTCAGCAATGCCATCAGCCAACAGAAGAATAACAAAGCCAGTGGACCAGACGGGATCCCTGCTGAAATCTTTAAAGAGGGAGGACCTGAGCTGACACACCAACTCCACCAGCTCATAGAAAAAGTGTGGGTGACCGAGAAAATCCCAGCAGATTTCAAGGACGCCACCATCATCACCCTCTTCAAAAAAGGGGAAAGAACAGACTGCGGAAACTATCGAGGTATCTCCCTTCTAACCTCCGCTGGGAAAATCCTCGCAAGAATCCTTGCAAACCGCCTTCTGCCCCTCTCAGAAGACACCCTCCCAGAATCCCAGAACGGCTTCCGCCCCTCCAGAGGAACCGTGGACATGATCTTCACTGCAAGACAGCTCCAAGAAAAATGCAGAGAACAAAACCAACCTCTGTACATGGCATTCATCGACCTTGGCAAAGGCATTCGACACAGTGAATCGCAGCGCTCTCTGGACCATCCTCCACAAAATCGGGTGCCCAAACAAATTTGTGAACATCCTGCGGCTCCTTCACGATGACATGATGGCAACAGTCTTGGACAGCAGTGGCTCCCAAAGTGACCCATTTAAGGTGGAATCAGGTGTCAAACAGGGATGTGTTATTGCCCCAACTCTATTCTCCATCTTCATCGCTATGATACTTCACCTTGTTGATGGGAAGCTTCCCACCGGAGTGGAAATAATCTATCGGACAGATGGCAAGCTATTCAACCTCAGCAGACTGAAAGCCAAAACCAAGGTTACAACAACAGCTGTTATAGAACTCCAGTATGCTGATGACAATGTCGTCTGTGCGCATTCAGAAGAAGATCTACAAGCCACTTCGCAGAAGCATATGAGAAGCTCGGCCTGTCACTGAACATTGAGAAAACCAAGGTGCTGTTCCAGCAGTCGCCAGCCAATCCCTCTCCAATGCCAGTAATACAGCTTAATGGTGTCACATTAGAAAAGGTGGACCATTCAGACATAGAAATACAGAAATACAGCTTAATCGTGTAACATTAGAAAATGTTTACAATTTCTGCTACCTTGGCAGCCACTTCTCCACAAAAGTCAACATTGACACTGAAATACAACATCGCCTGAGCTCTGCGAGTGCAGCATTTTTCTGAATGAAGCACAGAGTGTTTGAGGACCGGGACATCTGTAGAGATACCAAGGTGCTTGTTTATAAAGCTATTGTCCTCCCAACCCTGCTATACGCCTGTGAGACGTGGACTGTCTACAGACGTCACATGCAACTCCTGGAACGATTCCATCAGCGCTGCCTCCGGAAAATCCTGCAAATCTCTTGGGAAGACAAGCGAACAAATGTCAGTGTGATGGAAGAAGCAAAGACCACCAGCATTGAAGCGATGGTCCTCTGCCATCAACTCCGCTGGACCGGCCACGTTGTCCGGATGCCCGACCACCGTCTCCCAAAGCAGTTGCTCAACTCTGAACTCAAGAACAGAAAACGGAATGTTGGTGGACAGGAAAAGGGATTTAAAGATGGGCCCAAAGCCAACCTTTAAAACTCTGGCATAGCCACTGAGGACTGGGAAACCCTGGCTCCTTAGCACTCCAGCTGGAGGTCAGCTGTGACCAGCAGTGCTGTAGAATTTGAAGAGGCATGGAAGGTGAA